TCCGCCTTCCATCGAGGACGCTTGAATACCAAATGCAATCACCACTGGATGACTTGGCTGTAATACCAGCGTCTTGAAGTGCCTGAACATATGGATCCGCGGCCGATTGCATGTGATGAGAATGATATGCTGTGTCGACTTTCAGGAGCCTTGCGAATGTCTTGTCTTCATCCAAAATGACCTTGGCCTGGTTGATTGCATTTTCATCCCCAGACAGAGTCACACTTGAAGAAGAGTTACTTGCTGCAAGACTGATTCGACCCTTGAACTGAGAAAGATTGCACAACTCTTTGGCACCATCCATTGAAGTTCCAACCGCCATCATAGCACCCCTTTCGCCATCCCGTCCTTTGGCCAGTTTCGCATAGAAGCCACGATAATACGCTATTGTAACAGCATCTGGAGCCGAAAGAAAGCCAGCGGCGTATGCTGCACCTATTTCGCCAGATGAATGCCCGACGACGGCAGAAAACCGAATACCTGCAGCTTTCAATATGTCAACCAGAATCACCTGGACGACGGTACACAGTGGTTGGGAGAACATTGCTTCCTGTAAGCGAGACGATTTTGCGTCTTTAGAAAGCTCTTCAACAATGTTCCAAGATGGACGATGGGCCTCTGGTAGATTTTGCAACGTCCGATCAAATTCAGTTGCCATTTTCTTTGCTCGCGGCAATGTGTCAATCAGTTCTCTGCCCATTTTGGCCCACTGAGCTCCTTGTCCAGTAAAGATTCCCAGAATCTTTTGTCGTCCAGAAACAGAGCGAGTCCCTAGCATCTCACTTGGAATGTTTTGGGTCATTTGGAGCCTCTGGTCGATTGCACTTATAAGTTCGTCAACACTTCCCGCCGAAATCGCGATTTTTACCGGTAAAGCAGAACGTCGGGCTCTCAACGTCCAATTGAGGTCTAGTAGATTCGTTTCAAGGTTTTCTGTGAGAAAATCTCTGTATCGCGACAGAGTTCTTTGCAATGCTGACTCAGAATTGGCAGAAAACACGAAAGGTATAAGAGCGATTGTTTCTGTCCGATATGACTCCTTATGTTTATGTTCAGGTGGTGTGTAAGCTTCAAGAATGGCATGAACATTAGCGCCTCCAAACCCTAATAAAATGTATCAGTCATCATGAGACTTTGACTAGCAGGTTCATAGGATGGATACGCACCGAAGCTGTTAACGCTGGCTCTTCGAGGTACGCCGTCCGCTAATGCCGGCCATGGAATGGCACCCTCTGTAACCAACTTTAACGGTCCGTTAAAGGGAGCAATCTCTGGATTCAGATTATTGAACAGCCTATTCGGTGGAATAATTCCAGCCTGCAAACTAAGTGAGGCCTTCAAAAGACCCGCCAGCCCAGCCGTTCCTTCGGTGTGACCCACTATGGTCTTAATTCCTCCAACATAGAGAGGAATTTCTTGCTTCGACTGATCAAAGTCAGCGCCAAAGAACGCACTATGAATTGCTTCGGCTTCTTTGGGATCGCCGACTTGGGTTCCGGTACCGTGTGCCTCAAAGTATTGAGGTTGGTCGTTAGAATTTCTCGCATTCAAGCCAGCATGTGCGTACGTTTTCCGGATCAATTCCGCCTGCAACGCAGCACTTGGCATAGTAATACCCTTAGTTCGTCCATCTTGGTTAGCTCCCGTGTTTCGAATTACACAATCGATATGATCGCCATCTCTGATGGCGTCGCTGAGTCTTTTCAAAACGACCGCCACAAATCCTTCACCACGCCCGTACCCATCAACGTCGGCATCCCACATTGCTGATCTCCCCTTCGAAGATGCCATATTGAGCTTGCTTAGTGCAATGAATAGCTCTGTAAAAATTCATTAGAATCTTGTGTTGGCACAACTACGTTGGAATTTGCTTCACCTGGACCTAGGATCAAGTTTCCACCAGCAGCAACAGCAATACCGGACTCTCCCATTCTGAGACTTTGTACAGCGCTATGCAGCGCCATAAAACTGGATGAACAGGCCGTATCAATGGTCATTGACGGTCCATGCCAATCAAAAACATAAGATACGCGATTCGAGATAATCGACCTCGCAGTAGCAGTCGCGAAATACTGTGGAATTGTATCTGGATCTCGCATCAAAATATCTGTGTAATCAGATGCCATCACTCCGGCATAGAAAGCTGTGTCAGAACCAGCGAGTTTCTCCATAGGGAGTCCAGCATTTTCGATTCCTTCGTAGACAGTTTCGAGAAGCAGCCGTTGGAGGGGATCGATGGATTCTGCTTCGACAGGATTAATACCGAAGAAGCCAGGATCGAAGAGCTTGAAGTCTTCGCTGAGGAGATGAGCGTGGGTAACATTAGTTGCGCCATGGTGATGACCGTCTTTGTGATAGAAGCCGTCTGTATTGAAGCGATCTATCTTCCGAAGGACATCTCTCGGGTTTTGGAGGAGTTCCCATAGTTTGGAGGGCGAGCTGTGAAATAATTTTATGTTAGCTTGGATACATGTTGTAGTTGGGAATTGACAATTGACAATTGACGAGTCGTTTGTAGAGGACAACCACGTGATAAACGTGTTGAGCTCAGTGATAGCTTTTATGGAAGAGACGACAGAAGTAAGTTTCTAACCTGGCTTCTCCTGGAAATCTACATCCACTGCCAATGATTGCGATTGGTTCCGGGATTTCTTTCGCCATTTTGTTCGAAGGGATAATAAGTCACGTGGAATTTTGTTGACAATATAATCTATCTTCTACAGAATGAATTTTCAGGAGAGTTAAGAAGCCCCCACGACTTATGAACCAGAGTTCTATCTTATATTCTCTTACCGTGCAAAACATTTATTTCTACGCTTCACTTCCTTTGGTTTTGGTTCCGATCAAAACTTGCTATTCGCAATCTTCTTCGGACCGTCGATCTCCACCATAATAATTCAAGCTTCCGTTGGTTCTACACCTGTTTAGGTACTGTACTCAGTACCTTCCCTATTGAATAAAAATGAGCCGATGGATGTTGAGGCTCTGGTAGCGTCTCAATCCTTTTCCGGCTGTTGTCGCATTTCTTGCACTTACCGCTTCCGAATTGGGCGCTAATATGGCATCTTTCTGCAGTCTAAGTCTGGATTTTCTGAGCCCTTGAAACGTTATAGGTTGTGACTTTCGGTAACATAGAGGGTCTCGGCAGCAAACGTTTTGGGATTTCCATCCGATGTGTTTGATAAAAAACAATACTCGGTCTATCTGGAGCTTAAAGCTAATTTAAATAATTTTGGCTTTGTCTGAGAAGTGTTGTGGAATTCGTGATGCTATATTTGGAACTCGTTTCGGCTTCCTGTCTGAGCAGTCAGATGGATAAATGCGGTTCTTTTCGCTTGCGCGGAAGACCTAACAGAGGCTCCGACAGGACTTAAGTGTGGCAATGGCACAAGTCTGAAATTGCAAGCCGTTGATCGATTGTTTACTACGAATTCACCCAAGATTTCCCTGTATCTCCTGGGATTCTATGTGTTGATCAATAAGATCGGAGTACAATCGTGTCGATAAGACTAATGAGGTGATTTATTTGTTGGAAAGCTTCAACAATATGCAGCAGACTCATTACTCGTGTCTGATAACTTGTAGAGCAGCCGTAACGCACAGTTGTTATACTCTTCTCTGTGGATGAGGGATACTTTTAGATCGATGATAAATCCATCATGTTCGTCGCCTGAATTTTGGTCATACTGTAAAAATACTAGCAGCACTTCATCACCTAATTATTTCTAACACTTGACGTGCAGGAGCAGGTTGTATTCCGTCAAGTGTTTGATATTTTGAACATAGTTCACATCAAGTACTAAGGCCAGGTTAGCAATCACCTTTTGAACGGTAGCGATAAACAAATGGATCTTCCTCATATTCCTGACCGGTAGAGTCTTTCCACATAGCAAGGCGGCCTGGGTTAGTTGCAAAAACTTGAATACCAAAAAATCGCAGGCATAAGTGGGCGATACCTTGGATATTGCATTGTTTGTTGCTGGTTTCCCAAACAGGCAGGAAAAATGTCAACATCCACAGCCAAGAGAAAGACGGCAGAGTTGTATTACCTATTCCGAGCAAGAAAGCCACGGGGCATTGAGATTGGTTCTAGTTTCAACTTGTGGCAGATCATGGACGGAACGGGCCGAAGGGAATGAGGCTCTACGATTCCGTGTCGCTTGTGTCTTTGCAAATGCAATGGTATAGGTTTCGCGCTCTATTAGAGTCATTTCCAAGGGCGATGTACCTATGGTCAAACTTCTATGAGCGAACCCAAGACATGGATTTGATTCTACTCTGCATTTTTAGACGGATCGAAAGCCAGAACATCAGAACGCTTTTGAGAATTTCAGCCTTCCTAATTTGAACTCAGGTAGGGCAAATGGCAAATTATCCTGCATAGGTACCGAGTATGCCATGTTGATCTCCGCTCGCGGAAGTGACCGTTTCCACAGAGTTTGTCACTTTTCTCACAACTGATGGTCATGACTGTAATACGACAGCCTCTTGGAATGAATTTATTCAATAACGAGCGAAGGATAATAAAATTCCTTTGAGAATTAACCTAGGTACATTTTATGCATGCTCGCGGAGGACAAAATGAGTGGCAGTCACCTACCCGCAAATCTTAGACTAAATAATAAGTCGACTTCGAATAGAGCTTAAAAAGTCTTATTTATTCACTTGAAACAGTTGACGAAATAGTCATAATGTTCTGAGTTAATCCACTAAATTACGCTATTTCGTCAACTTAGTCGAAGCACTATTCTAGTTCGACTGCCACGTATTTTGTCCTCGAGGCATGTTCTTGGAGCCATAATGGCCATGCAGGGCGTGCACGGACCTCATGCACTTTTCGGGATTTATGCGGCTAATGGCGTCATTGAAGATCATCCGAGATGGACCAATCAAAAGGATCGCGTCGACACGATACCTTTGTTGAGTCTTAAAACCGATGTTGCGCTCGAACCATTTCACAACTTCGCGTTTCGTGTTACTGATATATTGATCTGAAAGCCATGGCTCATCACGAATCTGAACCGATGCCGAACTGGCTAGATAATAGCGAGTGGTCGGCGCCGAAACAAGCACCCGACTCTGGCCTGTTACACTTCGAACGTCTCCTCAATTTCTCAGTCCCTGGCAACGACGCCGATATCCACAACTGCGAGCCAAAGCCCTCCAAACCGCTGGCATGTGTAAGATGCCATGCTCAGAAGCTTCGTTGCGTCAGAAAATCCGCTGACGTACGAACCTGCGATCGATGTCAGAACGCCGAAGTTGAATGCACTTCTCGACAATTACGTCGTATGGGTCGACCTGTCGAACATCACAACAACAATAAAATGGCAAACGGTACAAGATCAAAGCATAAATTACAGAAAAAGGCAAACGGAGCCCGAAATAGAGGTTCGACCGACGGTTCGGCTCGTCCGCCGCTAGTGGGGAGTGAGGGGGGGAGTGAGGGGGGTACTAGCACATGGTCTCCACTAAGTACCGGCCGGCCGGTGTCAAGACAAGACAGCGACGGTAATCATATTACGGCTTCTAGTATATCCTCAAATGATAACGATATCTTCATGGACGTGGAGGTAACAACACATATACCAGGAGGTCAATTCACGAACGGCAGCAGCAATAGTAACAGCAGTAATCCCACAACTCAGCTCACTCCAAGCTCATATGTAGCTTCGGATATGGATATGTGGTCGTCATGGCCAAGCCCAGCAAAATTGACTTCTTATACGGATTCCTTAATAGCTGGATTTGATGGTTCAATCTCTTCATTTCCAAATTTTGAGGACCTCTCTGGGAGCTTGTTTCCCCAGGGTATGGATATCGGCGGATTCGGAGAGAGTCATAACCTAAACAATAGCAACTCACGCTCTCCTCGCGAAACCTCCCCAGATGATCCGGTTGAGCAACTTTCGAAATTCCAAATCGAGCTATATCAATGCCTTACATCCGTCAAAGTCGTCGAAAAACTCAAAAAGCAGAAGTTGCGGGACATGACTAAAATGTCAAAAGAAGTCGAGGAAATCGATACTACCTGGTTACAAGACTTGTTTCAGACATCGGAACGGTTTATAGAAGCTCTAACCGGCTTTGTCAGCAATACTTTAAGTATTACCGTACCGACAAACACGGCTGGTGATTCAAGAGAGGTTCAGGAGTCAAATGCTACCATCGAAGTCGACACTGCCACCGGTCTAATGATAGTGAGCTGCTATATGCGCCTCCTTCAAATTCTCGAAGTGGTCGTCTTCATAGTTGAGACGTACCGCGATTTTGACTGTCCAGGCACCTACGTTGAAATACGGTTTGGATCATTCATTCCGAAAACTGACAAGGCTCTGTCGGCTCGTTTACTTGGGCAATACGTGCTGCATTTATTAGACGGAATCTCGGAAGCGGTTGATAAGGCAATCGCGTCACGGCAGCCATATGCTCGTGCGATTGCTGATACGCGCAGAGTGGAAGGAAAGCTGAAGGAGCGTATTTCTACCGCGTTACATTGATTTGAGTTCGTTCATGGGCGGAAAAATCATTTGGAACGGAGTATGGCAGCGAAAATTGCAAATGTCTCTAATTCTTTTTGGAATGATGAACTTCACAGTTAAAGTGGCTATCATACTGCACGGTGCAATTCTTGGAGTTAGTCACGTCTGGTTGGAATTCAAGACAGGCGTAAATTTTGAAAGTTGCAAAAATCTCTTTGCACATCACCGCATCAAGATGGCTTTGATGGTAATCGTACTTGCTTTTATCTAGATCGGACGCTTTTGAAGTTGGCTCTTATAGATGAATTCCAATTAAGATGGATCTGGCGTTCTTGTCGGTTACTCACTTTTAATTTTTTAAATTTCCTTAGTCAAGGAGATGACTTTTCTTCTCTCCGTGGGAAATCACCATGACCTTGAAACCAACAACTCATGTTTCACATCTTTTTGGACAGAAACAGCTGCTCGACTGTCAACACTTGTGCGGTCTCGCATCGCAGGCCTGCAGACTTTGATCATCACTAGATAGGTGCAAATGTAGAGACAGCTAGCTTCTCCTTTTTCATTTTTTACTGACCAGAATGAAAGTTACACAAAAACGACGGACAAGTTTCGAGATTGATCGGACGTTCCTCCGACGCACTGTCTAAACCGAATCGCGATCAAAACAGTCTGCATACCATGGCAGACAAGATATTCGCCAGCAACATGCATAGAAGCGGCCAGCTTGAACCTGCTTCATCGGGAAAGGTGATTATACAACAGGATACAAAATCAAAGACTCCGGGATCGGAAGCGGGTTGTACCGTCAGGGCCGTAGATCGCTTCTCGAGAATCAAGCCGTGTCTTATATATCAATGTAGCACAACAGATGAGTTTCTTCATGCATCTGAAAGCTCTACCCCGCCCGGCACATCCAAGCCACCGAATCACGGCAGATAATCCGCCACGAGGTAGAACGGGCAAATGCCATTGTGGAGAACTAGGTTCTTATCAGAAAACGAGAGCAATGCCATTGTGGAGAACTAGGTTCTTATCAGAAAACGAGAGCTGTACCTTCGTAAAGTCACCGATAATGGCATCTGCTAGTGGCAATCATAGCGGAAATTGACACGGAAACTTCAATCGGAAAGGGAAGTTTTAAGTTGAGTCACCGAGTACACGAGGGCAAAGTATCCGACCGAAACGAACACTTTGGGAGTGATGAATTTGGCATGAGACGTTCAAAGGCTTGTTAGATTCAAGTCCCATCAGACTTTGCTGGAAGAACTCCCTTTCTAAGCCTCATCTACTATCACTTTGTGTACCACACAGAGGCGTAGACATATTTTCAGCCTCTTAAATCTTTTCCATCCAGCGGAAGCAATGTACTTCCTTTATTTTTTCTTTTCTCTGTTCGGAACACTCCTCGCAGCCCCACCAGGCCTCTTCCACGGAACCTCAGTAGTGATAATCCCCAGCAACGAAACATCAGATCCAGGAAACAGCACTATCCTAGCAGCGAATTTCTTTTGTTATATGGGAGAAAAAGGCTACTTTAGTTTCGGATGGTAAGCCCTTTCATTTCCGTCTTCTCGAATTCATCGACTACACAAGAAATCACACAATCTAACAATCTCTAGGTGGATACCACCCTCACTATCCGCAAACACCTCCCACTGCGTCCCAACCTCCCACACATTCCACTGGTACGAGCACGCGCATCTCCAGTCCTGCACCCCTTCCAGTTGCACCTACATCACGCAAAACTACCCCGTCCGCATTCCCAGCCACGCAAAAGGTATCCCACTCCCTCCTAACCCAGTGGATTACACGATCAAAGCGCTCGATATCGGGAATGGCGATTACGGGAAGATGGCGGTGAGTTATATCGATGATGCGGATACTGAATTGCGGGTTTATGGGATCGGGACGAGGGAGATTTTGGGGGGTGAGAAGTGTAGAGAGGCCTTGGGGACGTTGGAGTGGGTTTTGCAGAGGTGGAAACCGGACTTGGGGTTTGAGCTTGTGGATATTTGTGGTGAGGAGAGGGGGTTTGGGGGAAGTGGGTTGGAGGGTGGCGGGAGTCAGCAGTTTTTGGGGCAGTTGTGAGGGTCAAGGTGATTTGGAGAATAGGATCTTATTATTGTTACCGCATTGCATCTTATTGTGGATGATTAAGCTGCATTTATTGAAACACTTTACCGGGAATAGACATTCTGTTTAACTGAATGTTTGCTGTCGTCGCATTTGATCAGGACCGAGAAGAGAGTCGAAAGTTTGGACATACTCTAATAGTACCATTCATTAGCCTAGCATAGGCTTCCAATTGAATGGAGAGCCACAACGCATACTGTAAAGTAGTTATATCGAAGCCGGGTAAGTCTGCTATTAGTCTCGTTCTTGTAATATAATCTTGTTCAGACAACCCCCTAAATTTGCTAAATATTTTCGCTTTGCAACTAAAAGTCTCCATATTACCATTAGTGAAGCAGAATTTTACAAACGTTGGTTACTTGAAATCGATATAAATCAATACGAAAGTCCACGCAAGCTATTGCAAGTCGACTTTGCACACGAATTGTGTTTCATTTGGGGCTTTTTGTCTACGACTACATGTCTCATTAGCTACCTTTAGCGATTTAACCAGAATCAGCACAATTCTTCTAATAAAAAAGAACTATTGGACACCTGAGCTACAATCCGCCGCAGAAACGTTAGTATGTCAAACTCGTTAACTTTTTTGGAGTTGCTGAGAACTAACAACCTTTTAGTAAAGCGCGTGAAGTAAATTCCAAGACTTGATGGCGCAAAGGTAAAGGAACATCCGCAACTCTCACATTGGGCCCCAGCGAGAATCTATGATCTACATTTTAAAAATTGATAGTGATATTGGTGATCAAATTGCGTGTTGTGACAAATGGAACGTGTGGAACATCGGCTGAAAGATGAATCAGACAAGGACTTTTCGTATAGAAATTAGCAATTTAGAGGAAATAGCAACGCTCTGACTCTGACCACGAAACTCATGCATTTTCCCTTTGACAGTGTACGGTAATGGTGCTTAATCGCAAAATGGACATTGGCACAGCTGTCAGTTAGAATCGAAATCTGGGACAGCCTTTAGACGGAAAGCAAGGCACCCCCTATGTCTCTACGTACAACTAAATACAGGTCTTTATTGAAAATGCTCGCTCTCTCTCATAAAATAATAAGAATTGTAAAAATCATTCCCACAAATTGTTGTCCTCCCAAAAATCTGAGATATCTTGGCATTCAATCTGAAATATGTGGGGCGAGCTTGACCAAGTTTCTTCGTGAGCTTCCCTACAACCGATGAACAACACAAAAGGATCAGCCACAAGCAGAAGCGAACGGAAGAAACAAGATATATAAAATATTAGCTATGGAATATCCCAAGACAAACAAAGCACTTCGCTTTTCATCCATCGGAGAAGATCTGAAAGTGGTCGAGATCGATGTTCCCCCGCTTCTCTCAACAGAGATTTTGGTGAAGGTTCATGCGGCATCGATTAACCCCGTTGACATCCAACTATGGAGATCAGGAATCATAGGCGTAGTTTCAGGTCAGAAAGGAATGGGACGAGATTTCTCTGGCACCGTTGTTTCGGTAGGAAGCAGTGTCCAAGGGTGGACTGCAGGTGATGAAATATTTGGACTGCTTTTCCACGTGGTGAGTTGCAACGCCTATCTTCACGCGTTTCATCGTACCTGCAAGTTCAAATCCCATATATGTGTCTCAATTTTCTATTTTGCATCCTAATGATTCCCTGTTGAAACACGCTAATCCCAAAGCCAATAAGTTTGGCGAAGGAACATTCAGTCAGTACATCAGAGTCAACCCTTCGTCTGATCCCGTTGCCAAGAAGCCGACTGGCTTCACGCACGAACAGGCAGCTTCAGTGCCATTAGTGGCGTTGACTGCCTTCTCTTGCCTGGATTGGTTACCGACCGTGCAGCAATCACCAAGGCGGGTTGTCGTGAGAGGAGCGGCAGGTGGGACGGGTTCCTGGATTGTTCAACGTAAAAGATCCCCAACAAACGCGTTGGGCTGAGATAGAGTGCTGACCTGGATATTCAGTAGCAAAAGCCGTTTATGACTGCCATGTTACGGCCATATGTTCGGGACGAAATGCGAAGTATGTCTCTGGACTTGGTGCGGACGAGGTGATCGACTACACGAAGGAAGATGTATCTGCCACACTTAGGGTACACCGCAGCGATGCCAAAAGAGATTATGATCTACTTGTTGATTGTGTCGGAGGAACCGATTTGCTCGCTATCTATGCAAGTTGCTGCCCACTCCTCTCACTGCATGGACTCTAATCTTAATCTAGCCACAAATCCTGAACCTCAGAGGAGCATATGTAACCATCGTCGGCGACAAAACAAATGTCAAATCTCTCGGGGGGCCAATTACATACCTAACAAGCCCTGCCCAGATACTACGCTTCATCAAGGGCTGGGTATTCGGCCCACGGTATGCCTGCGTGTCGCTCTATTCCAAATCTGATCTTCTGGAACAAGTTGCTCGCCTTGCGGACAGGGGCGAGGTCCAGGCGGAGGTGCAAGAGGTGATAGAAGGTGCATTCGATGAGAGGGAAGCGTGGCGGAAGGCAGTGCAGATGATGGAGGAGAAGAGAGTCCGAGGCAAAGTGACCCTGGCTATTCTATGAGTCTCGTTCTCAGAGCGGCCGCTCGTCAGACTCACTGCACTGACCCACACTGGAAGACGAACTAATATATAATATATGTGTATACCTGAATAGGTGGTTGATTTATATTACCGTTTAATAGACGCGTAATATCTGAGTTTACTAAGCATTTTCTTGGACGAAGCTTGTACGACACGGGTGACAAATTGCAGGCAAGACATGATGCAGGCAAAGGCAATGCTCAATCTCGGAAAAAAATGTGCACGTTTTTCAGCACTTGCTGTAGTAACTTCTCGCCACCGGCTTGTTGAAGTCTCTCGTGCGACGGTGGTATACGTCGCAAGAAGCAAGCAGTAAACGCGAATAGGAATGTCGGAAAAGTGTCAAGCAAATTGGAAACATGGAATCCACGAGTTGATGCTACAAATTGCAAAAATAGTGTCTTAATGCCAGCCCGGTGACCATACTCGAAGTGCTGACCGTTTTTCTTGGGTATGAAGCCGAGCGTGAGATGTGATGTGAGGAAGCCGAACGGCGAATTACATTTCGCAACTACCCATAACATTTTTGAAAAAGTCATCATGATCTTCTCTACATGCTTTTTGTTGCACAATTGAGATATACAGGAGCTTCGTATGGGATTATTTGGGCTTGTGGGATCGAAAATGCTTCCAATCCGTCGAAGTGAACGCAGGCCCAACGCCCAGCTACCCCTATCCAGCAGAACTCGCAAAGCGATTTTGGTCGTCCACCAACCACAATACTCTCTGGGTTTGAATTTGTTCTTAAATATTCATTTGCGTCATGATACAGTTTATTCGGACTAACAGCTAAGTCACAGAGACGAGAAATGGACACGAAACAAGGAAGGATTGAGTGCGAAAGAGACCACTGACGATCATGTTCGAAACGCCTGTGAAAATCCACGTTGGCCATTCGGCACATAGTTAATTCTAATTCACATCACTGCCACATCGAGTTTTTCATGTGAAGGCCTATTCTGTAGGCTAACTCGACACAGGATACCCTCAATAGCCTCTCAGATAATCGTCGGCGAAGGAAGCGGATCTTCGAAAACACAAATCGATGAAAAACCATGGATCTCCGCGCGATCTCTCCGATCTCCATTATACCAGAAGGCAAAGCATACTTCGCCATCTCAAATCCCGAGTCGATATCCCTCTACCACTCTGCACATTTCCGAATCCTCGGAAACGCGACATTCTCGAAGCGACCCGGAGCAAACACAATCACTGCACTTGGGAACTGCTAGTAGCTTCAAGGAAGAGAGGTCCAAACTTGCATGAACAAGGAAAATGGTGGATATTTTCGGAGGGTCAATAACCCCTTCGCATATTCGCCATAATGAACCGCGATGAAAGTCGCACAGCACACGGAGATACAATTCACTTGCATCGAAAACCCCTTTCCACGAGCACATGCTCAACGATCAGAGCCAAAACTTACGGACCTGTGAGGCCGGCTCGGGGCATCTATAGTAATCGTCAAGCAATTCGCGCAATCCACGCGGCTCGTCGTCTATCCTCCAAGCGTCCGAACCGCATCCACCACTCTCTCTTTCCCATCTAGCTCCAGTTTACTAAAATCTTCCGACACCATATCTGCCTCGCCATGAATAAAACACAAGACAGCAAACATGATCATCGCCACGTAAATCTCCCCACAACCCGGATCTACCGAGCAGGAATGAAGTTTCGGTGACGAGAGTGAACGTGATGAGGAACAAATCTGATCTTAGTAATCCAGCATGCGGTGTGGCGTGAGATACAATGTGACCTACCTACCTGCCCTTTACGCATTACCAACCTGCTTTTATTTTCTTCGCATAGTCGTGAACGCGCATTTGAAATCGAGTTTTTTTTTCTTCTAAAAACCAATGGCTCTGCGTATGTTTACTGCATTGGGCAAATGATACTGAAGTCCGCGCATTCAAGGCTTGCATGGGGGAGCAGCTCGTATCAGTGAGATGGTGGGTCTGATAAGTGGGGTTGGGGAAGCGAATTGGGGAAACGAGGAGAGGATGTCTGGAGGCGGAATGTAATTATGGAGTTCAGTAATATAATCTGTAATTTATTTGAGTGATCTAATGATAGCTATATCTTGACTCTACTGTCTGACTGAATGATACCTGTATCCACGTCCTTGTTGTCTAGTACTAGTCTTCCGAAGACTGCGCCACAAAACTCCAATAAGCAACGCTGTGTGTCAAAGATCAAATCCCAAATGCTGCAATGCACGAACCCCGGAAGACCAGTCGTGTTGCCGTAGAACCCCAAACTCCGAATCCCAATGCCAATTATATGTCCACAATTGATACTCAGAACTCACATAAACCCATTGATTTGATCGACCCCTGATATTGCAATATCTGTCGTGTAAAGTCCATAATACGTTCGCCTCCAACTTTCAGCAAGCACCGGATCTGGTTCTAGATCTGCAAATTCTATGCCGTTCATGCCTAGTTCGACCGACAGAAACACCGCGCGGTCGAGAACCTGTCGTGCCAGATCCATTTTGTTTTCACAGTGTAGTGCGAGTGCGATAAGTAGTAATGTCTGGATGGAAAAGCCTGTTGAAGGTAAAGATGGGAGATCTAGGAGAGCTAGTGCGGCGTTTCGATAGGGTGTTGTTGGAATGGAAGGGTCGTAGAGAGTACCGACGTAGGATATCGCGGTTGTGAGATGTGAAAGAGATGCAGGGTCGGAGTCAAGGCGTGTAAGGAGGTAATAACGGGGTAGTACAAAAGGATGGGCTTTGTAGAAGTATCTATTGTGTATTTAGTACTGTATGTTCCAGTCTTCTGAGGATGGAAGGCTTACGTGTAGAACAAATCGATTAATCTCCTGGTGCCAATAGGCCGATCTCGAGCGGCATCATTCCCAGGACTTCGATTCTCTAAACTTCCACTGATTGAATTTGGAGCGCTTCCAGTCATGCTTCCCCATGGATCACTTTCTAAAGTATAGCCGGCACCACTCATAGAACCCGAAGAGGTTGAGTATTCTAAATTTGGCGATGCTCTAGAAGATGTCGAACTCTTACTCTTCTTTGGAGCATTACGGTCGCGCATTCCACGCCTTGACTTGGCATAGAAGCATGGCTTATCATCGGTAGCACATCTTGAACAGCCAGGAAGCTCAGCTCCACATTTAACATGACGTGAGCGACACTTTTGGAGCAAGTCAGTTTCTATATTCTAGAATAGGTGGAGGTGATGGAGGGATCAGGTGTGAGAAGAATAATCCTCGTATAAGCTTACCGGTATGCATGCTAGTGAGACTCGAATTCCACCTCTAGGCGCACCGGTCGTCGTTGCTGGCTTTGGTGGTTCGGAGTTTGATGTTGTAGATTGAGGTGATGGACTGTTGTCTTCCATTGTGAGATTATCGAAAGAAAACTCTGTCAGAGATGGTGGTGACTCGAAATCAAAGAACATAGAGATTGACTCCGCTCTCTCTCTCAGTTGAGTTGTTTCCGAGTTTGCGCCTCCAGTGCTAAGCATATCGTTATAGGGAAGTCAATCCGTCGATTGAATGTAGAATCTCTTGGCGAAGTAGTGAGATAATTGATGCGCTGTAACCTCCTATGAACTCTATTGTATGGTGCCAATCCGAAGAAGTTGTAATCGCTTCACCAAAAGTCGAACTTGTTGCTGTATGCTCCTAGAGTAAGATGGATCGGATGATCTGGTAGATGAAGTAGCAATATGGAATGCAAGAAGAAGAAGGAAACTGACACTGGCGGAATGAACATATACATATCGTAGAACAGCGGATTGAATCCCATGAATAAAAGTCGAGAAGCCCGTCGTAGCAGCATAGTACCACCCCTGTAGGAACATGCATATAGGCACCTTAACCTGCTTTGGTCTGTCAGACCTTCTGTCAGCGGAAGTCGCCCAAGTAAGCATTGACATGGAACCAACGGGCTTGAAGCAAATCAAAGATACCTTGCCACAATTACACCACCCACACCTAGTTCCTCAAATGGCCTAAAGGATTCGAAATTAGACCGTGACCACACCCTTGTCGAGAGTGCATCGTATTTCAAATTAGAGTTAATTCTTTATACCCGTCTCACCTTAAAACGACCCACATTTTAGACGCGCAACTTACAGCCCCACGGAAGGTTTTGGTCCTTACTGGCTATGAACTGGTCTCAACAGCATCTGTGATGGCTAAACAAATCTAGCATCTTCTCTTCGATTTGCATGGCTGTGCAACGATTACCAGTGTATTGCCAATGCGTGGTAATAGCTTAGTGATAAGATTGTGATCGGAAACACTCATTATACAAGCCCAACCAGTTGCGTGCGAACTTTGCATTGCCTAATTAAGAATAGACCAAAGAATTTTTTTTGTTTGATCCATAATCCTGTTTGTCGGATAGAACGCACATTTATTCGGCGTTGATGAAGTAACCAAAAGGCTTCTGAGTCGGTTTCAAACAGCTCACATTTGGAACTATGGATTTGTCCACGAAAGACACAAAGAGTAGCCGACACAGCTGAGACTCTGACCCTGTGCCATGTGCTTTCCCCTGAAGCCACAGAAATGTTGATCTGGGCTTTCAGTACTGAGGGTAGGCCGATCTAGTCTAGCGACCAATCTCACCCCAGCAAGAGTAATACGACAAGCGAACTGTGTTTTTCGGGCTCACGATCATTGGATAGATCCCGAAATTTGCTGCCGTTCCAAATGATCTCACCACCAGTCGTCCCGTCGCTAAAAGATCTTCAGCATGACTCGTTGGTATAATTCGTGTATTTTTACTGACTGCATTACAGCATCACTGGTCTACAGCGTTCACGATAGCGGCTCACCCAAGGAAATTGTGTGTTTGACAACATGATAACACGTGGAAAAGCACGGCAGAATCGAGGCATGCGGGGAAGGCGTCTGACTTTCAAAGTCAAGCACTGCGGACCATGGCCGCTAGGAGACTAGCGACGTTGACCACAAAATCAACAACGACAAGAAAGCGGAAGGCTAGCCGCAGCGCGGCAAACCAAATTTCAGGAAGAATTTCTCGAAACCTGTGTAAAAGAACATGAAAGGAGACCTTCATATGCGTAATGGCCACTAGCACAGAACTAGTAGGATCATAAATGACTGCAGTACGCGAAACACCGAGAACACAAAAGTAGCACACATGATACCTTATGTTTAGCCAATTGTGAAGCAGTAATGACTTCTCTGACGGATATTCAACCAGAGCAGGCACACATTAACCATCAACTTGACTGGTTTATTATGGATGCCATAGACTTCCACAGCCATGCACGGAATGAAGACCCTGGATGTAGGCAAATATGCTCACCGCTAATGAACATATCAAGAGCATGGCATAAGGTAACTCCAGTCGAGGGGATTGATCAACGAGACACGCCATAGAATCACTGACAACAGAAACAAATAAACCACCGACGTACGGCCGTACCAACAAGCGTGGTGCTTCCTTTTGGATTGCCGATTAGTTTTCCCGTTTAGAGACTGTCGAGCATGGTTGATTGTTCCTGCATGAATGTCGCGATATAGAGAGTCTAGTGTAGCTGAGGATGTGCTGTGATCACTGCGGAAGAGGCACCGCAAAGTGGAGGCGTCGGCCGCCAGCAGCTTGTTCCTGATTCGAGGGGAATCTTTGAGCACGAGTTGCCTTATGGTGTGGGACGGGTATGGATGCATGGAAGTTCAGTCTGTAATTGAAGCTAGTCCGCGTGTACTCGAGTAATCGTCCAGATACCCGTATTCAATTAACGAGTAAATTATCTTTGATGATTTATTGAGCTTGAATAATCGTGAAGAACACTAAACAGTGCTTAAGGCCAATGAATTGGAATTTGGAAAGGCGTGGTATACGAAAGGTGGAAAGTCGCAGGTCTCCAGAAATTCTGCAGCGGTTCCTCACCGCATCGTCAGCCACAAGAGGGAAACAAGATCCGGTTTGGGTTAGCTGTAAGGATCAGAGCTACCGTCATTCTCTCGTGATTGCAACCCCAAAAACGAGGGATTCCGGGGATATCGACAGGGCTGCAGCTGATTGCTTTAGGGCTGGAAGAAAATGCAAGCAATCAGAGCCAGTCATTGCTCTAGAGGAAGTTTGGTAGAGTGTCTGGGCTCATAGAACGTCCCGTTCAGGTGGGATCGGGCAAGCCGTGTCTGGGTCGATTTGCATGCGCGAACCACAATTGTCGCATAAGCCCTCCAATGGGTAAAGGTACGGTTGGCTGAGGCTGATGAGCGTGAATTGCCAAGGGCGCAAGCTAGTATAGCCAGGTCGCTCCAGTGCTTTACTCATCGCCATGTGCATTATTAAGGGAGGTTCACACGTTGTTGGGAAGTTTTAGCGTTTGTAAAGAAGAGATAGACGAGATGGCGGTCTGCGTAGGGCGTCGGATCCCACAGTAACTGGTTGCCGTCATAGGCGGCGTCTAGTTAAGCTTAAAGATGACATGAGCATTGGGGGCGCGAAGATGCAATTCGTTGAATGTGAGGTTGGAGTTTGGAGGAGATGCCGTGGTCTACAGCCGTAGTTGGAAATGCAAATTGTCGTTTGAAAAGAGTTGCCACGTGCTCGGTTAAACATCTATCAAGGCGTCTATCACCAGTGACAATGCTGCGGTTTGGCCTCCTCAAAGCCCGAAGGCCAAGGACTTTCCGATATCATTCATTCGATTCCCACTTACGAATGCTTCCTAATGCCGTCAGCTTCGAATGATACTCGAATACCTTCCAAAGTTCCCTTCGCTTGCAGAAGGATGCTTACGTGAGGAAAGCTTGTTATCTGTTTCCTGGGGGTCAGATTGTGCCATCACTCTCACTTTGTCCCGTATATCCAGAATATACCCTTGGCCGCTAGTGAAATTGGCACCGATGTTCCCTTAACATTGCGTTTATAACGTGGTAAGACGACCAAATGCGTTACCGACAGGGCGTGCGGTGTTAAGGATCTTCGGTCGGCCAACGGAGCTGTCATCGGCGATAGAGCTGGCCCGGCGCGATCTGGTCCCGACTTCGAACAGCTTGAACCTCGGCTTGTCGGCCACCACTTTGCGCTGCGAACAATCGTGCGACAGCGTTCGACATCGATGAAAGCCGCCAGAGGGAAATCGATATCCATTCCTAATGACGTCCATGTAGCATGGTGTCCAACGATTTTGCCCTCGCTCAGCAGCGCCTAGCTCTTCGGCGACAAGCTCGAGAGCGTGAAAACCAAACTAGGATAGCAGCGCAACGAGAAGCATCGAACGCGTCGCAGCGACTCAGAAAGCTTCCGTATCCGCTGGGACGGCTTGGGGAATCCGGAATTTCACTCTGGGATGGCATACGTGGGAGAGAAGGGACACGCCCGGCTTTCAGAGTTGGGCAGGTGGACGCTGAGCTTCTCGACGAAGAACTACTCGATCTTCTGAAAGGACAAGTCGGGGATGCGCTGAAGTATTTCGGCTCACACATACAGGATGACTGGTCTGCAGAGATATTACTGGCACTGAGGGCTGTCTTGTTCAAGATCACTATTTGGGATCACGATGCCACATACGGTGCGGCGCTGCAAAACCTCAAATTCACAGACGCAAGGAACAAAGGACCAGTGCTCGTGTCACCATCGAAGTGGCAGAAGTCTCTATACGGCTTATTCACAGTAGGTGGGAAATACGCATGGACAAGATGGGAGAACTGGGTAGTCGACCATGATAATGGGTATGATACACCAAACCCGAGAATGCAGACATTTGCGCGGTTGTCAGACGCAATATCCACGGTACACTCGACGCTCGCATTCGCTTCTTTCTTAGTGTTCTTGGTTAATGGAAGATATCGCACTATTTTGGACAGAATCTTGCGCCTGCGACTAGCACCTCCGACGTCACAGGTCAGCCGTGAGGTTTCTTTTGAATACCTGAACAGGCAACTTGTATGGCACGCGTTTACTGAGTTCCTTCTCTTTGTTCTGCCTCTTGTTGGCATTAGTCGTTGGAGAAGGTGGCTCGCAAGGGTTTGGAGAAAGACTAAATCAATTGTTGCAAGTAGCGGGGAAGAAGAAGATATCCTCAAATCTGGAGAGTTTGCTTTCCTCCCCGAAAGAACGTGCGCAATTTGCTATCAAGATCAGAACTCGACCTCAGCATCTGAAGCGGAGATAGTAGCCGCATCTGGAGCTTCAGGAGTTATTGGGTCGGCCCAGACGGATATAACAAATCCATACGAAACGATACCATGCGGCTGCATCTACTGCTTTGTATGTCTAGCAGGTCGACTTGAGGCCGAAGAGGGTGAAGGTTGGACGTGTCTCAGATGTGGCGAAGATGTCAAAGAATGTAAGCCTTGGAGTGGAGATGTCATTGAAGAAGGGGTCAAGACAACATCAACGACGAAGTCGGTTGGATTCAAGGATGTTCCCAAGGAAGGTATCGAGATGGAACCTGCTACCAAGGAGGCGCAAGTCGAAGAACAGCCAGGTCCAGCTGCGGGCGCAGGAAGCTCATCGTCGCGTGAATCTTCTGTGTTAGGCGACGAGGAGGCATTTGACGAAGAGGCGGAAGGAGATGTCGAGTACGACGAAGATGACTAGCCAGCTCTTTCCTAAACGGACAGCCTATTCTTCAAACGGCGTTGAAAGTCGTTCTGGAATCCGAGACAAACGGAGGGGTGCATATTGAGAAACTTATGCCGAGTCACCAGCCTGCCTGCTAATGCAACTAATAGTACTTTTGAACTAGGATATTTTTAAACCCTCAAAAGAATTACCTTCCACTGATCAGCTGATAAAAATCAATCCCCAAAATGGATCAATTTGACAGCGGCAATTATTTCCAAAGGCATGACGACATCGACCCTATTGGGTCATTGGCAAGCTAAAAGACTAGGGTCCTGTGGGTCCAGAATGTGCACAACAGTTGACCACATCCTTCATACAACAACTCATCGTGCAACGACACCAAGTATCGTCGAGAAACTATTCTGATCTTATACATTGAGGCAGCTATTAGGCTCTTCGAAGATTCTCACTATTTTCATCCCTTGACGCGACAATGTGGGACCAGTTGGAACCCACAGGGCCTCACGTCACCTATTTAACATTTTCAGTATTCCTCATAACGTACGCGTTGTTCTCGCAATTTATCAGAAACAATCTTCATCTGTCAGAGCCGCCAATAGCTGTCTTGTTCGGCATCATCCTCGGTCCATATGTGCTGAATTGGATAACTGCTAAGGAATGGGGCCTCGACGATGGAATTATGCAAGAAGTAACCCGAATTATTGTCGGGATCCAATGCTTCGCAGTTGGGATTGAGCTTCCAAAATTCTGGTTCAATCGCCATTGGAAATCTGTGTTGTACTTTTTGGGACCTATCATGACATTTTCATGGGCTATCACGGCGTTGTTTGCATACCTGATTTTCCAAACTAGTGTTCCGACAGCTATGCTTATTGGCGCATGTCTTTCGCCAACAGATCCTGTTCTTTCAGCAAGCGTTCTATCAAACAGCCGGTTCAGCGAACGAGTGCCTGCGCGTTTAAAGAATTTGCTCTCTGCAGAATCAGCTTGCAATGACGGCGTCTCATTCCCGTTTTTGTACATTGGAATTGTATCTTTCAAACATGCGACATCCGCCGGAGAGGCGGTCAAAGAATGGTTCCTTATCACGATTCTGTGGCAATGTGCTCTTGGTATAGTCGTTGGACTCATAATAGGTACCATTGCGAACCGGGTTCTTCGCTTTACGGACTCCCGAGAATACATATCCGAGCCATCATTCGTCGTCTTCTATCTGCTTCTCGCCATTCTCTCCATTGGAGTTGGCTCAATGCTTGGATCAGATGACTTTCTAGTCGCTTTCGGCGCTGGTGTTGGGTTTGCTCATGATGGATGGTTCTCTAGCAAGACCAAAGCAACAGCATTCCCATACATCATCGACATGATCCTCAATAGCGGGATGTTCGTCTTTTTCGGTTCCATCATCCCATTCGACAAATTCGTGCCTTCCTACACAACACCTAATTGCGGAATATGGCAACTGTTCATCTTTTTAATTCTGGTCCTTCTCTTCCGCCGTATTCCAGTGGTGTTGGCCATGAAACGAATTGTCCCGGAACTACATACATACCGCGAAGCCCTCTTTTGCGGCCACTTCGGTCCAATGGGCGTTGGCGCATTATTTCTGGCCATCGAAGCTAGAGCTCAGCTTGAGACTGGCACCAGTATACCAAGAGGCGAACCAGATTTCAGCAAACCGCTTACCGATAAGCAGCGAGCTATATATCTTATTTGGCCTGTGATTTGTTTCGTCGTTCTCGGCAGTACGATGGTGCATGGTTTGAGTACCTTGGTTATTAGTATTGTGGGACACTTTGCGAGACACGAGGGAGAGCGGGCGCCCTTGTTAGGACAAGAGACAGAGGGGCTGGATGCTATGGTACATGATACGGGGAGTGAAGATGAGGGTGCTGCTGACGAAGAGAGTATAAGCGGGCTTGCGCGTTGAGCAGTCACAAATCTTGTGGAAGCTTCGCGCCGGTTGATGGCATAACTCTCAGGTGATTGATCGCAGATCTTCATTTGGTGGTAAACAAGCGAACTCGATTGTATTTCTATTTGCATTTGTATCTGTATCTGTATCAACATGATAAAACTAATCATCTCGAACTGGCATATGTGTATAGGTAAGTACTTTCCCAGAATCAAAACAAATCGCTAGCGAAACGGAAATTCTGTACGCCAATTCCAAAAAGTAAATTCCAGCCGAATTACGACACTCTCTTCTAACTAAACTTGACATCTCGGACATTACCGAGATACATAGACTCTTGATCTACTTACATTTAATCTCTATAACCTTATCTCTCTACGATTTCTGATAGAGGCATTAATGGTTTCCAGTATATAGAGCTGGTAAACATAGATCTCGATGGCTTTTCATAGCCGAGCTTGCTGAGATGGGGTTCTCGACGTCACATGACATGACACTTACTTTCCTTGTTGTTTAGCCACCATACTTACCTTTCAACTCCTTACCAGTACCTACCTTCCCTTTCCTTAAATCCAGAGGAGCATAACAAACCGTCTCAGAACCGACTTGCATTCCTTTGCTGTATGCTTCGCGGTTGCTAGAATCACAATTCCTGGCTCCCATGTCGACAGCACCATCTCTAGAGAAAGGCACTCCCTCTTCAACGGAAGCTGTCTACGCAATATTGAATGTATTATCCAATAATCTGACCATCGACTTGCGGCCCTCATTGGCAACATTGGTCGCAACCCCGACTGACACAACCGTGCGGCTTGTTTTTAACGCCGAAATATGTCGGCAACATCCTTCAACGCAGAGTTTAGAGGAATCTCATTCCCCTCATGTGCATTTGGTATAGTTTATCAGAGTCAAGTAGAAACTCTTTCACATAGAATACTAACGTCAGTGCAGGGTTCAATTAACATAAGTCCAATTGATATCCAGCGATATTTGCGCGAATATTCGACAGCCACTGTGGCTGCCGCCTGTAAATCCAGCAATGCGAACGTAGAAAGTCATGATATTTCCAATTCTACAGTTCAACCCCAGAGACGAAATTCTATGCTAGTGGAACCGGAGATAATCTTACGTTTTAGCCAGGAGTCCGATCATCATCTCGACAAGAGGCGCAAAATAAGTGACGATTCTCAAGAGGAAGTGATTGTTGAAGATAATCAGCAAGATGATTACCATGCTGCGGTGTTTGAAGATAATGCCACTACTCGACAAATTCAAACTAAATCACGCGAATTTCCTCAACGCAAGAAGAAGAAAGATCAGGACGTGCACGAGTTGCAGCCACTGTCTACTGAGAGGTTTGTTTCTGGTGTGTGGAAGCAGATATTCAATAGCGTAGAATTGACACCAAGCTCTCTAGTAAACTCTTCATATGTATGTTTTTATTGACTCGGCTAATAAATTGTAAAGGACAATCTATGTGGCACCACCAACCCAGGCAGCAGCTCTAATATTGAGGTTAGATTTTTCTCTCCCAAAGATATCCTGTCTAACCATTTTCTAGGCTTTTCGCTTTATCAACACGATTTGTCTACGAGTTACCAAGTTGAGCAAATGTTCTCGCGCTTTGGAAACTATCGTACAGGCCCGCTGGGTGGATTGCTTCGAAGCTCGAGTGAAGGAGATTGAAATAGAGACGCCGTTTTTATCGATTACGGAGACGAAGATGTGCGCTTTGAGAGAGGCATGCACCATGCTTCAGTGGTCGGAGAAGGAGCTCAGAAATAAATTGTATGATTGCCTCATCACTCAACTTTCTATAACTACCTGCAACACTCAACCCTAAATTCATGCGATTTGAATCTCGGTAAGCAATCATTCATGAAAAGACGTATCACTAATTGATCTAGATCCATCTGGCGAGGCTACAAAGAAATCAAGGACGCAGGTGGATGGGCTTGTCTAGTCTTCGCAGGTTCAGGAATTTACAGATTCTGTAAATACAGAGTTGGCTTCGGTAACGGTCTTACTACCAAGCTTGGGAAACAGCGATCTAGCTTAGAGGTCGCAGCAGACACAATACACCCGGAATGGCGACAACTGTTGAGCATCATCGGAGAAGAAACCCACTTGATCTACACTGGCCACCCACATGACTGGGTTGTGTCTGACGGGGGAACTCCTCTCGAGCTCAAGTCCACCTATACGCAGTGGGATCCAGATTTTCATTTTACGCATCTGGAATCTTCACAACTTGATCCGAATTCTTGGGGGACCGACGACCCACGTTGGACGTCGAATACAGACACCTCATTCTGTAACAGTTGTGGGTACTTGCAATCTAACGACGTATCTCGCAATGAATGTCGGTGTTTTCCGGAATTGTATGGAGGCTGTAAGACGCCAGTGGCAGTGCAAGTGTTTCGCACACCCTCTGGAAAGAACAATGGACTCATCGCGCGATGTGTAAGTGCAGTTTCAAATTGTTGCTGAGACCATTGTTAATGATTGCCATAATAGGAATTCCCTCGTGGCGCTGCAATTGGAGAATTCGTTGGACTGATTACGAAAGACATGGAAGGTAAAGATGTGATGCAAAGCGATAACAATGGGAAGCGCTATCAGATCTTTCAAGGGAAATTAGGTTCGAAACGCCATCTCTGATATCGACACAACTACTCACAACTTATGTTTAGGTAACTATACCCGTTTCGTCAACCACTCGTGTGCGCCCAACAGTCAGTTTCAAAAGTTTTGCTGGCTAGGCTCCGAGCGCGTTATCTTGACGTCTCGGGGAATCGAATCTGGGTCGGAAATCACAGTCGACTACTCAGATGAGTATTGGAAGGGACTAGACAAGGAATGCAAGTGTGGCGAGCCATGCTGTCGTTATTTGAAGAAGCAGACGAGAAAAGCTTGAACGTCAGTTTAGCAGCTCTTTGAAATAATCAAACACGCTTTTGTTTTGTTATATTATTCGTGGAGCACTCCCCTGAGCCTCGCGATCAGTACGAGACATCTATTCTATCACCTCGTCCAAGTCCAGCACCAGACGCCAAGAAATGCCAGAACACCTAGCAAAGCTCGCAGAGGACAAAATAAGTGGCAGTCACCTACCCGCAACTCTTAGACTAAATAACAAGTTGACTTCGAACAGAGCTCAATAGTCTCATTTAGCTAAAACAAATGATGGAGTAGTTATAATGTTCCAACTTAATCCACTAATCATACGATATTTCGTCATCTTGGTCGAACAAATCTGTTTCGACTGCCACATATTTTGTCCTCCGCGAGCAAAGGAGAATTCCTGGCAAGCCTTTCTCTTCAAAAGCTTACCCCTCTGGATTCAAAAGTACGACGCATGGCTTTCGACGAAACGAAGTGGCGTTAACGGTGAAAGCTGCCAACTCTCTGTCTCGGTACCCCTGATCTCCTTTCACTAAACTCACGTTCTAGACCGAAACCTTCTGTGCTGGACGTATCTGCAATCTTAGGCGCACCACCCAAGCTGGCGAGAACAACTTCATTTGTAGCAGTCAAGTCGTCCATGACTTGAAGCTCTTTCAAAGAAAAGAACTTTGGCATCAGGACCCAGCGAAACGGAATGAGGATACAGACTAGAACAGGGAAGCCTGGATGATAACACATGCGTCAGTGATTAAAGGGATAAAAGAGGCAGAAGAAGACTCCTAAAAAATCAACGAAACAGAAAGAATTGGTGGACATACCGATTGCTGCTATAGTTTGTGAAATTGCAACCGGCAGCGCCACGCCAATCATTTGGCAAAAGAGATAGAGCCATATTTTGCTTCGAGGAATCTGAAGCAGGGGATCATTGCTCTGGATGAAGCGACGTTCACTGAGGAGGAAGAGTAGTTTCTTCGTAATGCCATTGCTTTCAATGGAACCCCACTATGTTAAGTAATGTCAGAGAAGCGCATTTTTAAAACAAGATAGAATCTTACCCCAACGACGAAGAAAACCCCTGAGAAGATTGCACGTGGCATCGTGTGTAGGACTATCAAAAGAGGACCGGTCATCGTTCCGATAATACCCAAGCCCATTAGAAAGTGCGACACGCGTTGCTCAACAACCTTTGATGCTTTGACTATAGGGCGGCGGATTTCGTTGCCTTCCCCTTCCTCGGTAGCGATTACTCGAAGCTCCGTCTCGTATACGGTTAGGGAATCGGTATGCACTGGCGCCTGAAGGGTAGCATTTTAGCAGTTATGAAGCAAGAAATCATTGACTCGACCTACCTGAGGAACTAGACCATTTGGTAAAGGAATTCCCAGAATTCCCGCAATGAATGTTGTGCATCCCAGGAGAAAGAAGTCCCAGTGGAAACCACCAGGTTTCTTGAGAGGATATTGTTTAGCTTGAGCAGTTAAGCAACTGACGTTCTAGGAAGATTTAGCGCTGAAGTAACTGGATGTGTCGAGAAAGAAACCCACATGATCATAGTAAAAGAGGAGCATGACTAAAAATCCAAACGGCATCGCGACGAAGATCCATTTCACATCGAGCGTCCAGAACTCGATCAGCCAACTACGCTGCTGCGTTGGGTAAAAGGCTCGAGTGATGGGCAGTGTGCTGATATTCGATCTTTTGAGCGTTCCTGGGATGTGTGAAAAGCCGACCCAAAATAACGTGGCAATCTAATCGCGGGTTAAAAAATTATGAATTAAGCAGAGGAAGAACTTACTGGGTAAGCGTAATCAGCGAGCAAACCTCGAGCCCATGGCTTTGCGAGGACACCATTACCGAGTTTCTCCAAGGCGTAGACGGTTGCAAAATAAAGAATTGCTATTACGCAACTCAAGTATCCATCGACGACCCCGTAAGAATCGAATAAGCTGACCAGCTCTTCAACTCCCTTGACTACAAGATATCAGGTTCCCTCCGAACAAATGATTACATTAGGGTCAACTTACTCATATAAATAATCCCAACATACATCCCAAAAACCTCACTCGAGAAATCCGTCACATACCGCATATAATCGCATAAATTCCCAAACGCAACAACCCAGTGGAAAATGGCCGCCCATATCGCAGTCCAGCACATGAATCTGGGGTAGAGCGTTACGTCGTATATCTCGATGATATCGTAGATCGTGTAATTGAATAAGGAAATGAGTCCTGTGATACCTACGATGGTTAATGGTTGCGCGCTGATGGTGCTGAATACCATGGCCGCCAAGGCAGATGAGAAGAGTGATTCGTTGACCCCGTAGAAGCCGTTTGGTCGCCGGTCCATGTCGAGGGTATATGCTAACGCAGGGAGAAGGCTTTTGTAAAGATTAGGTCCTGTGAACTTTGTCGCCATAGAATAGTGAGTTTTACTTAACAAAGTACATACGTATAGTACTGGCGATAGTACGATACGTGAAGGCGTCTGTAATGTCACTCCGATAGAATGGGAGGCGGCGTCGGACGTCGTGGTACATCCCCCAACCTGGCCGCAGAAGTCTGAATTTCTCCCATCCTGTTTGGCCGTCAAAGGTGTAGCCTGGGGCTGGTCTAGGTGGTGGCGACTCTTTTGGGTGTAGCTGTGAGCTGCGTGTTTCCGTATTGCTAGGAATATCTGGTTCCGTACCAGTCGAAGAGTCGTTGGGTGCACTACTTGAGGAGTCTTTAATCTCCATCATAGAGGACGAAATTCCAAAAGAAGAATTTACACAAGAAACAGTGTTGTATCTGAACCTAATGCTATGCAGGAAACAAGTGTGCGGAAAGGTAGTTGGTGTATGGGTTCAGAATAGGCAAGAAGGTAGAGACGAGAAATGGTCGGAAAGATAATAAAAGTGAAAGTCCTGGTTATATAGCTGCAGATAAATCGAGTTTGCCGCATTCTACTAGGATGAAAAGCGACTAAACTTTCAATTGGTATACTTAAGTAAATAGACCGAGATTGAACTTACCAAGGTTGCTGTGACGGTCTGCCAAGTCGTCCAATACTCCACCCACTTCCTATCACCGTCAAAAAGCTACGAAAAGCCAAAATGTATGAGAAATCTCCATTGATGCACTACAGTTGACTGTGAACCTTTTCTAGATGCAGGTAAAGTCTCAGTAGGCGTTCGCAAACTGTGTTCTATGTCGATGTGTTTCTGAACGGGACGTAAAGCTGTTGGGTGGAATAGTGGAGCAATTTTCTGCCCGGGCAGAATATTTGTCTACTACGGCAGCACCAACGGCAACCAAAGATTTTGGTCTCGGCATCACCCAAAAGGCCCCGGAATACCTACACTCTAGACATTATCGTACTTTCGATTCAGCCAAATTGACCTTAACAATCTTAAAATACTTGAATCCTGCATCACGACATTCAGATACTTTCAATTTGGTGTTCGTGGCAGTCTTCCCCATATTGAATCAACGATCGAGGCATGCTCTAGAAATTTCTTGACTATTTTGATAGATTGTAAATCATTGAAGTAAGATAGTTGTTCATAATTTTTTGAATGAATCTGGGTTAAAAGCTACTGTCCCATTAGCAAATACTGACTTGATCGAATGTGCAACCAGCGAATTGGTACGTACAGCATGTTACGGATCGGGCGAAATTAGCAGCTCTTTTAGCACACCACTTAAACTGTATTGTAAATTTTAAGGCTCTGAAAGTCGAGTCCTTTTACTCATGCGCCATTCTCAAAACCCTTTCCTCCACAACTCTGATCAAACTCCACCGCCTCTTTCAACCCACAACTCTCAAAAAGATCCCTAACAGCCACCGCATTGCCTTTTGTCTCACCGGCCTCCTTCAAGTCCTTAAAAGCTTTGCCGACAGCCTCATATACCGCACCCAATGCTAACGTCGGAGTGATAACAATTTTGTACCCTAAATTTTTCGCCTGCTGAACATCGAATAATGGACTAACGCCCCCAGGTACACAGTTATACAAAGCTGGTACTCCAAGCTCTTTCATCTCCGCGCAGAACTTACGAGCTTCCTCAGCAGAACGTACACCTTCGAGGAATGCTACATCCGCACCGCACTCGACAGCTCCTTTGAGACGAGACACGGCTTCATCGTACCCGTGGTCGGCTAACGCGTCAGTACGGGCGATAATGACGATGTCACGGGATAGCTGTGTACGGGTCGCTGCTGCTGCACGAATGCGGGAATTGAATGTTGACGCTGGAACGAGTTGCTTATTAGACAGGTGACCGCAGCGTTTGGTAGTGGCTTGGTCTTCCAGATGGAATGCTGCTACTCCGCCGTTTATACTTTGTAGATCATTAGTTGATGCCAGTCTTAGACATTTTTGGCTGCGCAATTCCAACTCACTAAGCGGCTGTCGTACGACCGACCATCAATGGACCTAGTAGCATTGGTAAGCACTGTAGTAAAAAGAGAGTTAATTAGAAGTGAGCCTTACCACCATAACCTGTATCTGCATCTGCAATCACGGGAATCTTGGGATCGATATTTGCAATCATTGTAGCATTATCTCTCATATCGTTCATGGTAGCGAGCCCTAAATCAGCAGCGCCAAGTCTTGACATTGTAGTCCCAGCTCCAGTCTAAATAAATTAGCTCCTTTCCGAAATTCCATTGAGAGTTCGATACCATATACAAAATATTGAATCCAGTCTTAATCGCAAGTCTAGCTGTAAAGCCGTCGTAGACACCGGGACAGACCACAATAGCATTGTCTTCTGCAAGCATAGCTCGCAGCTTTGATGAAGCAGATGGCAGTGGTGTCAGGTCAGCCATCTTGTAGCAGATTTCGAGGGCGAGGTAATCGAGGTGCAAATGCAATTTCCTAGTAATACTTTGTCCCTAATTCTAAATAGCTATTTGGCGAATAATAGTATAATCTGCTCATGCAAAAGCCGTGAGTAGACGAGGAGGGTTATAAATCTCTTGAAGTTCCCACCTTCGTTTGTGGGGAAACACGTCAAGAACATTGTTAGCGGGACGAGCCGGCTGTGATTTTGCCAGGGAGAACCGAGTCATGAGTAAAGTCGGCTGCATGCTTCCAACCCTTTACCACGAGCTCCAAAGAGCCATAAAAGGGCTCTGGAAGTCTGGACATGTAACATACAAGGTAAGTAAGGAAATGCTAAGAGAATTTCTGCTGGTATGAAGAATTTCAGATGTCTTTGACTTAAGAGAGATAAATCACGCCGCATCAAGACGGAGGATAGATCGGGAAACTATACATATAGAGCAATATATCTGAGAGGAACGAAACTGGACGGAGAAGGTTCCTCAAATGCTCGCTCCCTCAAATGCTCGCTCGAATTCATGACCAACTTACAAAAAATACACCGTGACGGCGATCTGTCGCAGATATGTACCTTGCTCAATTTTGTCAAGCAAGGGTAAGTTTTTGCACGTAAACTAAAGCTCGCTTGATGCCTACTGGTCATTAATACTCATTATCATTAATATCATCATCAGATTCCTCCTTGCCTCTCAGGAGCTTTCCTTCATCTTGCCACAAGTATTGCAAGTCCACCATTTGTCTTCCATGATGGTGGTACATCTCGAACATGTCCATGTCGAATTCTGGGTGTCTGGTTTGAAAGCCGTAGCAGCTTTCGGTCTAGAGGCTTCCGCTAGCTTTTTGGTGACCGCCGGCGGTCGCTCTGTCGTGCATGCATCACAGCATAGATAATTGATAGGATTATGTAGAGTACAAATTTCACACGTCCATCCCGTCATTTCAGATGCTGATGAAGAATCTGGAGGCTGGACTGCCTTGGGCATTTCGGGCTTCGATCTTTTGGAGGAAGATTCACCGACCAGACGGCTGATATGCTTGGGGGCCTGTCTCGGAGGAATTGGTAATGACTGCGACGGACTTGCAGGTTTTGAAGATGACGGTTCAGTCTTGATCCGCTTCGAAACACCAACAGTGCCTCCCCCATTTCCTGTTGGATTTGCGGGTGTAGAAGGTACATAATTATCACCATATTCGTTTTTCTGGTCTTCCTGTATCAACTCCCAGACAGCAGCGGCAATAGCTCGATCATTTGCTTCATCCTCTTCTGCCTTTGTTTTGAATCCATTTTGTACGGCTCGGGTAGCAAGATATTCAATCTCATCGTCATTCTTCTCGGCGGAACCACAACCTTTCAGAACCGTACCGCGACGCTCAATAGCATCGACAATAACTTTCCGTATATCTGTTCCGACTCTGAGCGGTCGTCCACCTAGCTTTTGACCAGAGCCCGATGAGAGAGTAGCGCGCTTCTCCGCGGCTGCACGCGCGAGCCTTCTGGCTTCATGCATCGGTATTCTTCTTCCTCCGAGTTGACGCCCATTTGACAGAAATCCTTCGCCACTGTAGCCCTTAGACAAAAGAGCCTCGTATTCCTTGCGCTCTTGATCCCATAACGCGTGAAACTGTTCATTGTGAGGGCCATGTACATTATGTGCGAGCTCATGAAGCATAGTATCGACGACTTGTTCGATTGGCAAGAATTGGTTTACGTCGCTAGGATATCGCAACCGTAGGCATATCTTCTCACCACGGTTCTGATTTATTCCTGCATACAGTCAGATAGCTGAAAACTCAAGATCACCACAACTCACCAAGCAAGTTCTTTTGATCAGGGTAGAACTCTGCTAATATACCCACTGTCCAGTTGCGCGCTCTCATGATAGGCTTTACCAGTGAGGCTATCTTCCTTAGAGTATGTAAAGCTTCTTTTTCTCTGCTTAAGCTCTTGAGATGTGAATACCCATGGACTAGCGCATCGTGCTCCATGTTGACGACTCTTGTGTCAGGATCTGGCGATTGTAGGATATGCGCAACGATAAAATCGATGGTGCTCCTGGTGCTCACACTGCGCATAACAAGGTACTTAATGTTATGAATCAATCGCTAGTTGACAAAGGAAAGAGCAGAAAGGAAATGAAGCAAACCGTTCAGTGGAATTTTCTAGAGCGCCAGTCAATTCTCGAGGGGCGAATGTAACTGATCATTATTCGATGAGGCATCGCGGGTCGCGTCAAATGGTGCCTGGACCTGGATTACTAATCAAACTTTGGTGGCTCGCTTAAACCACTAAGCACATTCCGGGTTTGTGTAGAAGATAGTATATCATATCTTTCGACGGATATTGTGACTTGAATAATGAATTTTATGAAAATTGTCATAGTCTTTGTATGTAGTACAATTCGAAGTCTATATCTCAATAATCATGAACAGAGAGACGAAAAGCTGCCAACAACCTTGGAAGTATTCTGTCTCCATACCAAATGTCACCCGCAGGAGTTGTTCTTTCGCTATTCACTTTCATTTCAAGTGTTTCAGCTTCATATTAAGGTGTTCTATTGCTATTATTGCAGGAATGTCTTGAAATTAGTGTAGTGTGCAAAGTTTTTCCTGATGATATCTTCCTGCAGTTTCCAGATTATTATTAACAATTCGCATCACTACTTGAATAAACTTTGATTCTCAGCGCTTTTCCCCCTTATGTTATCTGTTAAAGCTCCCTTGATTCTATAACACATGTAAAGTGGTATCAGAAAAGTTGTACTAGGCAAAATATGAAAGTTGAGAACCACATTTGTAGAAGTCTTGACATGATTTTACTGGAAACTTCATACTCATCTTAGTCATAGATTAACTACCTTTGGCGAATGATGAATATTCCTACATGTTAATGTAAGCTTTTGCGATTGATTTGTATGTTAGAACACTTCTGGTTGTCGTGGTATTTTCGAAGGTTTCTCGAAAAGAAGATCCAGATATGTGTTCGAGTTGTAAAACGGCGCACACCTGCACCTAGAGCATCATTGGAGGCCTAAGACTCAACTTCTTTGCAATCGTTCCAGTTTGCCTTGAAGTCTCATCAAGCCTAGCATAGATCGCATCAGTCCAAACACTATGAGACCAGAAAGTCGAACAATTCGAAAGCTCACGGCCTTTGCAACCGATCATTTGTTTCTCATACTGAATCTTTAAGCTTTTAATGCTGTTGGTAAGAGTCATTCTTCCAGTCCCCGTAATTTCCGGCATCATTCGGCCAAGTGATGAGATTCTTAGTCGAATCAAAAACGCAACGAGGAGTTTGCTATGTCACTCGTTGATACATAGTTTTGTTGCATTAGATCATATTTCCATTAGTATTTCTGGAAGGTTGAAAAGAACAAGCATCCCGAGCTCGCTGTACGGCAATCCGAGGTCTCGACATGATAATCAGTTCTCCTGCGTACATGTCAGCTCCACGCCTGCCGATCCTGCGACACAAGAACACCTCTATGGCCCTCTGCCGGTGTTTTGATCTGCGCAAAATGTAAAGACAGATTTGTGACCAAGCAAATCTATGCCCGCGAGTTTCCGGGGTTGCTGTAAAGCTCTTACAAACAATTAGCACAGACGTTCTTCTCTAGGAAGGTGAGTAACCTGTGAGCATGCGACGCGTTTACAGAACTGTCAGAGCCTGGAAAATGAATCCACGTATGTTGGTGCCGGACCGTTATCGGCGGATAGCTCGGTGTCAGATTCTTGGGCCATTAACAGTGCCGAATTTGCATCGGGATCGAAGTTCTTGAATAGTGCTCAAATAAGTCATTCGCAAGTGCACCGACGATGTAACATAATGATACAGAACCATGATCTTATGATTCTCGGTATTTAAATCTGAATCAAGTTCCCGCATGAGCTGTCATATCATCTGATTATCTCGATTGAAGAGCATGCAAATCCTACCGAGCTTGCTGTTCCCACTCTGCACGAAGTCAACTGCACTGACAGCTCAGTGACCCAGGGTTTTCTTACCGTTAATAGAATTGGAAGTTGTCGTTTGTAAATAAGTTCGAGCGCATCAGTATGCAGGTGAGTTCAGCATAAATTCAATATTACCGCATTAGCGTCCTGTCCCAACTCTACTCACTCTGGATTACTACTTGCAGTCGATGTGATTTAACAAAGATATAGCAGTACTGACTCTGTTGGACGCAAATTAGCTCAAACTACTATATGAAATGGAATATTATAATGCTCTTACGGAAGACGTTAGAAAGAGGGAGGGAAATTACGTAGCTGCTGCTTCATAGAACATTCTGAGTAAACATGTTGCTGGCCGCCACTATTTACTTACGCCAAGTACAATCGTGTCGCATGGAATTTTAGTTTCATAGATGTCCAGAACATGGAATTAGTGCTGTTGCAAAGGCTATCTGAGAGTGCTAAACAATTGTTGACGCTTCCAAGGATATTGCATATTTTCGTCACATCGATAAGCCGGTAAAGATGGCCAGGTAAAGCACGCTTCTGGAACCCTTCTCAACTTCCACATGGTTTAAAGGAGGGGATACATAATTGTGGTAGGCGAGAACGCCCTATCGTCAGCCATGGGAAGTTGTTGAGCAATAGCGCAGCATGGCTTAAAGTTGAGCAAGTGCCATTGACAAAGTTAACGAGAAACCCTGCGTCTTCACCCTTTTGCGAGTCGCACATTTTGGTTTGTCTGACGGCGTGATGCATGACCATGGTGCTGGTTTCTGCAATGTAACGCAGGGTTGTTTCCATCCATGATCATATTATACCATCTAGTTATATCATACTAGGAACTGGCTATCAGAGTCAGTGGATATCGTGACATAGACCAACCCCAGGAAAGATATTCCTACACGGTGTGCACCCTTTGAGTAATTTGCACATTCCAAGACTTCGACCGTGGCTTCGGATTTTGATAAGCAAGTACGATTTCCTTATACATTCTTGGCGATCTCTGAGGATAGACGATTAGTAAATCTGTTTCGAGATTATCTATGACGGCTACAGACTGCTTTGACAGATAATTAATTTCGGGATGTTGGTCTGATCTCGCAGATCTCAAGTCATTAGTACCGGCTCCCAAGATAAGCGTTTTCGGCCGAGGTATGGCTTCTGCTAAGAGCTGACATCGCGTTGCACACATTCGTATCGCAATACTCCTTAGATGCAATACTATTCCCCCTTCTATAAATGTGACAAGATCTTTGTACGTACGTAGCATGTCCAGGCAGCCAAAATTTTGGTCGATATCCTTGCTACCGTCATTTGAAATAAGGATAAGTTACCAGCCGAGCCGAAGACATGAAGCACGAGAAGCCGAGTATATCTGTGTAACAAATATGTCAGCACATATTCAATGTTTCAATTTCTTCAAGCTCGGAGCTAAACGGGTAGAATATGCTTAAGATAGTGTTGATGGAGAACCTACCCAATACGGTCCTGTTACATAGGGTTTTGTGTTGTATGAGAGGAGATGTGGCTTTGGCAGAGACACTTACTTCAAATCCGCTTACGATGTAAAGTAAAGAACATTATAGAACTAAAAGATAGGGGTTCTTTCTTTGCTTCGTCCAGCGAATTTAGCACGATGAGGTCTGAGAATCAGTTTCATTGGGACTCTTTCAATCTAAACAGAACTAAATTTTATTCTTAATGAATTAGTTAGAATAGCTGATAGTAAGATAAAGCGAGTTTTTTGTTAGCAGGAGTACCTGATTTTATGTCTCAGATGACAAAAAGAATGGATGTAGGGAAGAGTCTTTGATGGAGTTACAACAAGTCTGCCACCATAACATCTCACAATCTGCTCTTGTGATGAACCGAAGCTATAATTATAAGATCCAACGATGCATTTACTATGATTATATCACAAAGAGATGGCTCCAGTACATGTTTCGGAAAACGAAATAAGTGGCGCAAATTGTGGTCGAGTTGTCGTTGTCGTCGTTGTTGTTTCAATGAACGCGGTTTTGAAATGAGAGCCTCGAGCTTCCCCGCATTTTCGGATCACCAACCTCAAGCTGCACCCCTTCAACCTAAAAACAACGACAACGAATCGTCCGCAGAGCATTATGTCGGCAGACGATCAAGCGTTTTTAGATGTCGTAGGTTTTCAGTTTACCTCTACTCCATGTTTGCTAATCAGTTTAGCTATCGTCAGTCCCAAACGAAATCAAACGATACACGAACGATGTGGCGGATTATGTGGATAAACATCTCAGCCACGTCTCGAATGTCCTGAGAGAGACTCTATCATCTTCACGGTGGATTCCAGAGTCTGCGAGACCCAGGCCACCTCCACCGCCTCCGAGGTCGTTCGTGCAGCAGGTTACTTCACCGAGTAGTCTTTACCAGCGATTACATAACTGGGTAGCAGATCACAAGATCATCACCGGCATTGTTGTCGTAGCTGTTGGAGGGGTTACATATCATATCATTCGCAGACGTTCGAGCAGAAAGAAGCGCAGGGCGAGACGGGCTGGAAATGGAGCCCGACTTGAGGTTGTGGTTATTGCTGGGGCCCCTTCCGAGCCCATCACGCGATCGATTTCCTTAGATTTGGAGAGAAGAGGGTTTGTCGTGTATATTGTGTGCAATACCGTTGAGGAGGAGATACAAGTGCAAAGCGAATCAAGGCCGGATATCAAGCCATTGATGATTGATATTGTCGATGTAAGAAGATCCATCTCACCTACTAAGTTTAAATCTAATAAACAAACAGCCAGAAAGTGCCCGCGCTTCTATTGAGCGGTTCTCAATACACCTCAACACACCGCATGCTGCCTTCCAAGGAGCAAGACCCCATCGCTTAGAGTTCCGATCTTTAATCCTCATACCATCAACAACCTATCCATCACAACCGATAGCCACACTCTCTCCTTCGACCCTCTCGGATCTATTCAATACCCGACTCCTCACACCAATCCTCACATTACAAACCTTCCTCCCACTCCTCCAATCCCTACCATCAAACCAAACACATCCATCGTCCCGCAAAAAGGCCGAGCCATCAGTCCTAGTCCTCACACCATCCATAATCTCGTCCCTCTCTCCAGCCTTCCATCTCCCAGAATCAACCATAATCTCAGCCCTAACATCCTTCACCACTGTTCTTAAAGCAGAACTCAAACCCCTCAACATCCCAGTGACACATCTTCAGCTTGGAAACTTCGACATTCGAGCTTTCGCACCACATAACAAGCAACTCACACTATCTGGAGCCAGAGCAGAGACCCGTGCATGGAACGAGTCGACTCGTGGTGCATATGCTCGGAACTACGTTAATACGACTACAAAGTCGCCATCTCTGGGACATGGTAGTTCCCTGCGTGAGCTCAACAATGCAGTTTTCGATTCTATGGTTTCCGGACGTGGAGGCGTTGTCCGTGTAGGCATGGGAAGCTCTGTATACGGCTTCGTCGGCCGATGGGTACCCAGCGGGTTAGTAGCTCACATGATGGGCATGCGCAGCGCCACTTCTTCGCTTGCAGAGTCTAGCAGCGGAAGCGAGATTGGGGTGTCAAGTAGTGGAGATGTGAGTCCTGGGTCTGGAAACGGATCCCATATTGGTGTAGATGGGCTGGAGAGGAGCGAATATGTCAACGTGTATGAATATAAGAATGAGAAGGATGTTGAGGGAGAGCATTATAATTGAGGGTTAGGTTTGTGAATATGGGACCTTTGGCGTTGTTAAGAGCGGGGTTTGGAAATGGTGCTGGGAGTTGTGGGAATCGCCGTAACTATTAATGCCACTCTTACTTGAATATCAGCAACTTAGATTTTCTCAGTTTGTTAATGTTCTACACGTTCTGACCTGTACCTACAATGTGTCACTAAAACAGAGCAAATGAATCTTCACTAACGTGTATGTAATACGGGATCTCAAGACTCCGTGGAAGGATCAACAATAGACAACTTGAGGTACTGAGAATTTGTTGCACTTCGCTACTTAATAATGAGCGCTTTGATATTGAATCTAACCCGTTCATTCCACAAAGCTATTTAAGATTCGAAATACACTAGCTTTGTTGCATTTCGCTACTTAATAATGAGCGCCTTGATATCGAATCTACCCATTTATTCCACGAACCAAATTGTGCTCCTTTTTCTCAGCGGGCAGAGCAAGAGCTGGCTTGAGCATATCCTTCCTTCTATTGACAGACGGGACGGAATATGATTGCATCGTGTGCGATGGACTAGCTAAGTCACACATTTTCCCGGAGCCGCTCTTCCATAGAAACTGTTTTGTAGAGATTCCCGTGGGGTGTGCGAGTTTCATAATGATCCCGCGCCTCCCAGGAGTTGTGTATCCCATGTAGTGAGGCGCAAGCGGCCATGGGATAGGCGCGGCAAAGATGCCAAATCTTGGGACATCGAGAATATATCTCAAATCGAAAATGATATCGCTCGATCTTCCCATGGGGCGTTCAATCAACTGGGATTTCCACTGATCAGCCTGTGCTGGGAATCATGATACCAAAACGTTTGGGGCTTTGGTAAAGTCGTGGAGTAGCTGACCCGATGCTGCATATAATGGCGTTGGTGGCTGGACCAATAGCGTTCAACCTCTCCATTAATGTTGAACAGCATCTTGTCTTGCCTTGGCTTGGATATTTGGTGCGATGTCCATCGTATAGGTGCTCACAAAAGCCATCTTCGTTAGTGCCAGTTCAAGTCCAATAATGCCTTCATAGAACCAATTCGTCAACGGATCATCGATTCCGATAACAAACATTCTAGGCGCCCAAGAGATCGCGATCTATGGGACGATTATGCCACCGTCGTATAAACGAAAGAGGACTTGAAGTTGACGGGTGAGGTTGGGTAAAGCACACAGCCATCAAGGATAGCGACAACCCGTGACAAAAAGAGCCATTTCCCCCACGTTTCAACCGTGTGGTATTTCATCAATACCCATACCGAAAATGCAGTCATGCAAGTTATATTCCCCAGATATTGATCAATAATGACCCCTCCCTCTTTGACGCCTCTGATCACCACCACCTCGTCCCCTTCCCCCACCAAATCCTCCTCCTCCATGCCAGCGGCCACGACCTCTACCACCACCTTCTCCGCCTCCGAACTTCTCTCGTTCTCGCTCCTCCTCACGCTCCGCATTCTCTCTTAAGATTCTTTGTTCTTCGGCGACTTCCTCTGGATCCCGTTCCACTCTGACAGTAGGCTTGGGCAAATCTGTCGGCCAGCGTGGGTGTGCTTTCTTGCATGTCTTGCCATCAGGACAAAATCCAGCCAAGTAGAACTCGCAGAGAATCTTTCGTACGTGCTTTTTGGAACAATTCGGACCAAGGGGACAAAAACCCTTGTCATAATGGGGGCATGGCGGGAGTTTAGAGTTTGGATCGATGTGTAGATATAGACACTCATCTGCCAGGTGAAATTAGTAAGGTCAGCTCCACTAGAAGAAAGTAGTACTTACCGCCATTGGAGCAATAACCATTGCGTACAAAGAAGTTGCACTCCGGCATCTTACGTAGATTGTATTCGTGTAAAAACTCGCAGCTCTCGCCCTTCTTGCACAGACCCCTCAACCAATGTTTGCAGACCAGATTGTTGAAGTTGGAGTTATTGTTGGCAGAGGTGTGCTTGTCTGGGCAAGCTGATCCCAACGGACAGTGCCCTTGCAAATATGCCTTACATATTGGGCGGTTTGGTGAGAGGCCATGGCGATAGGTTTGGAAGAGGAAAGGCGTGAACGCGAAGGTATATTCCGGGGCTTGATGTTCGAGGATCTGGCGTGAGAGGTCCTTGGGACCTGGTCCTCGAGAAAGTATAGTGGCCATGGCAAATATTATCTAGCACCAGTGCTAGCATACACCACTGAAGTACACGACCTCGCAAGTCTCTATGAATAGTCTCTGATATACGGAGAGGTGCTGCGGGTGAAATCGCAATATAATATCTAGTGCTTTGAAAGTGGAACGAGTGGAACGAGTGGTACGGGATCGGATCGAAGTAAGGAAGGCAGGTGGCAGAGGCGGTTTGTCAGCTAGGAATCGCACTGCGCCGGAGAGCTTCGAATGCAGATACTGTGCTGCAACTTTGGAGGTTCTAGTAGGAAGGGCGAGAAGTTGGTGTCGTGATTTGCTCGCAATAGGAAGCAAGGGTAAGTTAAGCTCATAAACACCTTGATGGAAGAGGTTGGATTCTGGACTGCAAGCGAGATGGGAGCCGACCTCCACGTGACCAGTGGCATCGTCTCTGAAATAGATTCTTTCCTTCCTAAAGACAACAAACACAATCTCTTGAATTAAATAACGTACAGATACTCCGCGTCTTCATTTTCTTTGGCATGCCTCTCTCAGTATCACAACGTCTTCTCCCTACATACGCCGCTTAGCATGCTTCCGTATCGAGCTGCATTGCATTCTGCTTGGGACACTTTGAACACCAATGAGGTACAGAAATCGACCCGACAACATGGGGGAATGGCGACGTCGCAGGGAGTGAAGCACGAACCTGGGATGTAAAGTCTGGGGTCTGCAGATGGCGTTTTGGATCTTTCATCTGGGTAGGATTCAGCGTTACTTTGTACCTCTGTACTACGTACATTGACAAAGTAAATGACGACATCGCAATATCCAACAAACAACCAAGCCTTGCGTCCTGTCCAGCTATCACTAGCGTGGTGGCACTAACTCATATGCCTATATGGACGGGTGTTATAGCCGTTACTGTACAATGGTCTTCGTGTGGCATATACAGCTATCATACCTATGGCTATACCTACATTGCAGCTATAAGGATCACCGTGCGGTCGACGTCGTGATCTGTTCCAGGAAAGTCTCGGTCTTTACCCCACCTCCTCAAATCAGCTAATCTGATCCTGCTGAATGACCTGGCGATTGCTCCTTTGACCGCCCCGTCTTACTTTCCATGCGGCAACCAGTACTCACTCTTACTATCACGGTGCTAGAGGACGCAATACGATACCAATAGGCTCACATGACGACGAGATGACTAGCTGCCATCGATGCAAGTCACCTATCTCGGGAAGCATGCTTTACAGTAGTTTCTCCCTCTCTGCACGTCAATTGCGACCTGTTGTCATCTTGTTAGCGCTTGGCTATCTTTGAAGTGTTGCGGTGAGGACTGCTAGTTGGAGTGCCCCTCATTGCCCCTCCGATCAAACGACGTCGCTTCGGATCCACTCCCCTTTTCGCTGTCGGTGCAACACGAGCAAGCCAAAGACGACCCTTCCCAGAACCCTTCGAGTATTACTGCATGGTAGACATGGCACCAAATGCAAGAGTCTGTCTCCTCATCGCTGGTACATTGACCCTTTCAACTCGCTGTGGCTTCACTGACATTCTAGAGACCGGGGTCAACCAACCGATGACAGTAAAGGAACCCCTGTTCAATATTCTCCGATTGCCAGCTGTCAATTCTCGCGAAAATGACCTGTTACTCCCAGATGCTTCAGTATATTCCTAGCTATCGAGTGGTGCCATAGGATTGTATGCTTGCGGTAAAATCCCTGCCGAGCTTGCCAATTCTTCTTGAACAATTCTCGTATGGATAAGCCATACAGTTGCGGTCTGTCACGCAAAAGAGCGAGTCAGCATTTGAATATAATTGTGATCGTCAGAATAAAATGTGGACGCCCTCTTCAAGAAACGATCCAGCGCCTTATTTCTGTTTTAGCCGAAGAGCCACAGATGCATGTTCTGAGGGCTAATGCACCTTGCAAACAAAGCCCGAACACGCAAGAGTTTTTCAATTATCGTTTCACCCAGCAATTATATTTCTCCAGACATACCCATGCCACTCAACACATAGTTTGCTTGCGGTCCGCTTACCCACGTACATACTGGCCTTGCAGTCGTCCAACACCGGCGATATGGTTTCGAGATTCACGGCCTCCCAGATTGAGGGGAAATGCCGTTTTCGAAACCCCGTTATGGAAAAATCCCCTTTTGCAACCGTTAAGTGCAGTCGGAAATCCACATCTGATATTCTTTCTCCAGGCATATATCATGCGAGTAAGTTGAATGGCCCTTCTCTTCGAATCGCTCAAGACTGTCGATATCGTTCGCTACTGTTGAATCCCGTTTCATTGAAACTCCACACACACCTCGACAAACGCTCCCTTGGCCCCCTGTGAAGCCAGTCACAAAGTCGCAGCTGCCATTTCTAAGGAATCCTCCTAAGCTCGGCAAGTGTGGGCATTTGTCTTTACATCAAGACTCAAGAGCAAGGGCTTTTCTACAACGCACATGTTCTTCATATAATGCCCCGAACCTGTTGAGTCAAATGGACCATCCCACCGGTGTCTCAAATTCCTTGTGGTTGATTTCTCTTTCTGGCCGACTGCATTCAGCCCCTCAGGAGAATCACCAATATCCTGTCCCTACCTCGTGTTGGAAGGAACGCGGCTCAAGCTAACTAGCCGGATTCCGAATTACAACCTATCAAAAAAGCTCAGTGGTCGAAAAATCCATGTCACAGATTTGTTGAACATCGGCTCCATCACTTCTCAGAATCAGACACTAAAAGCAAAACGGGCGAAGGACAATTGTGTACAGCAGAAATTATAACCATCACCCTAAGATGAATACAAGTACCTACTACGGACCGCCACCCCCACAAATCCCATATGGGACAAGGCCGGATCTCCGAAGACCATCACAACCCTCACTGGAAGCAAGCATATCCAACCTTACGCGCATCAATGCCGTTTATTATCCCAATTATCGCGTTTACCGCGACGAGACGCCGGCCACTTTGAATTACAATTGTATCAGCCACGTTTTTTATGCTTTTGCTCACGTTTCGGCTGATGGGATTGTTTCCGTAAGTGGGAAGTAAACCTACGGTCCGTTCCATGAAGCTAATGACTTGGTAGTTAAGCGATGAATGGGCCGATTTAAACATGCCAGTCGATGGAGCAACAGGATGTTTAGGATCTTTCATGCGATTGAAAAATGAACATCCATATCTCAAATTGATATTGTCCATTGGCGGTGGAGCAGCAAGCCACAATTTTGCTACTGTTGCATCCAGTGCATCAACTAGAGATAATTTTGGACGGTCTGCGACAGCCTTAGTTCAGGCTTCAGGATTCGACGGTATTGATAGTAAGTACTAAAACAATCTCATCAAAAATCGAGCACAAAAGTCTAACCAATACTTAGTCGACTGGGAGCATCCATCGGACGATCATCAAGGTCAAAATTTCCTCTCACTTCTTGCCGCAGTCCGACTTCATCTTCAGGATGATCGATATATTCTTAGCGCAGCATTACCAGCCGGCCAGTGGGCATTGCAGTATATCGACCTATATAGAGCCCAAGACTACCTTGATCTGATCAACTTAATGGCCTATGACTTCGCAGGATCCTGGTCTCCACAAGCAGGACATCACGCTCAATTGTATCCTGGACGATCCGACGAGCCTTCCGGTTCTGCTGCGGTAGAATATGTTATATCTAGAGGCTTTCCACCGCAGAAAATCGTCCTTGGCGTTCCAGTCTATGGAAGATCTTTTCTAGGCGCACATGGACCCCGTTATCCGTTTAATGGAGCTGGGGGTGAAGAGGGAACCTTCGAGTACAAACATCTCCCTAGGGACGGAACGGAAGAAATTGTCAACACCAGGGTATGCGCAGCATTCTGCACAGGCGGAGATGGTGGTTTCGTTACCTATGATAATCCAGAAACTGTTAAAATGAAGGGAAACTACTGCAGAGAAAAGGGTCTCGGAGTAAGTTAACCTTCAAGCGCGCATCGCAACAATAATTGACATCGAACAGGGATTATTCTACTGGACAGGCACGGCCGACGTTTCAGCTGGTCCTCGATCGCTGATCTCTGCTGGTTTCAAAGCCCTACACGGCTCCTAATCGTTCCGTTTCAATCATTCTCCCAGGCCTCTGTACAATACGCACTTGTGATTTTTCTCGGGCAAACGGGCTATAGACAAGCGAGTTTATATTGCATTGGATGGCATCTTGCATTGCATGCGACGGGCTAGACGAAATCCTCCATTCTCCAGACCGACGAAATTTAATAAGCATACTCACACCAAATCCTCGGAACGATTTCTTTCCATCGGGATATACCCCGTGGGGATGATGATTTGCAATGTGAACGCCGCACATGTTTTGACTGCATAGGGTGACCCCTCTGTTGAAGGTTGTGGTGTGGGTGATGCACGTCGATGCTTTTGGTGGGTGGAGGGTGGGATTGGATCGATGTAACATTACGTTTCGTGGTAGATACTGGTTATTGGAATGGACGTTTCTTTGGATTTGGGAATCTGGGGAGTATCCTTGATCGTATCGGATTGCGCATGCATGATGGATCTGTTTCGTGATGTGATTGGTTTGGACTGCGGAGATCTTGCGAGAGGCTTGCGGCTCTTTGACTTGTTGGCTTTTGTTGCGAAATGGTCGTGTGTCTCGCGCTTGCTTCGTGAACCAAATGGAATTTAAGAAGGCTTGTTTCTTGTTTCTTGCTCCTCTTTTTTGATTGATCCTTTCACGACGCCTTGACTTACCTACCTAGAACATTCACATGAGATGATCGCTGTTGGAAGGATTCCATTTATTCTTTTTAGAAAAGTAAATAAGATTGATGACTTGTTACAAATGGTAAGAGCTTAGCTAAGTATATAACTTTCGTGGGCTTTCTATCATAGTTTGAGTGTCCTCCATAGTTCTTGTAATTCAATCACTCCTAATAAGTTACAGTAACATGAATTAGAACAGCTGAAAATGATCATGGCGGCGTATTGATCATGAACCACTGTTTAGTTTACGACAAGGAAGCTAAGGCAGGGTCTATTGGGACCATATACTATAGTAGGAATAACATTTTCTCAGATCTTTCCCTATACGTGCTCGGAAACGTTCGAAAGTTTCGAGTCTGGAAAAGCTTTCAATCTACGACAATATAAATTTGTGCAAATATATGGCTACATATCCATCCGTCGCACTTCCATACAGTATCCTAATGAAATACCTAGGCCCTAATTCAACATCATCCCATCCTGTGTATATGGGCAATTTCCGATGTATTTTTAGGATCCCCGCAAGAGGCATATACATCTGAGACATGCCAGGTTATTCCTAAATCAGAGTTTTAGGTGGTGAGAGCTGTCTTTGATAATCTATTAATGTTCCAATATTCATACAACTTCATTGGTCAGCATCGAGGTAAGTCCCGTGACCGAATTGCACCGAGACATCTGGGTTTTCCTGCAGCCCCCGGTTCCACATGGCAACCGATCTCAGGTCGATAACACGTGGAAACAACACCTGCAACTTCAGATCATCAGCGCAATCTTCATTGTCAAGAACACCAGACTTTGCGGGGAAATGCCATGGATTGTTCGGCCCGTTGAAGTTGGCACGAAATGTCTAACTCAAATGAGCGATTACGTCACGAATGCTATTTTCAGCCATCAGGCGGGTGTTACACTTGAGATGGTGTAGTAGGCTAGTACAGTCTTCACTTACACATTACCAAGGATTGTATTTTTCTTTTTTACACATCTTGTCTCATATATTGCTTCTCGGAGGGTTGCTTTTTTGCTTCATTGGTGTATTGCTCTTCCGCCTTCCCCATCTTCCAGTCACTTTGATATTTTAACTACAACGTCACCTCTGCTGGGCCATCAAGCGAGACACAAAAATGTTCTGAATACTTAACATCTAGAGGCAGTAGACTGTAGTGTGCGAAGTTCGCGGACGCACCATCTCGAAAGAATTCTCCCTGATTCCTATTTCAAAAACAGCTGATCAACCGAGCGCGTTGTGCTCGTTGCATTGCTCATTCGCATCACTTTTTTGAATCATAAGCATTATCATCTGGATTCTGGTCATTCAGTGTCGACCTTTGCAAACGTAATCGGGCCATTGAACTACCTACTGTTTGTGGTAAAAGCCACAGCAAGTGACAGCACCATGTGCGGAACGAAGTCAAACTGATGGTGTTATAGTAATATATATTACCAGCAACAGAACGACTTTGTTGCAGACACAGCATTCGTATTTTCAGACACCAACACTAGTTACTTCTCGAAACGTACCATTTTTCCAACCTTTTCACGATTACAAGTCATCATGGTTACCAAGACAACTCTCAATGTGGCTTTGAAGAATCAATCCAATTCTAATACGATATTCGCATATATCACGGGACTAGCACTCGACAATGGCAATCAACGAGTTATTCTACGCTCTGACGGAAAAACACCATATTATCCAAGCTCTCCAGCGAAAGTAGGAAGTCCACTGGAAGTTGATTGTGGCATACCACTTGGGCCACCTGGTTCGACGGCTGTTGTCACTATTCCTCGGATTGCGGGTGGACGCATCTGGTTTTGTATGGACGACAAACTGACTTTCCTCCTCAATCCTGGACCGGGGCTCATCGAGCCCTCAGTCTCAAACCCTTCCGACCCAAATTACAACAAGAACTGGGGTTTCTGTGAGTTCACATTTAACGACGCTCAACTCTTCGCGAATATCTCCTATGTCGACTTCGTCTCGATTCCAATATCCATGACTTTGACAAACGACGCCGGAGCTAGTCAGAGTGTTGCCGGTATGCCAGCAAATGGCCTCCAAACAGTTTGCGACAACCTCGTCGCTCAAAATCAAAGAGACAACGCAGGTTGGAACCAACTTATCGTTAACACTGCTGCTGGCAAACCTCTTCGAGCACTAAGTCCGAACACCGGCCACGTCATGAACCAGAACCTCTTCGCAGGCTACTATGATTCCTACGTCAACGCCTGCTGGGACAAATACACCTCTACTCCCCTCAAAATCGACACACAAGCTGAATGGGGCGTTGTCACCGGCACCGTCAAAAATGGACTCTTAATCTTCCCTGGCCTCGGCACGTTCGCTAAACCATCAACCACCGACATCTTCTCCTGTTCCACAGGTCCCTTTGGTGGCTACCCTAATAACGCCGCTGCAATGGGCGCGATCGGTGCTCGTCTTGCTGCGGCGTTGAATAGGAGCACGCTGTTGAGCAGTGATACGCAGCCAACAAGTGATTTTAGCGCATATTACGCAACGACACCTACAAATTACTACTCGAGGATTGTACATGCGGCGAATATTGACGGGAGGGGTTATGCGTTTCCTTATGATGATGTTGGCGCTGGTGGTGGCGATGGAGGAGATCAAGCTGGGACTGTGTTTGATGGGGCGCCGAAGTTGTTTACTGTTGCGGTTGGAGGGAGATAAGGGTAAAGCTTGAGGATTGGGGTATATATTGGTGGATTGGGATCTTGACGTTTGTTTATAGGGGGGTTAAGATGGGGGACGAGGAATATGATATATCAAACACTCGTTCACTTGTTGATCAGATCGCTATAGTATTTTCAATTACACTGCGATGGAGAGTAAGTTACGTCGTACAACTCATTCCAAAGTATGACATCTTAATTAAACAGCGTTCTGCTAGATCAAAGACAATTTCACTATGTCAGGAAATAAATACGTGCCTCGGTCAGCTGCAAGCGAGTTTCGCCAGCTGGGAAAGAGTCTTTTGAATTTCACAGGGGTATTCGGTCGATATTTGGGAGCCCTTTTACTTCTCTACGACCGTCTAAAGAAAACGCGCTCCCCTCGTAATCTAATTCCCTGCCCTAACCGGCGAGGAAGGGGTCAGTCACTATCTTGCAAAAAGACTCGCCCGCTAGTCGAAAATGATCACCACTACTACTATTCATGGTCACAGCATCTACGTTCCCTTTGTTAGACAAGAGTAACATTCTATTTCTACTGTAAATCTTTAAAGAGCTCGCTGTCACATAACCAAGAACGTCTCTCATTCAACTACAAATAAGTCCTCTCAATATTGCAATGGTAATGACCCCCCCTGACCTCTAGAACACACCCCAGCAGCCACTGACTCTTCCACAGATCTTCATATCTCAAACGCCTTGTAAGTTCATGGATATCGCAATTGAGCACGACGATGCCTCACATTCCGATCCCTGATTGCGTCAGCGAGTGTAGATCTGGGGATTGGATCCTGTTCACTCCGTATTGGCTGCCTCCCTACTTCGCTTGGTGTAAAGAGGGACCGTGAGGCTTGTTGGGGAATAGCTTCTCGGGCGTTTCGTCTTGGTGGTAGGGCGTTGCCAAGTGTATTGAAGCTACTGGTTGGTTGCTGCTCTTGTCGAAGACGCAGTGGACTAGGATCGACAGGAACAAATGAAAAGAAGTCTGTGGCAGTCGGATTCCCAAGTTGGTCTGCTGACCGTTCTCGCTGGCTCCTGCTGGACTCTGGAGTAAACCGTGTTCTATGCTGTGATGCGCCATTTGGAGTACGATCTCTTTCTGTACGATCAGTAAGTCTCGGCAATGGACGCTGTCGACCCCAATCTAGCATATCAGCTCGCGCTCGTACTCTCTCTTCTTTGAGACGTGCAAGATTGGCTTCGTATTGTCTGTTCGCTTCTGACATCACTCATTCTCCTTCGGCCCGTTGCTCACGTTGCCTTCGGGCTTCGTTGAGGTTTGCACTGGTTCTAAGCCATATCCTTTCAACTTCGCGATTTGGTAGCTGATCTCCCTGTTGAGCCACGTGCCATGCAGCTCTTCTTTGGGCTGACTGAAGACGCTGTTCGTAGTACCTATCACGGCCGCCAGCAGTATCATATTGCTGGTTTATCCTGTCCTCCCAAAATACCGCTTCGTCACCGGGATTGTCTTCCATAACTATCGCTTCATCCCCCTCCCGAAATTCCATGTCGTCCTGTTCTCCTCCTTGTCCTGGGAACCCAAATAATGGGCAACTGCAGGTGCGTGGTCGCCATTTAGATCCACAAAGGTAACACCATTGAGCCTTACAACGACAGCTATGGAATGTTAGTACTCAATATGATATAGGCAACTTGTGAATTGGGACTTACGTGATATGATTACAGCCACTCTTGCGACTGACTATCGCTTTGCACGAAAAGCATTCGCGCCAACCGGAAACAGTTGCCAAATCAATAGTTGCTTGATGATCTTCATCCTTCGTAATCTCCGAGCAGTCTTTCCCTATATGAGCAGCCGACTTGCAAGAGATACAAGTGATGGTCTGACAGGCGGAGCAAGTCCCAATATCACCAACAACTTCTTCTTCTTTGAATGGAGCTGAACATCTCGGATTGGAGCAAAATCCTTTCGCCTTGGTCTCCACTTTCTTTTCTTCGTATCTCTTAACGAGACCGGGAGTTAGGACGAACATGAAATTCTCCAATGAGAGCTCTCGTCCGCAGCAAGTAGCAGGAAATCGAGTGGTGTCGCTGAGAGAGTTGGTGAATACCTTTATGGCGCATTCTGCGCAGAAACCGTGTTCACACGTCCAAGATGGTGCAATATCGTCGATTTTGTAGGACTCGAAACAACTTGAACATTTAGGGTTTTCTTCTGGAGGTTCTGGGGAAAGTGGTGGCCTGTCCATGGGAGTACCGATGAGCCTTTCGAATGGCAGCGTACGAGTTGCAGCACGGGATGATTCTCCTCGTAGTAGAGGGAACCTGTCTACGTGGGGAAGCAATCTTGTTTCTAAAGTGCCAGGACCTGGGGTTCTGAGGTAATCTGGAATCGTTCTGAATGGGAGACGAGTTCTACCCGGCGAAGTAATCTCTGTTGGTCGCCATCGAGAAGCCATCACCGAATCATCGCCTCTATTGTATTCTTGAAGCTGCCGGGACGTTGTCTGTCCAGTATGTGAAGCTGTTTCCGATGGGAAGTCGAGGCCTTCAATCGGGACTTGATCGTCTCTAGGAAATTCATATCGTGTAGTTTGGTTCAGTCTCCCACCTCGGTGAGCCTCACATGCTCGATTAATGACGGCGGCAATCCCATAGTCTTGATGATTCATCGCCTCCTCGAGATGAAGCTGGAAGGTAGTCGCTGCTGTGGCATCATCCATGCCATCGAAGGCTCTTTTTAGTGTCTCGAAATTCGCCGTTTTAGTTTTTTGTGAAGCTACACCTGGGTAAGCTAAGAACGTAGGTAGTGATAATGGCTCTGTGGCAAAGCGTACTTGATCTGAAGAGAAATTGTTGGAGTAAGAAAGTTGTCAGACTTGGACGAGAAGGGTGGTTTTGTAGACCAAAAGCCTCGCTCGAATGTGCTTCCTGGATTGAATGTGATTAAGTGACCAAGCGATTATGTTCAATGTGTGCGATTAGGGTGCAAAGATGGATTCAGTCGATTGGACTCACTCGTCTGAGTGAACAAAATAAGACGGCTGGTGTTGATTAAAGTTTCTGTGATGATACAGAATTATTTTATAACTAGATCCAGTCACTGTGCATCCTAGAAATTCAGCTAATTCACCTTGAAACTTACTCGATATCTTCCTGAGACTCACATAAGCCAATCATTCAATTATCCGGTTAAACATCTCAAACTCACTATAGGACAATCATCTATTTTACAGTGAATCTCCCGATTTTTGTAAATTCCGCCCTTCATAATCTGCTGAATGAGGAGAGCAGAAGTGTGACAAGAGCAAACAGCAACGCTAGATCAATTTACTTCTGATAAACTTTTCTTTGGAGAACAAAACTAGATTAAAATTACTTATCATCGAGTTTACTGTATTAGAGAGGTTTTGCAGATTTTGGGATTACCGTTTAACTTCCTATTATGGTTTAGTACTATAGTTTTATGTAATTCATACTTTCTCTCTTTCGGAGCTCCGATAGAACTTTATAATCCCAAAATCGCGTTAGGGACTATATGGTCCCATGGGATTAGGATGGGATTAAGAAAGTCTATCCTAATTAGGAAGTTATTTGGGTCGAAACACTCTCTTACGTACTAAATGACGAACCGAGTCCCAAAAGCTGTAAAACCTCTTATTTTGAAAATAGTAATAATTATATAACTCGTAATCATGTAATCATAATCCCATAAGTCGCAAAACCTCCCTATTGCTTTTGCTTTGAGAACTACTCGACTGAATGGGAAAATTTTATTAATGAGACAAAAAGACACACTCGGTAGGATACGCTTCATTTCATATAACTATAAGATGATAAGTAAAAGAGGGAGCCAACGAAAAGGAGAAATGAAAGATAACTGCTAGCAACGAGAGTATTATCGGTAGACGAAGAATCTAGCGAAGTAATGTTGTTTGTTATTTTCCTATTCGAAATTACTTGTAAACAGGATGATATATTTGTAAGCCTACAACTCATGACCCTTGACTATTCCTCTTCTGAATCGCTTCCCAGATGGTCCTAGGCGATCCCTCCTTAGCTTCTCCTCCCTTCGGCTTCCACATAGCCCAGTACTCAGTAGGTTGGGGAGTCAACTTTTGAATCATTTCATGCCGCTCTCTGGTACCATTTTCTGCGTCCACTAGAACTTTCATGAGTGTCATGAAACCAAACTTCTGATACAAATTTCTACCAGCATCGGTGGCCTCGACGTAGCACTCTACGTTCAGTTCATCGGCAAGCTTCATACCCCAGTCTAACATTAGAGATCCGACGCCTTTCTTTTGATGGTCTCGTCGAACGCTTGTGTCGTCCATTGCTGAGCACATATCAGTATTTGAGAACATGCAGATATTCAAGTGTCGTACCAATCATTGGGGTGTTCATCCAGCTTGCCCTTGGGTAAAAGCACTGAGTCAAAATCTCTTCTGCACACTCTTTGCCTTCTATATCGTCACTCGGCCACCACGGCAGCTCAATTCTCGTCGCTCCGGCAGGGAACGGTGCAATTGAGTACACTTTCCAACAAATTGATCCAACAACTTCTCCTATTGGAACGTGATATACAATTGTTTTGCGACTTGCATCATCGTTTCGAAATGCTGCCCATGATCGTTCTTTGTCAACTTCGATGGTGGCTTCAATATCTGCGATACCTTCGCCTAGAAATGGCCCATGATTGATACGGATGATCGAAGTGATGGAAGGATCATTCCAGACTTGGAACGTGAGGTCAATTAGTGCGTCGTGCTCTTCACGGCTACTCACTTCTTTGAGAACGTATTCTGACATTTATGGAATCGTAGGCTGGGTGAAAGCGGAATATTAAAACGAGGTCTTCAATATTTTATTGGCAAGAGAGTCGAGCATAATACATATGTTCAACTAAGGGTGATCCCACCCCCAAAGCTTCGCGTTCTTTTTGCGATAGGCGATCCATAGTTGGGTGTGTTGGTTGCTTGCAATCGCTTAAGTCCGTCTTTATCCTGCACTGCAGTAGGTGGTACGAAACATATGCAGATTACCCAAGGAAACCGCTACTGGTGTGTCATTAGTGAGCTTTCCAAAAATGTATTTGGTTCCAAATTCGCAGGACTAGCCCTGACTTTGCAAGGCCCCTTTGTATACTTCGCGTAGCACAACCAACAACCATTTGTACACAAAATCATTTACACCTTCGTGTCATCTTTGAACTATATCAATCCATAACATCTTCATTGCTTAGCCAGTATATTCACATTTCCAAACATTTTGAAAAGAGGTGTACAAGTATTGATTCGCATAGATCAACATGCCTACCACACACCCCAGTAAGTGGTGATTGGGTGCTTTTCCAACGACTTGCATGCATCGCCGAGTACGCTCCCGACTTGGCCATTGCTTGTTCGTTTGCCGAGCTTCTCTTGGGAAGATAAGCCAATGCTCAAGCTGACACTATCGACTTGAACCAGTAGAAGTGCACGCCATGTATTGGTAAGTATGCAATAGCCAGGATGGAGACTTTCAAGCACGTCGAATATACTGTTGGTTTCCAACTCACCACCTTGATCCAATTCTCTGTTCTTTGCCAAACTCGGGGTTAACATTGTAGCCCGTCTTGCAGCCCATTTGGTCAAATCTCTCTTCGAATTTTATCTTTCATTGCTTGATTAAAGACGATATATGCTTCTGTAGAAGGACTATTACATGAGCTTGTCTGTCTAATTGTCCAGTCGAGTTAGAAATTCGAACAGAATCTTATTTAATTTCGGAACTAGAACTTCGAGAAGCAATCGACCGACCATAGACACTCGGAGATTGGTCTTCTAGTCAGTGAGATATGGACATAAGCGTAAAGACTAATAAGTCGGCTTCTGCGGTTGAGTTCGAAATGAATATGATAGACTCTGAGGGTCTCCGAAATCGCGCGGAGCGTGGACAAGGCTTGGAACAATTCGTCAAGGATGAAGACACTTTAGCACTGGCAAGATCTGGGAAGAAGCAGATACTAGCTGTAAGTATTCACCGAGAATACGTTGTTTGGTTTGAACTAATTTAGAGCAGCGTCGCTTTGGTTTTATAAGTGTTGTTGGATTTGCTTGTACATTAATGAACACATGGGAAGGTGTCTTGACGTGAGTTTGACGTTTAAGTCATTGATGGATTCTGCTAAACAATTTTAGGACGTTTCTGTTAGGATATCAAAAGTAAGCTCAACAAACCCACAAAAAACAGAAAGTCATGCGGAAAGTCCATTGACACCTTGACAGCGGTGGTCCAGCCGGGCTCGTATACGGTTTCCTCGTGGCTTGGGTAGGAACACTGTGCGTTTTTACCAGTCTGGGAGAGCTTAACTCCATGACTCCCACAGCTGGAGGCCAATACCACTATGTTCATGTTCTCGCGCCGCGAAGTTCTAGAAAATAGCTAAGCTATATCACCGGTAAGAAACGCCTTTGCCATTTCTACTGTGTGCCAAACTTACGATATCAGGGTGGGTGACTGTTGCTGGATGGGTGTCTTCGACAGCTACAACATCCTTCTTTGCATCGAGTTTAGTCCAAGGTCTAATCATTTTGTGCAACGAGTCATATGTTGGAAAAGGATGGCATGGGACGTTACTCTACTGGGGAGTCATAGTCCTCGCTTTGAGTGTCAACACAATCTTCAGCAAACTTTTGCCGGCTTTTGAGGTTACCGTGCTCATTCTTCATGTTCTTGGTTTCTTCGCGGTTCTTATTCCGCTGGTCAGATTGGCGCCACACACGCAATCAAACGAGATTTGGGGGACGTTTTTGAACAGTGGTTGGAGTTCCATGTCGTTGGCATTTTTCATCGGCATGGAAGGAGTTGCGGCACCCTTCGTGGGAACTGATGGTGCCGTCCATGTAAATCTGAAGAGCCCCTTAACTCAAATCTATCTGACGAAATTAGATGTCCGAGGAAATCAAAGGAGCTGCGAAAACAGTACCTCGGGCGATGATTTATTCGATCATGATAAATGGGTTTCTTGGCGGTGGTATGCTACTTGCCACATTGTACTGTGCTGGAGATCTTGAAACGGCAGCAGCATCACCTACTGGCTATCCATTTATTGCCATCTTCGCCAACGGCGTCAAGTCGACCGCTGGAGCCACCGTAATGGTCAGTATCACACACTACAACCCACAACACACAAGTGACACAACACACAATCCCCCACCCCACCTCAACCGGCCATCCCCCAACCCACAAAAACCCACTCATCACCACAAACCTATACTTCACTCCACCTCCAACCAAATGTCTCTGACCAGGAGAAAGAAATACTACCTCAAGTGTAGGAAAGATGAAAAACGCCAGTAACTAGAGTGGCAGAAGTCAGAAAGGGTCCGAGTCTCTTAGCTCTTAGTTTAGTCTTCTTACCATTTCCAAAGCCACCATAAGTAGACCAGCAACATAAGTTATGCTCTGCACTCAAGGCAAAACAGTCAATACCCTCATGAAACCTAAGACCTCTAACACATTCGCCACCCACCAGTGCCACCACCCACCCCCTTCAAAACCCCACAATCTCACAATCAAAGCACAAACCCCTCATTACGGTATACATGTGACCAAAAAAAGTAAATGATGGTATTGTTCAGCCCCCGCTATGTAAACTAACAACCAAAAAAGCGTATGTCGTAAGTAGTAAGTAGTAAAGTAAGATGAATACCCAGGAACACTTCTGTCATTCCCCTATAAATCCCACCAAGACCACTCTCACCAACAAAACAAGTAACACAAATGATGAAGAGAAAAACCCGCCCAAAACAAAAACACACGCCATGCCCCTATCCAATCAAAATGCACAAACGCTTAGCTAAACTCACACAGCTCACGACTGATCTGCCTTCATCTCCTCTTTCTTCTTCGCCACCGAATCCTTAAGCACATTCAACTTCTCCTCCGTAACCCTAATCGCAGCATCCACCTTCCACGCCTCCATCTTCTCACCCCCAAGTTTATCCTTGATATTCTTCGCCTCGATCGGCATATTCGCCGCATTTCGAAGACCAGCCGTGCCGACGCGATCTTCCAGCCATTCCCAGAGCTCGCTTTCTTCGCGCCTCCACATCTCTTCGTAGGCCGCTACGCGTTCGGGGGTGGTGATGAAACCCATGCCCGAGCCTCGACTGGAATTTCTGCTTGGGAAACCAAAGCCGAACCATGCGGTGACTAGTAGGCCGACCAGGAGACCGTATACCATGTTGCCTGTAAATAGTGGACCAAAAATATCCGCAACAGGACCGAGGATACCGTGAAGTGGTTCAAATAATCCCCAGTTCGATACCGCAGGCTTAGGATCTGAGGCTCCATCTGTGGTTTTGTTGATTCCTTTCGATTCGCGACCCTTACGGCCCTTCTTCTTGCCTCTACCGGCTACTGCCGCGGTTGGGCGTCCCTTAGAAACCGCGGCCTTAAGAGCCGCAACAAGATCTTTTGCGTATGCTGCTTGACCATCATTCGTACCCTTTTCAATTGGACCTATGTCACGTTAGGAGATTGAATTATTCAATTGATGAGGACTTACCCTTTAGCCAACTCTTTCCTGTCCATTCGATAACACATGTAACTAGAAATCGGGTAGAATTGTTCTCAGCCCACATGAGACAATATCTCGTTTTGACACTAAAAACATTGCCGCTAGGCACATCTGGATTTTGGGTTCCAATAGTGACAGAGACCGCTTTCTCCAGATCCAGAGAATCGAGAGTTTCGATACTAATACATTTCGTCTGTTTTGGACCAATGGCACCACTCAGAGGTTTTATATAAGAGTAGTTACGGACTTTGTTCTCCAGAGTTAAAGGTAGCGCACTGCTACCCTCCTGAACCAAGTCGAAGCATTTTTGGTCCACGAGCAAGAAGTTTTTGTACCAAGTCGATGATTGAGGCCCAAATAGCATGCTGTAGACTTTGCCTAGAGGGGCAGCAATAATCTCATCAGCCAAAACTCTTGGGAAATGTGTGTCTGCGTCGCCGCATTTAGTTGGAGCGTGTGAAGCTGGACCTGGAAAGTCCCCTCCCGCTGTAGCTGGTGTATCTTCTTTCTTTTCGACTGAAGTCGTTCCATTAGACACAATCGGTGCCGAAGGCTTGCGGCTAACCACCCGCTCACCAACATCACTTCCAGCCACACTACCATCTGCTTGAGTGAAACTCATTCCATCTTCATCCTCTTCATCTTCGTCATACATCTCGTCGCCATCTTCGCCCTCGCTATCGGATTCTGAACCACTCTGACTTCCAGCAGCGGCAGGAGTACCATCATACTTTTCTGTCTTGTCCCCACCTCCGGTTTCAGGGATAGCTACGCCGTTAAGAGAACTTCTCAAACTGGGGTGTCCGAGTTTCCAAATGCCAACAATCAAGTCATAAGTAGAATCTCGACTTGTAAAACTAGCGAAAATGTTCTTGGCATGAAGAGTCGAAATCATAAGCCCATTCTTGAATAGCAAAGCGGTACTGCGTTTTTCTACAGAGACAATCTCATCGAAACTCATAACCAACGTAGTGACCCAGCCGAAAATGTTGCTGCTAAAACAGAGATGACCTTCGGAAACGTATAAACGGCCATGTGCAAGGATTTCTCTTTGTAAGGCACAGCTATAATCTTCTATCAAGTAATCATCCTCCGGTACGCTTTTGAATAGGTTGTGGAAGTCGCGATTCCGCTTCTTGCTTGCGACAGCAAATCCTGTGATTTTTGGCGTACCGTTATTAGGGCTTGAGAGAGCAGAATGTGAGGCCAAAAGAGCAGCACCAATAGTACTACCACCGGTGGCCGCCGAACTTCCTCTTTTCCTTCTATGACCAAATTTCGAGCTCCGAATACTACCACTTCGATGTATGCCGCCCTTGCCCTCAAAAAGACTCCCATTTGGTGGAGTCTGCTCTCCCGCAGAGTGCTCATAGTTGGATCGAGGTGCAGGTACTGGAGTATCGTCTACGACAGAAGCGGGTGCGGTATCGAAACCTTCGGCGCCGGTCAGTGTCGTTGAAGATATGTCCGGGTTGCTGAAGGGACTCTCATTTGTGCTCGCTCTACTGCGACCATCTTCTGGAAATCTTAACGCCATTGGCGTGCTTGTGTTGCTTTGCGTTTCTGATATTCCTAGGTGACTGAGGTTCAAATCGCCCATGCCCAGTGTCTTCACAGCCAACTCCTTCTCCCCAGCAGAACTCTCGGAATTTGTTTTGTCGGCGAGACTTTCGACCTCAGGGCTCTCCACTATCTCTTTCAATTCTTGAGCAGTATTGCTTTTGTTCCTATTGTTCGGCGCAACCGATGTGTTGGCTATACTACTGCTCAGAGTATTCGCAGCGTTCTGAGCGGCAGAAAAGACGGAAGAGAAGAAGCCTCCAGCGCTTGGTGTAGTAGAGCCGTTCTCTGGTGTAGGAGTTAACGGTGCTGATGTGATATTTGACAATTTACTAGGGCCTAACGCTGCTGAGTTGGATCTCACACGTCGGTGCGATATCATATTCCCCGAAGGAGATGTGACCACATTGGTATTTTGGGCGGCAGGATCTGAATTGACTCTGTCACGACCAGCACCAGCTCGACCTTCTCCCGTTTCTGTTGGTGTAGGTGGTGTGTTGACAATTGTAGGAGCTCTCGACAGGTCGCTTGGAGGCGGTGTTTGTGGCGTAGCATGCGTATCTATAGGTTGCGGCTTCGAGTTTCGTGGCCTCTCCGGGGACGAACTGGCAGAGTTTGATTGTGGTCCTGATTTATCAAATATCCTTGAGACGACACTTCCTCGTCTGCTGTTATTCCCCAGATTTTCTCTAGATGCCGCTCCAGGCCCGCTGCCCCCAACTTTGCGCTCAGGGCTACTGTTGGGGCTGCCCCCCCGCCGCGGCTTGAAAGCCTCTTTTAATCTGCCAACCGGTGATGGAGATCTTCGTTGTGAACTGTCAGAGGGTGCTCGAAGCTGGTTGTCGGCCAAGAGGGATACCGCCGAGTCTGAAGGAGCCACTTCGTTTGTTCGTGGTGAAGGCTGCACGTCCGACACTGCTCCGTCCAGGGTATTTGTATGCGTTATCTCAGGTACGATCGAGGTTTGCAGCAGAGGCGATGACGAAGTGAGGTATCCGATGTGGGACGCATGTGTTGAAAGCCCAGGCCGTGTATCGAGCGGTCTGCGAGAGTGTTAGGAAAGGAATACGAATGCGTAAACGTATGCGAGGCAAATGATGCAGGGATATCAATCCAGAACGGCTAGAAACCGTATCAGGCAGAAAGCAGAATGCGCAACAACGAGAACGAGCAAGAGCTCGGCGGAGGACTGTGTATATGCGGTGTTTGCTATGAGGTGGAGAAGAAGGACACCAGTCAATGAAATATTTTGGAGCCTCGCTTGTCTGCAGGGCTGATACTTGTGAAGCTACAACAGGGCCGGCAGCTCTATCGCAGACAAAGAGCTACAACATAGCTCTGATGCGATGCGCGACAGTCAATTGCAGCGAGAAGGGATTAAAAACAAACGAAGACATTGGAAATTGACTTACGATTCCCCATCGGACTCCTCGTAGGTGAGCAAACTGCTCGCATCATTCGATCCATTGGACGGCGTGTTGCTGTTGTTTCTCAGTGTGCCTCGTTCAGCAACGCTTCTTCCTCGAGCTGCTTCTGCTGCAGCTTCTTCACTTGCGCGCATCTCTTCTTCCTGTTGCCTTCTTTTGCGTTTCGGTACTAACACCTTGGGCACAAGCTTCTTGATGCCAGCCTTCCCTTCATCGTCCGACCCAGTATGACCCTTCAGCTTATCAATCGTGTTGTCTATTGATGCTCGCAGACCATGTCCCTCGTTTTTGTCACTATGGACTGAATTCGTTGCAGAATCTCCATTCTTTCGATTTCGTGACCGTGTCTTGGAGAGTAGCTTTCCCACCGTGGACGGCGATTCCGAGCGTTCTGACATAGCGCGTGGTATTGCAGCTGTCGGTCGCGGGGTTGAGCTGGAGGCTAGAGCTATCGATAGCAGAATGGACCGTCCTAGAATTCACGAGCAGATCGGCACATGTTGAGCCTGGTGAAAAGGTTGTCGTCCTGAATCGTAAATTGGCGCGATGCGGTACGAATCTTCGTAATGGCGTTGTTTCCTCGTGACGATGGCTGGTTGAAAAGCTGGAAGGGGAAGTGCCCGTCGTCATCCAGTTCTTGCGACGGCTCGTTTGGCAAGATCGCCAGTCTGGGCCGCTTGTGACTCGCTGAGGCGGACGCGTTTCTGACAGTCAGGGCAGGAAGATCCGAGGCTTTTTGTCGCACAGAATTGAGATTGATAACTTAAAGCGCATTAGGAAAATACTATCAGAGTAGTAATGATTTTGTATTAATTTTAAGCAAATAGCAACTACTACTTAGTCCCATGATGTGGTCCTTTCTCCTACTAATGTGGTATCAACTCGCTATAACGGAAGCTTCCAAGAATGGCTGCTTGTATAACAGCCGCAGCCAAAGTAGCAGACTAGAACTAAACAGACGCTGTCACTCACTCCTAGGAAGTCTCGTGTAGTTACTAGTTTGTTCTTCTAAATAATTATCTTCGTTTTGATAAGCTGGCTTAATCTGTCCTTTTCTCGCAAGGCACATACAATCACAAAGCCATTTGTTTAAGTCTAAATCGAACGATGAGAATTAGAATATCTAATGTCCTAACACCAAAAAGTACTAATTACAAGATAGCACCACAACAAAAACATACTATATATTCCTTCCCAACGCCATGCATTACTCCCTTATTTATAGCACAATATCGCTACTTCTATTCATCCCGTTCAATGCGTTCCATTAATCCCGTTCGTCGTAACACCGTTCACGCCATTTGTAGGAGGATCCTGGTATTTATCCCAGTTCGCCAACACAGCACCAATCTTTGGTGAGTTGGTGAGTCTGTAGACATCCTCGAAGTACTCTTTAGTCAGCTCGAATGGTCGAGCTGTGACGTTGGGAATGTATTTGCCAATCAACTTGCTTGGATCGATAGTAGTCTTGTTGATCTTCTTGAGAAGGAAGGATCGGAAAGGCTTGACACCAGAGCGCAAGAACGTAGAGTGGAAAGGAACATCAATCCCCTTGAGAGGGATGGTTGCGAAACCACGTTGAAGGTCGAGAGGCTTTGGCTTGCCTTCGGTTTGCTTGGCGCACTCGCGGATAATCTCTGCGAGATGCTCCTTGACATCTTCAAGCGAAAGATCTTGCATCAATTGCTGAATGTCAATCTTTTGGGCTTTGAGGTAGTTGGTGACACCTGTCAAAGTATCGAGGGCTCGGAGATCACCAGCGCAGACATACTGCATGTTTGCAATGTTGTAGTTGACAATCTCCAAAAGCCAGCCGGTGACTTCTGAAATGTTGGACACCACGTACTGGAGAGCCTCTTCGTTGAAGGTCTTTGAGATTCTGCTTGGGTTGACGGCGCACATGGAGTAATTCGAACGACCAGATGCGTCACGCTCAACAGCAACTTGCATAGTGAGACCTCTGTAGAACACAACGGAAACTAAACTCTCAATAGGCATGACATCTGCCAATGCAGCAAGAGCCGAGTACTCTCCAAGAGAGTGACCAGCAAACGAACTGTCACGTTGGACGAGTCCCTTGGAGCGCATATCCTCGAAACTCGCCTTCTCCATGAGAGTCAAAGCGGGTTGCGTAAATTGAGTAGCGGAGAGCAAGCCAGTTGGTGATCGGTAGGTGTATGAGGTGGTCTTCTCATCAATCTCTTTAAAGATTTTCTCGGATTTGGTGGATCCGTCGGCACTGACAGTCTCGAAAGTCATGGCAATGTAGTTTTGACGAATAGCCTTTCCACGAGCTCCACCAAAGTGGATTGTAAGCTCCTTAGGGTTATTCTTGACGATGTTGGTAATGGCAAATCCTAGAAAAATATTAGTAAATGGGTATGGGTTCTGAAGAGGTATGCGGGCTCACCATAATTGTCCATGAAGTGCTTATCAGCGCGATCCCAAACTTCCTTCGCAACTGGACTGCTAGCATAAAGTTCCATACCCATACCTTGCTCCTGAGAACCCTGGCCAGTGAAGACATAAGATGACACAGGCTGCTCAACTTCAGCTGTACCGAGCAAAACTTTATCCTCGGTCTCCTTATTGCTCGCTTCGACTGTGATGATTTTGCGACCGGCAACCATACCAACGTGTTGCAATTTGACTTCAATGTCATCGTTAGGAAGGACCATACCAGTCAAGGATGCGTGGAAACTTCTGACACGACCGACATTATTTTCAGCGGCCCAGGTCTCGACCAAACTTCGCACGGCAGCACTGGAATACATTCCGTGCGTGATAGTACCAGGAAGGTTGGCGTAAGCAGCAAAGACTCGGGATACGTGAATAGGATTGTAATCACCGGAAACCTTTGCGTAGGGCTCGTTGGATGCTGGGGCCTTGAGGAGAAGTGGAGTCTTCCCATTGAGAGGAATGGCATTTTCGAAGTTGACGGGCTGTTCAATGGAGGAACCATGTCTCTCGAGGTAGTCAATAACTGGGTTTCCGTGAGAAACGCCCGCCTCGTACTCCACACTTGCGACCTGGATGACTTCCTTTGTAGGAAGCTCTAGAAGGACTTGTCCTCTGGTCTCAACACTATCGAAGACTGTTTCGTTCTTGAAATGGACCAAACTTTGGAGGCGGAAAGTCAATGTCTGGCCAATGAGCTCTTGGTCTAGCTCATCAAGGTTGAACCACTCCTTGGATCTCAAAACTGCTACATCCTTTGTAGTGGCGAGATGAACTTGCATTGGCGTCTCAACCTTGCGCTGGAATGTGTTCTCGAAGTCGGTGTAAGCACCCCGGTACAAGAATTGAGAAGTGACCTCCATGACTGGCTTGCCCTCGCGTGTAATCGTACCACAAACCTCAACCATCTTGCCCGACGCTTGATTGATGACAGCATTGATCTGTGCGGTTGTTTCCACTTCATCGCCTTTTTTCAAAGGTTCAGCGCCTGGGAGCATGCGGAACCCGTTCGAGAGATGGACAAGCTTGAGAAGATCACCATCAATCGTCCTTGGGAAGATTGGTTTCGTGATAGCCTTCCACCCAACAACGATGGCAAAATCCATAGGTGCTAGAACCTCCTTACCTGGGCGATCAACGAACGCCTCACCAGTGTTACCAACAGCATGTACAAAATCATTGATGGCTTCAGAAGTGATGGTTGCTTTGCCACCGTTGAATTTACCAGTGACAGATGCATCGAGGTTGAGTGGCTCATTACCAAACCAGGCACGCCAGTAGAATTCCTTGATGCGATCGTTGCGGTCTTCCATTACTTCACGAATTGGGGCGTAACCAGCCTCGGGATGATAGGTGAAGATCAGCGGCATTGCAACGGGTTTACCAAGAGCTGTGCTTTGCTTGATAATGTTGACGGTGATCTCATTTTTACCGGTCAGTCTCACATTGATGACTTCGTCATATTGGTTGGGTCTTGGTTGCTGGCGGACCGTGATGACAGTCTTTGATGGGTCGTTGGGGTGCAATATCTCGACAAAAAGCCCACGAACCGGAGCGAAAATGCGCTTCATAGGATTTGTCTGGAAGTTATGCCCTTGCACGAAGACCTCCGAGGAAAAGAGTGCGTAGCGCCATGATCGCTTATGACCGGCAAGCATAGCGAGCCAGACGTCGCTTGGTGGAAGTGGAGTAGCAGCAGCGGAACCAACACGGTAAGTGGTTTTTTCGTTATCTTGGGATACAGTCAGACCTTCGATGTCTACTTCAACTTCGGTGTCGATGAGCTTTCCGCCAAAGTACTCGATGACTGGAATGGAGGCCTCGTTTCCACCATATACATCTTTGGTCAAACCCTTGATGTGAGCATCATGAACACCATCCAGAATATCCTTAATGGGCTCATCGACAATTGTAGAGTACTTGACAGCCATTGGGCCTTGCAGGATACAAGTTCGACCAACATCTTGGTCAATGACGGCCTCAAGATCCTCGGATTGCCAGAGAGAATCCTTCTTGAAAAAGAACTCGAAGTTCGCATCAAGAGAAGGGACAAAAGTAACAGGCTTCTGCCCACGGCGTTGGCAAAGGAGGAGGAAGTGCTGGACATCCTGCGCATTAATGAGTTGCTCTTCGGCTTCTGGGTAAGCTGCAAGAATCTTTTTGACGGTTGGATATGGGTTGTCTAAGTCTGAATAACTTTGGAGCAATGATGCTCTGCCACCCTCGGTAGTGAAACGTTCCTCAACGCGGCGGATGAAATCGCCGGTAAGCTTCTCGAATGATGGATCGATCCATCGAGACTCGTGTTGAACGTACATCAAGTCAACCATGCGGCGAACAACTTCGCCATAGGTCATATCTTCGAGGTCAACGGTCTCTCCAGCCTTGTTGCGTCCAAACCAAACCTTCTGGAAATCGTCGTTGAGCTTCTTAATGATATATTCACGGTTCTTCTTTAGTTCGGCAACACGCTTTTCTTTGGGCAAGCTGAAAATCTTTGCATCCATCTCTGCCCAAAATTTGACACCACGAGTGGCAAGCTTGTGAATTGGCTCACCCATCTCAGAGCGCACGGTAATAACGCCTCCAGCTGGTCCCTTGTATGTCTTTTCCCATTGTGCGTCGTCAAGACCTTCTGCTTCAGTGATAGCCTTCTTGGCATTCTTGCTTGTGTGTGCCTCTTTTGCTGTCATGACACGACTGCCAAAGAGACAACCGTCGAATGGCATTGGTGGATAACCGTACTTTGCAGACCACTCACCGGTGAGGTAAGGATAGGTATCGTCGGCACCACCAAAACCACTACCCGCGACGAGAATGAGATTTTCGCTTCTTCTGATTCGGCCATACATCTGGAGAATTGGTTGATGGAAATCCTCGAAAGAATGATGGCCACCACCACGGCCACCGGTCCATTGAAGAAGAACAGGGAATGTAGGATTAGCTTTTGCAATGTTGATGCAGGCTTGAATAGCATCCACGGATCCTGGCTTGAAAGCAATGTGCTTTAATCCAAGAGTCTCAATATATTCTTGAGCAACTTCGATTGAGGGAACTCCAGCACCGATGGTCAAACCTTCGATAGGAACACCCTCAGCACGCAATTGACCAAGAAGAGGAATTTGCCATTGCATGGCGCGAGGATTGACATAGATCAAGTTGACGGTGATACCGCGTCCAGCGGGAATAGCGCTTGCAATCTTCTTCAATGCGGTTGTCATCGTCTTGGCGTTGTAATAACCACCTCCAGCCAACTCGATTTGGTATCCCGCATTCATGGTGGCTGCCACAAAGTCCCAAGGCACAGTGCATGGTGTCATACCAGCAACCATAACTGGGGGAACACCCAACATGCGGCTCATCTTGGTATCGACGAATGTTTTTCCAGCTGCATTTTTGATTAGGCGAGGACCATGCTCTTTCACCCAATCAACCGCATATTTCACGGCATGCTCCTCGTCTCGATCGAAGATTTCTGGTTTGTATCCGACTTCTGTGACTGTGCCATCAATAGTACCAGCCAAGATGACCCGGACACCAGTTCCGTCCTTGTTGCGACTAGTCAAAACACCAAGACCTGAGATACCACCTGGGCCGAAATCAAGAATGTGTGTTGCACCAGGGAAAACTGTGGCTTTCTCCCAATTCACAGGGTCATGAGTAATGAGGCGGACGAGAGTCGGGACGACGTCGCCTTTGACCTCTCTCAGGTCCTTGCCCGTGTTGGTATCGTAAACTGGAATGGCCAAGGACTTGCTATCAATGTGCACATCCTTGAGATCGTCCGCAAGATGTTCAGTAGCATTAGCTAGGTATTTGCTGTGGAAAGGAGATGTGATTGGCAAAAATCGGTTGACAAATCGGACCTTTCGCTCGGTGAAAGGGATTCGAGTTTGATCAAGACCAGTTGGAGCCTTGACCTTTCTAAGCTGCAAATTGAGACCATAAAGCGAAATTGGAGGGCCAGTGACAACCATATTTCGGGCACTATTAATGAGAGATATGGAGATATGTCGGTCTTCCGGAAGGTATTGGTTGGTAGCATCGATGTGCTCTTGGACCTGCGCTTGAGACAAATCGCGGATGCTCAACATAGGTGTTGGTTTCCCTTCTCCATTGTCGATTGAATCCTGTAGAACATGTGGTGCCAAGGATGTCGTTGGGTATGTCTGTTGACTTCGAGCTCCAATCCAGAAAAGCACTGTAAGCGCGGAGATAGAGACATCGTCAAATGACTCCCACGAATCCATAGCAGATGTAGCCGCAGCTAAGACGATTCCCTGGGAGTGACCAGTCGTTCCACTGACATATTCCCTGAATTGACCGGGAGTGAGGCCAAGAATCTTGCAAGTCACAGTATAATGGGCAAGTTGGACAAGACCAATTAATGGGAAACTGACTGGGGCGGAAACCATGTAGTCAACATCTGGCGTCTCCTCGGTGCTGTGCAGCCACGCCAAAACATCGAGCCCTTTAGGGTACAACTTTTCGGCCCTTGAATCTTTCGACAGATTCTGGAGGAGCTCAGCGGCGGAATGAATGAGCTCTTCCAAGAAAGCTGGGTATGTGTTGTAAAGCTCACGAAGCTCATCGAAATATTCTTCTATGTTTCCTTGTCCACCAAAAATGCTGTAAATTTTAGCGCCTTCATCACTGGCGGCCCGGGATAAAGCTGAGTTGTAGGGCCTGATGGCTCGGCCAATTGCTGCTCGAGCTGCATAATAACTTCTAACGACTTCTAGCTTCTTTTCGTTGATTCCCGGAAGGGTCGCCGTCAGTGCGTGAACTTCATTGCCTCTCAAGAAGCCACGCTCGAACTCGTTCAAGACAAGCCGTAAGACCTCCGCATATGTCCCCTGAGCATCATCTTCACCTTCTTCCACCTCTGCTGCAACGAATCCCAGATATCGTGCTACCAACTCTGGCACGGAGGAAGGCTCATCATCCTGAGCCAATTCATCTGTTGCTGATGGAAGTGAAGAAACAAATCGTTCCTTAATCTGGGTGGCATGGAAGTGCAGGTTGGTGGGTATCAGAAAGGAGTATTCGAGAGAGCCGTGATTAAGAACGAGAGGTCGTAATGACGCAGAGGATCGTGGTGTAGAGACGCCCGTTTGGGGGCCGGTAGAGGTTCCGTACATCGTGAAAGATTTTGTGGTGGAGTTATTGAGAAAGCGGATTACTAGGAAAAGTTAGTAAGTGCCACCCTGAACAAACTCAATCAATATGTATTTCACAATTATCTCCACGAACCTCTGAAGCTCCAGAAACTCAGTAAAGAGCAGGAGTGATATCAAGCACCGAATCTGGCTGCAAATTACAGCACGGCGTATTGCCGTTTTCTCGGGGTCTTCTATTGCTGAATGAATGGAAATGCAGAGTTGGTCTATAGCGCAAAGAGATTATGGCGGTAGAAGATGGTTCTATTGTGGTATGAGAGAAGAGCGGAGAGGAGGATATGAGAGCGGTATGTGGGAGGTCAATTGAGGGTATTTGGAGATGGAGAGTAGGTTTGCGGAGGCAGAGGGCTTCAAAACCTTGGGAATAATTCGCAACTTCGTCGGCCCAACGCCCGTTCACAAAATGTGCTGTATGGCGCTAGTGCAGCTCAACAGTCGATCCTGGTCTGATGGGCACGGTCCAAGGAGGGAGGGGTGTGGTGGCTCGTTAAAGCGGCATCACGTATCAGTTCTCGCTTCGGTGCCTGAGTAGGTACAGCTCATCTTCGACTTGACAGCTTCCGGAAAAGTTCTACGTCAGCTTCATTTGTGAATTTAGACCACGGAAAAGGATTTTTAGATCAAATGAACTTCACTTCCATAATTTGTAATCCAATCATTTTTCTGTGGTCATTTTCAAGACGGAGTAAGATAGTTGGTATCACGATGTAACAAAAGGGAATAGGGCTATGAGGGAACTTCTAGACCGCTAGTAACTTGATACTACTGTGCCTGGCCACGGGTATCTCAAACCTTATCATCGAACAATGCCGCTTTTTCTTGCCTCGTATTCAAGTAATGCAGGTGAGCTGTACTCCGTAGGTAGTCGTTGAAGTGTCGAGAACAATGAGAAGAGACGGACAGAAGGATAACGTGCCTAGGCACATACCAGATAGTCGCAAGATTTTCACGAAAGCTGATAGACAATCCGGCCTTTGAGTGACGACAATAATACCCCATGGGCTAGTGCAGGGACAGGTATAACACAGACAGCGGAGTGATAACACATCTGGATTGGTTACAGAAACAGTCAAGAATCGGCCTGATTACTCTGCAAAAGCTCAGCCTTCTTTCGGATGCCAGATCTATGGCCGTAACAAGCATTGTTTTCTGTTGAGAATACTTTTGAAACTGAAGATGATTACAAAAGAGCAGCTGCCTTGAGTATGATTCACATAGAAGTTTCCGAAGAAGAAAAATGGACATTTGAATGCCCGTTGCCTCCGATTCAGCGTATTCAGGGTATTCAACCCCACCATGTACATGAAGGTAGGACGCTTTTTGCCCGAGGCATCTCGATGGCTTTTGCTAGCCGTGTGTTACCTCAGGACTTCGCTTCGAATAGGGGGACTGTATGGTCTAGTCGTACATGTTTGCTGGATGTCAACGTCGTAGACTCGACGTTCGAGTACCTCAATATTTGCTTGATTGACTACCTCCCAAGGTAGCTTCCCGGGTTAAGTAAATTAGACTATGCAAATAGTATCCGGACGTACACGCTGATTAGATATAAATGGTAATAGCTATTGAACATGGCGCTCTGAATTCCATTACAGAATTTTAATGTGCTTCAGCCACGTACGCAGTTGAAACAAATGATGTGTATAAATAAGCTCTTAAATTATCTGTTATTCGAATTATGTTACACGCCCGAGCAAAGAATTGCAATAATGTTGTGCTGGAGACTTGTCGTCGCTGCCGTTATGGCCGGCTCTGTGGGTTGACAAGACACACTCCCTGAGAGGTGCATTCGGACAAATGTGGGGCCAGGGTCACAGACAGCCCGCAGCCGCTTGTCTTTCTTCGGACTAGTACAAGCAGGCGTTGGGGAGAAAAGAGCGTTCAACCAACGCCATTTTATTGCCGGGGGGAATGCTGTCGAGACTCGAATTTGGGACAACCAGAACCAGTCTGAATTACCTCTCCATCTCCGCACCATTAACCCGCCATTTCTCCTCATCTCTCTTCGCCCTCTATCACAACCGCTCTTCATCCTCTCACCCTTCAATAACGAGTTGGTCTTAATTGACTCTCGTTGCCGCAACTAAAACTCCATTCATTAATTACAATCTGCGGCGGTTTGACGCTCCTACCGACTGCAACAAAAAAGTTGCGAGATTCCCGACAAGCTTCATTTAAAGTTTGAAATTACAACCACCACTTGAGCATCCATTCTCGCAAGTCGTTGCACCCTCTCTTGTCCCTACTCTATTAGATACCCCTCCGAATACTTCCTAATCGTCCCCGGACGTAAAACCAAAGTCGAAATGCGTCCAGAGGTTGAGCAAGAGCTCGCCCACACTCTCCTTGTAGAGCTTTTGGCATATCAATTCGCTTCACCCGTGAGATGGATTGAAACACAAGATGTCATTCTGGCAGAAAAGACAACGGAAAGGATTGTGGAAATCGGTCCTGCAGATACCTTGGGTGTGATGGCGAAGAGGACCCTGGCCTCGAAATACGAAGCACACGATGCCGCAAAATCCGTGGAACGTTCAATTCTCTGCTACAACAAGGACGCCAAGGAGATTTACTACGATGTTGACCCAGTCGAGGACGAGCCGGCGCCAGCGGCACCTACAAGTGCTCCAGCAACATCTGCGCCAGCTTCTGGCTCGGCCCCGGCTGCTGCTGCCCCTCCACCATCAAGTGCAGGTCCAGCAGTGCAAGTACCAGACGCTCCAGTGGGAGCGATTGACATTGTACGAGCGTTAATTGCTCAGAAATTGAAGAAGCCTCTCATGGAGATCCCATTGAGTAAGGCTATCAAGGATCTTGTCGGTGGTAAGTTTCTATAGCATCGGAAATTTTGTAAATTACTTGAAGCTAACTTTCTGTGTCTACAGGTAAATCAACTCTTCAAAATGAAATTCTGGGAGATTTAGGCAAGGAGTTCGGGTCAACACCAGAAAAACCAGAAGATACTCCTCTCGACGAGCTAGGGGCCTCCATGCAGGCGACGTTCAATGGCCAACTCGGAAAGCAGTCTTCTTCCCTTATCGCTCGTCTGATTTCCTCAAAGATGCCGGGAGGTTTCAATATTACAACTGCGCGGAAATACTTGGAAACCAGATGGGGTTTGGCATCGGGTCGACAGGACGGTGTCTTGCTTTTGGCTCTGACTATGGAGCCTCCAGCTCGTCTGGGCTCTGAAAATGATGCAAAGGCTTTCCTTGACAGCGTTTCCCAGGCATATGCAACAAATGCTGGAATCAGCTTGTCTGCACCTGCTGCTGGCGGCGATACAGGTGGAGGCGGTGGTGGAATGATGATGGACCCTGCCGCGATCGACGCTTTGACTAAAGACCAGCGGGCTCTTTTCAAACAACAGCTAGAGTTGTTTGCCAGGTACTTGAAGATGGATCTTCGCGCGGGCGAGAAGGCGTTCATTGGCTCTCAGCAGTCATCACAAGCTCTCCAGGCACAGTTGGATCTTTGGAATGTTGAACATGGAGATTTCTACGCTGCGGGTATTGAGCCGGTTTTCAGCTCGCTCAAAGCCCGAGTATACGACTCGTCATGGAATTGGGCCCGTCAAGATGCTCTTACCATGTATTACGACATCATTTTCGGACGTTTACAGGCTGTGGATCGTGAGATTGTCAGCCAGTGTATCCGCATCATGAACCGATCCAACCCAACCCTCCTCGATTTCATGCAGTATCATATCGACAATTGCCCAACCGAACGGGGCGAGACATACAAGCTAGCGAAGGAGCTTGGTCAACAGCTTATTGAGAACTGCAAAGACACATTGAACGTAGCGCCATGTTACAAGGATGTCGCGGTTCCTACCGGACCTCACACTACGATCGATGCACGCGGCAACATGGATTATGCAGAAATTCCCCGAACCAGTGTCCGAAAGCTTGAGCACTATGTAAAGGAGATGGCTGAAGGTGGAAAGATCTCCGAATATGGTAACCGGACCAAGGTCCAGAACGATCTGAGCCGCATCTACAAACTCATCAAACAACAACATAAACTCTCAAAATCTTCTCAACTTCAGATCAAGTCTCTTTACGGGGATGTCATCCGATCGCTGGCGATGAACGAAGGCCAAATCATGCCAAAGGAGAATGCGAATGGCAAAATTAATGGTGCCAAGAAGGCCACGCCACGTGCAAACCCACCTACCAAAACCGGAAAGGTTGAGACTATTCCCTTTTTACATCTGAAGAGAAAAGATGAGCACGGATGGGAGTACAGCAAGAAGCTCACCGGTATTTACCTCGATGGCCTGGAGTCAGCAGCCAAATCTGGCGTCACTTTCCAGGGCAAAAATGCTTTGATGACTGGTGCTGGAGCCGGATCAATTGGTGCAGAAGTCTTGCAAGGTTTGATCAGTGGTGGCGCAAAGGTTGTTGTCACTACCAGCAGATTTTCGCGTGAAGTCACCGAGTATTATCAGTCGATGTATGCTCGATATGGTTCTCGGGGTTCGCAGCTCATCGTTGTGCCTTTCAATCAAGGTAGCAAGCAGGATGTTGAAGCGCTCGTCGAATATGTCTACGACACCAAGAAGGGACTTGGTTGGGATCTGGATTTCATCATCCCCTTCGCTGCCATTCCTGAAAATGGCCGCGAGATCGATAGTATCGATTCCAAGTCTGAACTTGCTCACCGCATCATGTTGACCAATCTCCTCCGACTCCTTGGGTGTATTAAATCCCAAAAGGCTGAACGTGGATTTGAGACTCGCCCAGCTCAGGTTGTCTTACCTCTATCACCTAACCACGGTACATTTGGTAACGATGGTCTTTACTCTGAGTCCAAGTTGGCTCTGGAGACTCTGTTCAACAGATGGCATTCTGAGAGCTGGGGTAACTTTCTCACTATTTGCGGTGCTGTTATCGGCTGGACTCGTGGAACTGGTCTCATGTCTGGCAACAACATTGTCGCTGAAGGCGTTGAAGCTTACGGTGTTCGAACTTTCTCCCAGCAGGAGATGGCCTTTAACTTGCTTGGCCTTATGTCACCAACTATCGTTGATCTTTGCCAAGGCGAACCTGTCTTCGCTGATCTCAATGGTGGACTGCAATTCATTCCAGATCTCAAGGATCTCATGACCAAATTACGAAAAGACATCATGGAGACAAGTGAGGTCCGTTCAGCTGTCACAAAAGAGACTGCCATTGAGAACAAGGTTGTCAACGGCGAAGACAGTGAGGCGCTGTACAAGAAAGTCAGCATCGAACCTCGCGCCAACATCAAGTTTGACTTCCCGACATTGCCAGACTGGAAGAAGGAGGTCGAGCCATTGAACGAGAACCTGAAGGGGATGGTTGATCTCGAGAAGGTCGTCGTTGTTACAGGTTTCGCAGAAGTAGGACCTTGGGGCAACTCCCGTACCCGATGGGAAATGGAAGCCTATGGAAAATTCTCTCTTGAAGGCTGTGTCGAAATGGCCTGGATTATGGGTCTCATCAAGAATCACAACGGTCCAATCAAGGGTAAACAGTATGCTGGCTGGGTTGATGCTAAAACCGGCGACCCAGTGGATGACAAGGACATCAAGGGCAAATACGAGAAGCACATTCTCGAGCACTCAGGCATCCGCTTGATCGAGCCCGAACTCTTCAAAGGCTACGATCCAAACAAGAAGCAACTTCTTCAGGAAGTCGTGATCCAAGAGGACCTCGAGCCCTTTGAGACATCCAAGGAGACCGCAGAGGAATTCAGACGTGAGCACGGCGAAAAGGCTGAAATCTTCGAGATCCCTGAGTCAGGCGAGTACATTGTTCGCATGAAGAAGGGCGCTACCCTCATGATCCCTAAGGCACTCAAATTTGATCGTCTTGTCGCAGGCCAAATTCCAACAGGTTGGGATGCTAAAAAGTATGGTATCCCAGACGACATCATCTCGCAGGTTGACCCAGTCACCCTTTTCGTGCTGGTGTGCACTGTTGAGTCACTCCTCGCTGCTGGTATCACTGATCCTTACGAATTTTACAAATATGTCCATATCTCTGAGGTTGGAAACTGCATCGGTTCCGGTATTGGTGGTACAAACGCTCTCAGGGGTATGTACAAGGATCGTTACCTTGACAAGCCTTTGCAGAAAGATATTCTTCAGGAGTCTTTTATCAACACCATGTCGGCTTGGGTCAATATGTTGTTGATATCCTCTACTGGTCCTATCAAGACTCCCGTCGGTGCTTGCGCTACATCTGTTGAATCGGTTGATATCGGATATGAGACCATCTTGGAGGGTAAGGCTCGTGTCTGCTTCGTTGGTGGATTTGATGACTTCCAAGAGGAAGGTTCTTATGAATTCGCCAACATGAAGGCTACTAGCAACGCTGTCGATGAGTTTGCCCATGGTCGTACACCAAAGGAAATGTCGAGACCAACCACCACCACCCGAAACGGGTTCATGGAATCTCAGGGATGTGGTATTCAAGTCATCATGACTGCCAGACTTGCTCTCGACATGGGTGTCCCAATCTACGGTATCCTTGGTCTCACCACAACCGCCACTGATAAGATTGGTCGATCTGTTCCAGCTCCTGGTCAAGGTGTTCTCACGACAGCTCGTGAGAATCCGGGCAAGTTCCCATCTCCTCTGCTCGACATCAAGTACCGTCGCCGTCAAATTGAGCTTCGAAAGAAGAACATCAAGCAATGGCAAGAATCAGAACTTGAGTACCTCCACGAAGAGGTTGCGGCCATGAAGGCGCAAGGCGGTGACTTTAATGAGTCTGAATATGCTCAGGAGCGTGCGGCCCACATTAAGAGCGAGGCAGCAAGACAAGAACGTGAGGTCCTCTACAGTCTTGGAAACGCTTTCTGGAAGCAAGACTCCACCATCGCTCCTCTACGTGGTGCTCTCGCCACCTGGGGTCTTACCATCGACGACCTTGATGTTGCTTCTTTCCACGGTACCTCCACTGTTGCCAACGACAAAAACGAGTCGTCTGTCATCTGCCAACAACTCAAACACTTGGGCAGGAAGAAGGGTAATGCAGTCATGGGTATTTTCCAGAAATATCTTACTGGTCATCCAAAGGGTGCTGCGGGTGCCTGGATGTTCAATGGGTGTTTGCAAGTTCTTAACAGCGGTCTTGTTCCTGGTAATCGAAATGCTGACAACGTCGATCAAGTCATGGAGCAATTCGATTACATTGTCTACCCAAGCAAGAGTATTCAAACCGATGGTGTTAAGGCTTTCTCCGTTACCTCTTTCGGTTTCGGTCAAAAGGGCGCTCAAGCAATCGGTATTCATCCTAAGTATTTGTTCGCTACCCTTGACGAGGCAACTTACAAAGCCTATGCCGCCAAGGTAGACATTAGACAGAAGAAGGCCTACCGATACTTCCACAATGGAATGATCAACAACACTTTGTTTGTCGCCAAGAACAATTCGCCATACACCGATGCTCAACAAGGTGCGGTCTTCTTGAACCCAGATGCCCGTGTATCCACAGACAAGAAGACCGCTGAGCTAACCTATGCTCCCAACTTCGCCAAAAACATCTCCGACAAGGCCGCCAGCACTAAACAGATGGTCGAGTCTTTGGCTAAAGGTGCTGCCACCGCAGGAAACAAAGTTGGCGTAGATGTTGAAGACATATCTGCGATCAACATCGACAATGATACATTCCTCGACCGAAATTTCACAGACAAGGAGCAGGAGTACTGCCTCAAGGCTCCATCTCCTCAAGCATCATTTGCAGGTAAATGGAGTGCAAAGGAAGCTGTTTTCAAATCCCTTGGTGTTTCAAGCAAGGGCGCAGGAGCTCCTTTGAAAGACATTGAGATCACCAACAACGAGAAGGGTGCTCCAATTGTTTCGGTAAGTCATAATCCTAATGTAATAACATCAACATGTACTAATATCAAATAGCTCCACGGTGAAGCCGCCGCTGCAGCAAAGAAAGCTGGAGTCAAAGAGATTAGCATATCCATCTCACATTCTGATAGCCAAGCGATCGCCATTGCCGTTTCTACGTTCTGAGAATAGATCTCGTTACATGTATATTGATTGGGGGTTTTGATGCACAGTTCATGGGAGGTTATAGGGGCGTTCTTGATTTTCATGTCATTGTCTAAACATACAGAGCGTGAAGGGTTTTGGGGTTGAGATGAGTACACTCGCTTCTGGTTTTTGCGATTATAGAGAATGTTAATACATGTTGATGCTTGTATGGAGTATATAATTCGCGGAGAGATTAAATACTATGAATTTGGTCCTTTATTCATGGTCCTTTTGATCAGGACAGTGACATCTGATGGACTTTCTCGAGGAATCAACTCCCCATCACTTAACCTGCCGTTTTTCGCGGCCGCATTAGACGAATTTCCTTCTCCTCACCGTCCACTGTCGTCCGTCCACCGGCAAAAACTTACTCCACAACCCCTAACCTCAACATCCCCGGCCCTCAATGCGGATCTTTGCGATATTCTGGCCGAATTGGGATTCTTAATCCGATGTATAAGGTTCGGTTGCGAGATTGAGAGTCAGGCCAATTACTGCGTAGAAGGCCGTTTCTTTTATTGTGTTGTGTGAGAGTAATACAAATTCGTGAGGAATTCGACTTATGGAAGTTATATCCACTCTATAATTCTTCTACTCTTTAGGAGCATTACTAACCTTTATTATTTCTTTCACCTGAGAAGCTTGGCTGTGAATTTCAAGATGTCGCTAAGCTACAATCAATCTCCTTCCTCAAATGCATCCGACATGCAGGTCCCCCGCTCCCCTCGCGGCATCGAGCTCAGAATGCGGGGATGGGATCTGCCGAATCCACCTGCCACTTAATGATAAACACCCCAAAACAGGGCGGAGAACATGAATTGTGGGTTTGACATGCTGAGAAGAGAAATGTTTCCGAGTTTTTGAATTGGGCTTGATGGATGACTGACTTGTGTTGGTGGATAAGGACCCCCTATTTGAGCATATATTAACTGGACGACGTCTTGATGGTAAAGGTTCAAGCGATTTTTGCTTCGATTTTTTTCATCATGAAGGGTTCGACTTATATCCCGTATTTGACGACTTTCCTGCCTATCTGCTCGGCGAACCCGTTTTTGCAGGTTGCAAATACTAATGGCACGGCTGGGGCTGCGGCTTGTGAGGCCATTGGGAAGAGTTTGGCGATTGAAAATGTTACTGTGAATTTTGCTCAGGTTAGTCCCTCGCATTTTAGTTTATGGATATGAACTGATTATGATAGTATGTGACTGCTGGGACGACGTTGAATTTTACGCAGCAGTATAATTTGCAGACTTGTGGGGATGCTAGTGCCCTTATTGAGAGGGATATGTGTCGGATTGCTTCGACGGTTAGGACTAGTGAGAGGAGTGGTGAGTGTGCTGGTTGTTATAGAAGTTGAGGGGCTGATGAGAGATAGAATTGACGCTTGAGACTTGGTTGCCTACGAATTGGACGGGGAGATTTCTGAGTGAGTAGAAAAGGTTTGAAAGATGAGTTAGAGACTGATCAAAAGTAGGCACCGGAAATGGAGGAGTAAGTGGCTGTATCCAATGTAAGTCACCCCATCTACATTACTTACAAATCCTAATACAACCTCAGACCGTGACCTGAAATATACTCTCGGCCTAGGCTTCGCAACCGTCGGCGCCAACAACGGCCATAACGGCACCTCAGGCCTAGCATTCTACAACAACACCGAAGTAGTCCATGACTTTGCAGACCGCTCCATCCATCTCGGCGTCGTAATTGGCAAGCAAATCACAGCTCAATATTACGGCTCACCACACACGAAATCCTACTACCTAGGCTGCAGCACCGGCGGCCGTCAAGGTTTCAAATCCGTCCAAACCTACCCTGAGGATTTTGATGGTGTGGTAGCTGGAGCCACAGCTTTTGCTTTCACGAACCTGACGAGCTGGTCAGCAACATTTTATAAAATCTTTGGTGCTAATGCTAGTGCGCCTACTTATATCCCCGCTGGGAAGTTATGGACGGTGATTCATAACGAGGTGTTGAGACAGTGTGATGGGCTTGATGGGGTTGTTGACGGGATTTTAGAAGATCCATCACTTTGCCAGTTTAGACCGGAAGCGCTGATTTGCGGATCCAAGGCGAACGGGACGGATTGTCTTAGTTCTGCGCAAGCTGGAGCCGTGAGGGAAGCGCTGTCGGATTATTACGGTGTTGATGGGTCATTGATATATCCGGGTATGCAACCTGGGTCGGAAATCTTTGCGAGTAGGGTTTTGTATGCTGCAGGTCCATTTCCATATTCGGTTGATTGGTTTAGATATGTGGTTTACAGTAAGATTTCTTCTGATTTCATATCTTCTTATGCTAACCTCCTACTAGATGATCCAACATGGTCGGCCGATACTTTCTCCCGTCAAGACGCCGCCAATGCCGCTCAACAGAATCCCTACGACATCCAAACCTGGAACGGCGACCTCTCAGCCTTCGCTTCACGCGGCGGTAAAGTCTTACATTACCACGGTCTCATGGATGGTATAATCTCGTCTGCCAATTCCGCGCGCTATTATAATCATGTCTCTCGCACCATGGGCTTACGCTCTGACGAGCTGGATAAATTCTATAGATTCTTCCGCGTCTCTGGAATGGGCCATTGTAGCGGTGGAGACGGTGCTCATGCTATCGGTAATCAGATTTCTGAAGCTCAGGGGCTGGAGAAGGAGGATAACGTTTTGGCGAGAATGGTGGCGTGGGTTGAGGGTGGGGATGGGGAGGCACCGGAGTTTGTGAGGGGGACGAGATGGGTTAATGTGAGTTTTGCGATCCGTTTTCTTGGCTGTTTTATTAATTTGGGTTAGGACACGAAAGCGTTGGGTGTTGATTATACGAGGAAACATTGCAAGTATCCTCTGCGGAACACTTGTGTTGATCCGGCGAATTCTAAGAAGGAGGAGGCTTGGAAATGCGTTTAGTAGAGTAGAAGGAGCGGGACTATGAGATGAGTGGTTAGTAGGACTACTCAGATTATGAGAGAAAATCATATCAAAACTTGCACGAAGTGAACACTCGTGAGTTGACAGTTATCTTTCAATGTTAAGCGAGCTGCGAGGATCAGAACTTACTTATGTAAGGCAAAATTCTTACTCAACGCTTCGGACTAGACACGGTACGTACGATTTCTCTTCATGTTTAAAATAAAGCTGCCTATGAAATATATATATTGCTTACTAAGATTAACATGGTAACTGTTCTCAGTTAGTATTGATTTGGAAAAGTTCAAAACTTCGTTAAATTCAGCCGCAACTCGTCGTGGTGGCTCAGCTGGTCAATCTATCTTGGCTGAAGCCTCATCACAACGCTGCCGCCATAACTGTTTCCGCCTTGCTACATTATTAACAAGTATCATCCGTGGAATTGTTCCGTACTGAAACACCTCTGATCGCTTAGATTTGGGTAAAATCTATTTTTTCCTTGCTTCTGATGGTATCCTCACCGCGACAGAAAGGCCGGGGTTGCTCGAATTTGGCGGAGTTGCCAGTTGGAGACGTTAGCCATGTCGACAGTTCTTCGGGAAAGGACAACGATGGTTCAGACGCCAATCATTTATCCATCAACTCAAGTTTAACAGATTTCAGCAATTCGGTAATCGACACCACAGACGCCTGTTTGGATTTACCTGGTTCAATCAGCTCCCTCCACCCTCCGAGAAGTTGGCCAAACGACTTTGGCAGTCTTCCAGCCCCTAGAGAAAAATACTCCTACGTTCAATTACCCGACAGTTCCTCCATTCGGGTCTTGAAATTATGGCCGGGCACTGGCTCTGATCACATCAAATGTTCGCTTCAACCAGCTATGATCGAGGATGTTGTAGACGAGTACGACGCTCTTTCGTACGTCTGGGGATCTGAGAGCCCGTCTCGTACGGTTGAAGTGGATGGATGTCCTCTGGCTATTCGAGACAACCTATTCAATTTCCTGGCACGACTACGAGACCCAGACGTTATGCTCAGCCTGTGGGCTGACGCTATTTGCATAAATCAAAATAGTACCGAGGAGAGGAATGATCAGGTACAGCAGATGGGGAAGATCTATAAGAGTAGTCGTGTAACCAGACTATGGTTAGGCCACGGTGACAGCGATGTGCATAGCTTTTTGCAGTGGACCGAGGGCGGACCCATTAATGAGTCGTACGAGGAGAATCACAGATACATCACTTCTGCCGAAGTCAATGGAGTGAAAAAGGTCATTGACAACGACTATTGGACAAGACTTTGGATAGTACAGGAAGTCATTCTGTCGCGGGAAATCCAAGTTCATATACATCAACGGGAATTTGCGTGGATCAATTTTGTAGACTGCTGCTACCTAGCATTGCGAGCATGCAACTGGTGCACACAAGAGACTAACTACGAATATGAGGATCTTGGTATGATCTATGTTCTAGATGAGCAAAGAAGAAAGGAATCAGTATGGGAAAGGAGATTTGCTGATCTGATTCGCAGCTACGGCTCTTGCAAGTGCTTCGACATTCGGGATCGAGTTTTCGGGTTGGCAGGTCTTGCCGACGATCTCGCGCTTGACGTGGACTATAATTTGTCTCCAATCCAGGTTTTCGCGAATATCACGCGTACTCATTCTATTGACTTTACGGACGACGTTACCTACGTCTTATACAAGGCGCTTGGGCTATCCTCTCGGATGGAGCTCGGCCATGACGCTCAACTCATCAACGTCAGACTAAAGATTCGAAGAAAAATAAAAAAAAGTGGCCAATCTGTCTGGCAAAACGAAAGGCTCAAGTGGGATGTTTGTGGATCATCGCAACTACCTCTGTCCTCGGAGTTGGATCTCCATTCGACATCTAATCCTAAACATGAAAATCAGCTTTATAATGTTGCAAAAAGAGCTCTGAGAGCAGGACAATTAAGCGTGCTGCGCCATCAGGAGGCACGAAAGTTTCCTCTCTACGGGGGCCCAGTTCTCAAAAGTATTCATTACTATACTATCGAAGTAACGGCCTTAGCCATCACGCCCATGGATGTGGCCTCAGCAGTACGCGCATCGGACCTTGATTGTTCAATAACTGGAGCTTTTGGGGTGGAAGTATCTTGTAATTTGGGTGATACCATAGTAGCTTTTGCTGAAATAGTCACTACGGACGGGTGTAGGACCGACGATGAATCTTTATTTGACATTATCTCCGGCTCGGTACTGGAACACTTCTAGGAAGTAAAATGTTACAAGAAGAATAGAGAGACGTAAACAAGACTAGTGCACGACAAGGTCTTTTCCAGATTATATTTTCTAAAAAGAATACCCGATTCTTTGAATTATTAGCCAAGGAATGATTTGCATTTATTAACTAGCTACCTGCAAATACAGAAGCTCCTACAAATGCACAGAAAGATAATTACAATGATCAATCTGCTCCAGACTCGCAGCGCACCCGGCGACCAAATGTCTTTCCAAACGTAACACTCATACCAGGCCAATGCACCTGTCCACCAAATCTCCTCCCGCAATTAACCTCGACAACCTCACGCATCGTATTATACTGCTCCGTTTTGCACCTACGCATCCATTAGCCTTCCCCTCATCAACAGACCACGAGAAGTACGTACTGATAAGGACGGTCATCAGTACAGAAATATCCAGCCCAGTCTTTAACTTTAACCAGCCATAGCTTGTTAGTCGCAACCACCAGGCCTTCATCACACTTCTTTTTAAACCACTGCTATCTGTAAGTATGATGAGAATGGAAAGACTAGGCCAAATAAACGCACATATCTAATGTGGCGGAAGCCATGTAAGGGTAGCCATGTTTTGTAGCATGAGATCTCTTGGTCTGTGGGAGGTTGAAAGCCGCTGGACCAGCGTTTCTCGGGTGTATCTTCGAGGAGGAGGTCGCCTGTGAGGTTTCCGCTCAGTTCGCCGAGAAATTGGAAGTCGGGGGTTGGGTTTGCGAGGTCGACAAGCCATGTGCCGTCCGAGAGGTCGGAGGGGATGGTGATTTCTGTGGCGGCGAATGCGACGGCTGAGAAAAGGAGGAGGCTGAATTTGAACAGCATCGTGGTTGATGTGGGGAATTTGTTGGATATTATGAAGTCGAAGTTGTTGTTGTTGTTGTGATCTTGGCTGAAGTATGGTATTGGGAGTTTGTTGAAGTGAGGACTGATGAGTTGGCAACACCTGCTTAAGTAGCCCCAAACTTAACACACGAGGCACATCTGCGCTAAGTGGTTTCAGTGAGCTCATGAGAAGATTTTTTCGAATCAGGCCAACACCTTTTGAACATAAAGCGATGTGGTTAGGTGCTGCTAAACTCATGTGGAGGTCAGTTCGTCGACAAGCTAGCGGCATCTAAACACTTAGGTCCCAAGCCATCGCAATATATTGCATCAGCCCTACATGTAAGCTCCAGGAAATTCTTTGTCATAAAGATCCAAAAATGGTCTTTTCGAGCACGATCAATTCCACTGACAGAAACAAGCGGGGGGCGATGAGGCCGCTTCCCAGGAGCTTTCAACAGGCTTATAGCAGACATGGGTTAAAATACCTCAAGCCGTAAGGAAGAAGCAATAGGAGATAATGAAGGGATAATGATATCTTGCAAAATGGCTCTACAAGACTCATATCAGAAATATATATTGTTCTTTCCTGGAGACTTGATAAGACACTTAACCTACGGCAAATAACAACAACATAGCTGAGTATAGGGTAGTAGATACACTAAGCTGACGTACGTAAGTCAAGGCGACCTGAAGAGAAATTTGAAAAGTCCCCCATACAGGGCGATTTCAATTGAAAATGTCAATTTGCGTGGTCAATCGCAGTGTTAAGAGTGGGTACGAGGTACGATTATTGGATGTGGTAAGAACAAGCACATTTCCACGTTTCAGATGCAAATCGTCGCAAATTTGCTTGTAAAAATTTGACAACAAACATATTAGGAGCTTGAATATTCGCGTCAAAGAAAGTTCGAAGTCATACGGAAGCAACACGAAAGCACATGACTGTCGGAGCCTTGAAAATCATCCGAAGAAGCTCTCCGAGCATCCGATGTTGAGCCGAGTTGCTGCTCCAGCTCGAAATACCAGTCGCGGTTCGTGGGTTATGCGACGTCCAACGATTCACTCGAACCGACTAGAACAAGAGGGCTCGCAGACAGACCACATTCAACGGAACATACTTTGAATATGGCGCCCTACCGCGACGAACATATGCTTATCATAGCACCTGGTTCTCGAACCACGCACGTTCAATTAGGTCTCCCAGAGAGCCTCGCACCCGCTCAACATAAATTCGCGACGCGTATGTTCCTTGCGCCAGATGGAAAATCATACGAACCGTACCGAATAAAGTCTTCCAAAAAAGAAGATTCCGACGAGGAGGAGCTCATTGAATACCCAGAAGACGATGAGGGTGCAATTTGGCCGCTTAAAGGTACGACAGTGGCTTCATTTCTAAGCTGGCTTGACTGTCGCATATGTTCAAATCTCAGTGCCCATTACACTGCGTATTGCTAACAATTAAATCTACAGATGGTCGCATCGATGACCTGAAATGCTTTTTGGCCTTCTTACACCACATACACGGCAAACTGCAACCAGGGCTACACATCGGACTGGTGATTGTCGCTCAGCCATGTTGGACACCCAAAGACCACGAGGAAATCACTCGATTTGTGTTTGAGACCTTCAAAGTCCCAGGATTTCTGCTGCTCGATTCTGCCATTGCAACAACATGGGCGTACGGTGTCGAGAACGCATTGGTGTTAGACGTTGGATACACAAAGGCTGATATTTCCGCTGTTTCGCAATTCGCAGTCGCCAACCGTGGCACAACAATTGGCTTCGGAGGAGACAATATGACAGAAACGTTGCTCTCTTTGGTCAAGGGAAAGTATGAGCCACCATTCACGAAGGAAATGGCCGAGAAACTCAAGCAGAGCAATATCTGCGAGGTACTTCCTCCAAACATGCCATTACCTGGCTCGGAGGGATTCGAAGAGGATATCAGCAATCCCGCAGCGGCCGCTTCGACTGGAGCTCTAGCCTCTGGCCCCAGTGTAAAGATCACAGGCCCTCCTCGTATGAATACCGAGCCAGGACTGGATGACGTTGTTGAGAAAGAAGATGGTGTGCTTGACATTGCTACTATTGTTGCCAGTGGCAAGACGCAAGAGTTTCTCGCAAAGGCAGAAAAAGCCAAGGCAGACAAAGCAGCAGCCAAGAAAGCTGTGAAGGACCGTGAGGCGGCGGAAGCTGCTGCAACTCGGGCTACTCGAATTCCAAACTCAAAGCGATTACACAATACTTGGGTCTGGGAGTCTGTGAAATCTGACGGCCAAAAGGAAAAGGAAAGAGAGAAAGAGAAGACCCCTGAGCCTGTGACTGCTATTGACAGCGCTGGCCCAGTTCAAGCTGCCGAAGATTCGTCATTACCGGCTACAGAAGCGGCAGGCCAATCTAAGCCAACAGCGAAGAAAGACAAGAAAAAGCAATGGGAAGATGACAATCCTGATCTCGTTCGTCATGAATACCAAATAGGCCCTGAAAGGCTGATGGTTGCGGATCACTGGTTTATCGATAGGATAGCGGATGAAATTTACCGCTGTGTTCAAGGCATGAGGGACATGTCTTCAAGGCAAAATGTATGGGACAATATCATAATCTGTGGAGGTGGAGCGAAAGTAAAAGGCTTCAAGGAGGCAGTGATGCAAACTCTTAATAACCGATACCTGATTTCGCCAAGTTCTGCTACCATGTTTATGAGCGAACTACCGTCGAATATCGCTACTCCCAGCGGTACTGGCTCCATGACTCCAAATGCGTCTTTTACTCCTACGCCACATGGTGGTCCAACGCAATCGAATTCGCTTCTCATCGCTGCAACCACAGCCTCGAATCCAGCCTTGAATCCAAACTTACAATCCGGCTACAATCCTGGTTATAACACCCATTCATCACATTCGCAAACTCCGACCGCAATTAAACTTGCAAGTCCACCGACTTATATGCCAGAATACAAGGACTTTCATGATGCTGATTTCCTAGGCGCTTGTGTTGCAGCCAAGACCGTTTTGGTTACGGATGGAGGAGCTACCAAAGGGCTGTTTGTGACGAGAAATATGTTTAACGAGGAAGGTCCCAGTGCTATTCATCAAATGTGAGTTTTCATCCGTGCCATATCGGTTTCGATTTCACTGACAGTGTTTGTTTAGCGGGTTCTGCATCTGATCACGATTCGTGGTTCTGCGATGGCGTTCGGGCGTACTTGGGCGAAATCAGATATCAAAATTTGGAATACCCACGGGGCTGCTGTATATTAGAAAAGGGCTGTACTAGAATCATCGGCATAGCGATGTTTGGCTGATTTAGTAGATCAAAGCTGTCTTTTTGGTTAAGCAGGTAGAAGGTTTTCTGTTCTTTTGTCCCTTATTTGCCTGCTCAAACCTTTGTCGTGCGGCTTGCTTACTCTTACCAGTCTGTCAGCACGAGGTTTGACTTACAGTCTTCAGAACTGTGGATTTCCAGATGTTAAATGTTATTATGCATATTTTAGCTAGTAATTCGCCAGGAACAAAGCCAGTTTCCATGCATCTTCCCTTTGCGTGTCTCAACACATTCATTTGCATTTACCATATGCCTTGCTATCTACCTATGCTTGTTCTTTGTTCACTGGCCAAGCTTATTTACCTCATGTGATAGTCGAGGGAACATGAGATCACGCTTTTAAAGGTCGGTACGAACGATTGCAGAGCTACTAACAGTGCCCCTTTGTCGCCGTGGCGTCAAATTCCATGATTTATTTTCCCCCAGTGAGCTAACTAATGATTTAGATATTGAGACATGTCAGCAGTCTGATGAGCTGAGACCAAGGTGGTGTAGCTGTACATGAGATACTTGCAGTTGCGGGAAGTTACAGATTTCATTTTATTGGACAAACATTCCCAAAGAACCAATTTACAGCTTATCTATGATAGGAAAGTATGCATACGCACCCGTGCGTCGTGCTATTCTATTCACGCCCTTGAAGCTCAATTAATTGAGTCATCACTCCGGTATATGTCGAGGGGTTTGGTATAAATAGGAGGAATGAATGGAAATTCGATGTCATATCCTGGCTTGCTCAGTAAGTCAAGTTACTGCACCCATAGTTAATTTGGTAAACGCGAGAGATGAACTAATGGTTTAATTGGCGAATTCCATTTCACTAGCAGAATTTTAGAGGCTTGTCAAACGAAAAATACTCCGTTTTGCTAATGAGCAATTGGGTCATTGGGGGCAAACTGGCATCGAGCCTCTTCGCCCGCATCCAATCGTCGCTCCTTCCTCGAAAGTCAACTGAATAAGGCCACCAGGTTCTTTCAGCGCTAGAGGCTCGACATCCATCGGTGCCTTCACCAGATGTCTTTCATCGAAGCATCCGAGCTTTTCTCTAAACAACATCCACCGACGTGGTCACCCCCAAACTTCCGACCCTTTCTGACCCTCCTCAATCCAACCTTCCGACGCGTCGAAAACACACTAGTCTCCTAGAACACCGCAACTATGCCACCAACAACACGAACTAGAACAGGGAAACTACCTACGAAAGTCCTACCTCCATCCCACGACATCGAAGATATTGAAGATATCGAAGACGTCGAGGAAACAGAAGATATCGAGATCATAAAGCGCATTGACGATGGTGAGATAGACCTAGATGGCCCAACGCTGATCGACCCAACACCTCAACCAGAAAGATTCGTCTTCGAGACATTCACGACCTTCAAATCGAAGAATCACCTCAGAGATGGACTCAGTCTCGTACGCCATTTGGGCGGTGGGAAGTACGAAATCGTCAGTCTCCAACATTCCAACCCTGATATCATGGGCTCTGAAGAGGTTGGCGATTATTTGAGGAGTGAACCGAAAAGATTGGAGCTTTTCAACGAGGCAAAGGAGGGGTTTGAGGTTTCTAAGGTGAATATTGAGCAAGCTGCGGATAGTGCGAGTAAGTACATTTTCCTCATTCACTTGCAGAAATTGGCTGGGTTGAGGCAAAAGAGAGGCATAGCTTTCCCCTTCGGAGAGTCACCTGAGTATACGATATTTAGGTTCAGGTCTTGAAGGCCATGATGGCCGCGAAGCTCATAGCCCATTCTTATGCCGATCTTCCCCATCGATCGTGTCAAATTTGAATGAGCGACGCAAAATATTTACTCTACAATAAGTCACGTCCACGTCAAGATAGATGCTGATATTTGCTAGATCTCAAGATTTTTCGCTTCTTGAAATTACCAGCTGAACTTCGGCTTCGTGTATATGATTTCACTGTGAAGGCAGATGTGCCGCTTAGATACAAAGCAACAGATGGCAAAACACAAACAAAGCTGGCTCTCAATATCAGAGGAGTCAATAAGCAAATCAACCGAGAGTCCTCCAGCATCTTCTTCAGAAACACATTTCGAATCCAGGAAGCGCGCAAACATTTAGCTATGTACCGAACTTACCAGGCTATCAGTCCAAGTTTACGAGAGGTAACATTCGAGTGGTGGGCTTGGGCCATCAAGGATAAAAACGCTTTAGAATTGATTGGTACCTTTCCAAACGTCAAGATCTTCAACTTAGTGGTCACACAATTTTGCGTCAACAGAGACTTCTTCGCCAACAGCCAGAGACGCCAGTATTTACATCAAGATGTTGATGGTATCGACAATTTCAAGAGAACGAATGGCTTCGACGCGCTCATGGCGTTGAGAGGATTTGAGAAGGTCAACGTCATCAGCTCCAAGATGCACAGTCCAGACCGTGAGGTTTCCCTGAAGGAGATGCTCCGATTTGAGAAGTTTCTCAATGAGCACTTGACGGCGCCAAGAGTAGTTCGAACCAAACCCGTGAGTCTAGTCAATTCTGTTCTTGCAAACAACTGGGCGCCAGCTAATGTATAAATAGAAGCCCAAGGATGTTGTCGGTGCATTGAAGGGTGTAAAGGGTGTAAAGGATGTTGCCGGTGGGGCACTGAAGAGAAAGCGACGAACTCAAAATATGGCGGACGACGGAGACGAGTCGGAGGACTTAAATTACAAGCCTTCTCAATCTCGCCGTCGTGCTCGCTAAGTTGAGAACAGACATTGAAGTAAACAAGACATAGCTAATGGCCATTTGCATTGAGGAGTTGCAAGGAATCACTGATGATACTAAAAGAATACGGCGTTTGAGTTTTTTAGAGGCAAAAGTAAAATTGTAGCATGTTTCGACAATCAATATCCATTCGCTAATCGATATTGTACTAAAGTGCGGTGTGAGAAGATACGTTTATTAATAGTTACAATAGTGTAAACGTGACCGTCGGCCCCATTTGTTGGGGAGAATTGGCAAACCAGTCGTTGACCGAAACATTCCAACACCTGGAAACTTGGATCGCAGCCTCGCATGACCGAATGGCAGGGGTTCGTGAGTGTGCGTCATGCTGTTGATGAAATAATATTACTCCATTTGATCCTCACGATTTGCTGAGGACTAAGGTTATTCACTTGCTTTATCTTTCTTCACTATCACTTGTTGTTGTTTACGCATGAAAGCTTGTTGTTGACAATCAAATTTCCCCAGCTTACTGCCAATCCCGACCACCTTCGCAGCAATCAAGCCTCACAAAAAAAGAGAGAAACGCGCATACAATGAGAGAAGACGGTAGAAAAAGACGAAATTGATTCTTTGCCTCCCAGCGCGAGCTTTATGAATCACACGAGGCCAGCAAACCGAGTAACAAACCGCAAGTGAGCAAACAAATATCGCATCGCAGCGCATTGCATCGCAAAAGCCTCAACCCGCACCCCTCCATCTCTTATTCCTCCCTTCCCCTCCTTCGACCGTTCCAACTATGGCGCAATCTCTCGAGGCCAAAATCGTCGTCCTCGGCGCCCAGGGCGTGGGCAAAACGAGTCTTCTATATCGGTACATCAAGAACCAGTTCACACCCGCCAGCACTACGAGCACGGTCGGAGCGAGCTTCATGACGAAGAGGGTGGTGGATGATGAGAGTGACACGGTTGTGCGTCTGCAGATCTGGGATACGGCTGGGCAGGAACGGTTTAGGTTTGTGTTACCCCCTTCCTCTCCTCTCCTTTTACCGATGATCAGTATGGACAAAGCTGATAGGATACTGGCAGATCCATATCAAGACTCTACTACCGCGGCGCAAACGCCTGTATCCTCTGCTATAGCATCACAGACCTAGCCTCCTTCGAGGAAATGGGCGTTTGGCTCACAGAGTTACGGCGGAATCTCCCACCTGATATCATCCTGCACGTCGTCGGCACAAAAGCAGATCTCGTCGCGCGCGATCCCACGAAGAGAGAAGTGCCCTTCGAACGCTGCATCGCGTATGTCGCTGAGAATCTGGCGCCTGGCATGAGCAGCACGCCGCCTGCGACGGCGACGCCTGGAGGGATAGAGGGAGGTGGTTTTCGCCCGTTTTTCGCGCCGAGACAGGAGGTCGATGGCGCGCGCAGTCCGAGTTCGAAGAGAAGTTCCGGGTTTTGGGGACAGGAGGTTGGGTGGGATTGTTGTCATGAGGTTAGTGCGGAGAGTGGGGAGGGCGTGGAGGAGGTGTTTAGGGTTATTACGAGGAAATTGGTCGAGCAGGATAGGGTGCTCAGCCAGCAGCTTTTGAGTGCTGCGCAGACGCCGGGGGTTACGCCTGGGCTTGATGGGCCTGGGGAGGGAGGGGGAGGGTATTTCGAGGGGATGAGACCTGGGGGCAGTTTTAGGGTCGGGAGGGATAGGAGGAGTTGGTTTGGGGTGCCGGTGGAGAATTATATTGATGCTGGGCCGCAGAATGGACCGCCGGAGGTTAAGCAGAGGAGGAAGTGTTGTTGATCTGCTATGGCGAGAAGAGGGAGGCTGTTCTGGGGGCATATCATTGAGAGGCGTCTTGTAAGCGGCATTGTGTGGTTGAGGCAAAACCGTCTGGGACGGGATCGTGTTTTTGTTTACAGTGATGGAGTTCAGGATACCCTAGAATTTGTTACGCAGGTTTTGTTTTGGTCTGAGTGGGGTGGTTGGATATTTTGCATTTGAATGGGAGTTTAGCAGATGCTTTTGTACCGACCTGTGTTAGATCTTAGCGTTTCGAATTCTATTCTTAAAATATCTACGTGCTGGTAGAGATCTCTGATCTGTTTGGTTCTTACGAAAATATGTTTGTGGAAGATGAATGCTGATTACTAGGTGGAGGATACTAGACGGGTCTGTTGATGTTTCGATAGGGGAAGTAATCGTCAGGTAATGGATTTTCTTATAGCTTAAAACAGAAGTCACAATTGTGAGCAGTAGTGCACAGCAGTGAAAGTCAAATCCTTGACTTTAAGGAACGGCCTAGACACAGTTGCCATATATCCAGTGTAGAATTCTATTGTCACTTTTCACCTAGGGCTCCTTTGATGAAGCAGGGGCAAAATATACAGACTTTATCTTGTGTTTCACTTTTGTATCATGAGTATTTAGTTTTTCAAATCGCAGGAAGGTTTCGTGCTCTAAGCTCTGCTCTTCTACAGTTAGTCCTACTTCAAAGCAGTTTTTGAACTAAGGACACGACTATTTTATTTTATTCTCTAATTTTGCTTCGGGAGAACAGGTCAAACGAAACACGACAATGCACCGATATCGCTACTACCTCTTCCATACATTCGATATTTCTCTACAAATAAGAGTCCTAAATGTGATCAACCTTGTCGTTATTACTTGCTTCGGCTGCTCTTCGACCGAGTATGCGAGACTATTATTGAAGCTTCAAAATCGAGTAAATAGCGGATGAACATGAGGATATAATCTCAAGTAAACAAACAATAACATCTCAGCTGCCAAAATGATGTGAGCTGGTATCACGTTCCAATAATTATGCCTTCACATGCCAAATCATCCTTCTAAATCCGGACAGTCGCCGGTCATCTGACGCTAAACGTGAAAGTCTGGAGAAGTGAAAAGTGTGGGGGCTTAGCGGGCCATGTACGGTACCTTTCACATGCCGATGGTTCTTTGTGCGAGGGGCTGATACTCACTCGTGACAAGAAGATGACATGATTCATGATTGACGTTATGAGCATTGTTTGCTTATTTTCACGGAGTACCGTGAACTATTTACAATCTTCAGAATCTGAATTGATTGGGAAAATCATAGGCCCCTTCGCATTTGAATATCAAATAAATCCCCAGACTCCGCACTATTAATTTTTAAGTGGCTCCTAAAAACGCCGGATCCGCGCGTTTGCTCTCTGCTGACTGAACGACTCAACTACATTCGCCGAATCAAAACGTGCAGGGGGTTGAGCCTCGGCAGTCCCCCAGACTTTAGTGGCGCGACCGACCAAGGACACAAAACCCAACCGCATTCCTCTCCAGAACCATCGTACCTTTATTCTCCTCTCCGCTCGACCCTGAAAATTATCCTCCTTTACGAATATCATCATACACTTTAGATCAAGATGGCACCAAGAGTCATTGTTGTTGGCGGTGGATGTATGTGCCTTTCCCGAACACCTCCTCTCAATTGCTTGCTGACCGTTGGTGACAGTGTCCGGCTTGAGTGCTGCGCATACAATCTACCTCGCTGGCGGTAACGTGGTTGTTCTTGATAAGCAAGGTATGCTGAGTCTTCTGACCCAATCATGAAATCCGCAGACTGACGTTCTCGGAAGGTTTCTTTGGCGGAAACTCTACCAAGGCGACATCCGGAATCAACGGTGCCCTCACACGGACGCAGGTTGATGGAGAGATCAGAGACAGTGTGAAGCAGTTTTACGATGATACCCTCAAGTCGGCCAGAGACAAGGCCAGACCAGATTTGATCAAGGTCTTGACATATAAATCCGCAGCTGCCGTCGAGTGGTTACAGGACGTTTTCGGCTTGGACTTGACTCTTGTTTCCCGGTTAGGGTATGTGTTCTGCTTCTCGATTTGAAACAACAACTCTAACATTTTTTCAGAGGTCACTCCCAACCAAGAACCCACCGAGGTCACGATGCCAAGTTCCCTGGTATGGCCATCACATATGCTTTGATGCAGAGGCTCGAGGAGCTTGCAGAGAACGAACCAGAGCGTGTACAAATTATTAAGAAGGCCAGAGTAACAGGCATCAACAAGGAGGGAAACAAGGTCACTGGTGTTACATACGAGTTCGGTGGAGAGCCAACCACGGTTGAGGGTCCAGTCATCCTTGCGACTGGTGGCTATGCTGCAGATTTCACAGAGACATCTTTGTTGAAGAAGCACAGACCAGATACTTTCCACCTTTCATCTACCAACGGAGTGCACGCTACTGGAGATGGACAGAAGATGGTCATGGCTATTGGTGGTAATGGCATTGATATGGACAAGGTGCAGGTTCACCCAACAGGTCTCGTCGATCCAAAGGATCCTGGATCCAAGTGGAAGTTCTTGGCTGCTGAGGCCCTCCGAGGTGAGGGTGGTCTATTATTGAACGGGGATGGCGATCGATTCTGTGATGAGCTTGGTCACAGAGATTACGTTTCCGGCGAGATGTGGAAGGAGAAGGAGAAGGGAAAATTCCCAGTCAGACTTCTCTTGAACTCAAAAGCTTCAAAGGTCCTCGATTTCCACACCAGACATTACTCTGGGCGTGGTTTGATGAAGAAGATGACTGGAAAGGAGCTCGCAAAGGAGATTGGCTGCACACCGGCGCACTTACAAGAGACCTTCCAAGCATACAACGAAATTGCGGATGGAAAGAAGAAGGATCCATATGGAAAGAAGTTCTTCCACAATGGACCTGTTGATATCGATGATGACTTCCACGTCGCTGTCATGGAGCCAGTTCTTCACTTTACCATGGGTGGTATTGAGATCAACGACAAGGCAGAGATTCTCAACTCAGAGGGCAAGCCATTCGAGGGTCTGTACGCCTGTGGTGAGCTCGCTGGTGGTGTTCACGGTGCCAATCGTCTTGGTGGTTCATCTCTTCTTGGCTGTGTTGTTTACGGTCGTGTTGCTGGTGACACTGCAAGCAACTACCTCTTCCAGAAGGCACTCCAGGGTGGTGTCGGTGCTGCATCTCGTCTCGGCCAAATCTCACTTCACATCGATCCATCCCAGCCAGGCAAGATCTCAGTGGAATGGGATAGTCAAGGCTCAGCCCAGTCCGGAACTGGCGATAAGATTGCTCAACAATCACAAAAGTCCGCTGGTCCAGTAATGGGTGGTGACTCCCAGGACCCAGGAAAGGCCAGCAAGCCAAACAAGCCTTCCAAGTTCACCGTCCCAGATAAGGAGTTCACCATGGAAGAGGTTGCTAAGCACAACACCAAGGAAGATCTGTGGGTGGTCGTCAAGGGTGTCGTCATGGATGTCAGCGACTGGCTAGACGAGCACCCAGGTGGACCACAGGCCATCATGAACTTCATGGGTAGAGATGCCACCGAGGAGTTTGAGATGTTGCATGATGATGAGGTTATCCCGAAATACGCTGCGTCTCAGGTGATAGGGAGAGTGAAGGGCCAGGAGGTCACTTTGGAGATTTGAATAAAATGATATCATGGTGGTGAGCGTTTGGGTTGTATTGATATGTTGAACTCTGGTGCATTAGGCTAGTTTTTGGGTTTGGATTAGGATTTTGGTGGGTGTGAATAAAAATTCGTAAAATATATCAATAGCTGCCATTTACTTGTTCTGTGTTTATATGTTTTCTTTGCATTTAATTCCGCGTTTTCTCATCCCCATCTTACTAGAAATCTGGTGAAGAACATGTTCGCCCCCTGCTTAAAACCCATCCCTACTAGGTTCTGTCTAAGGACATGATCTCTCTATCGAGAATTGTTTTCTGGAAATTCCTAATGCTTAATTTGAAACTAAATATGGAATATTGATATATGTCTTATTAATCTAGGTATTTATATTTCGATACTTCTCTGTAAAATAAGCTATATATATACTTTTCATTAATTATAGTACTTGAAACTTCGAACACGTATTAGAAAAGATAGAGCGAATATATAGTAATCGATTTTTATTCTATTTTTTTTATTTTTTTTGAGATATAATAAGATAAAATTTAAGGAAGGAGAAGTCAATTATTCTTTCATTACGTAACGCAGATATTTAAATTCTTGACTGTAAATTGTAAGTGTAGGGAAATATGATTGTCGGCTTGCCATATTTCACTCACGTCCATCTACCTCGGCCCGCCTTAGCCGAGTCGCTATCCGCCTGACCATAAGTCCGAAGCGGAAGGTATAAGTGGGTCCCCGCTATGAGCTGATCCTCGAAAATGGCCCCCAATCAGAACCATCGTCATTGGCAAGGCGGACGAGGCTCAGGGGCAGAAAGCGGTAGCATGGCAGAATATGACCGTTTTGGGTTTAGGTCAAGGGTAGAGAATCATTGCGACACTATCAGCGCTCGTCAGTTCTTGCGATATCCTGCATTTATCGTCAGATGAAACTTCATTCACTGTGTCTGTGATCTCGTTAGTCAATGATATGTGTTCACTTTAAGTACCAAACGACGCAAACCGAGTTTTCGCCCACGAGAAAAGAAGTTGTATGTTTTGAAACCTTCGCGACAGCTTAATGGACATATCTTCTGATGTAACAAAAGCTTACTATCTTCTCAAGATCTCTTACCATATCCTCGAATAAAGTCCATAGATCATCGGCATCATAACTATCCTGGTGAGGGGCCTACAAAATTATCAAAATGAACAACATAGGGCCTGGCTTCGACCGCGATCGAGCCGAACGAGAACGAGAGAATGATGATCGGCGGAGGGCACAAGAATCGTTACAGCAACAACAAGACCTCTTAGCACAACGTGAAAGGGAACATAATGAACGCCAGGATCGTCAGGAACGCGAGAGGCAGCACCGAGACCACTTCCAGCCTGTCCCACCCCATCAGAACGATACTGCCTCGATCCCATTACATCAACCTGTAGCTTCACGGTTGCCAGGTGCCATCCATAGTCCAGGTGGTTTGCTTGCAAATCATGGAGGTGCTCCTCCTCCTGGCCCTCTTGGTGCGCCGAGCGGTCCAGGAAATGCCTTTGGAGGACCACTTCACAGTGACGCCAATAGACCTCCTCAGCACAATACATCGAATGCCGCTCCGATACCACCCTTTGGCCCAGGTCTACTACAACTCAATACAGGTCCGAATCCACCAGCAGGCCCTCCTCAAGGCGGACCTCCCGGATTCGGTGGACCATTGCTACTTCATTCACAGCAACAAGCGGCGCAACAAGCTCAGCAGCAGCAACAAGACGCGGCGAGAATGCAAGGACTTTCGTTTGGAGCGCAGATACCACAAGGACATCAGATGCCAGGTGCCCCAGCTTTGGGGCAAGGTGGACAGCAGCCTATTCTGAATGTAAGTACCTTCGCCCTCTTTTTAAGAAAGCGAGTGTGCTTGACTGCCCATGTCATGGTCAGACGCAACTATCCGAGACTTTTGGTCCTTGGTTGGAAAGGAGACAGTGGTAGAGATAAGCGAGTATGCTAGAGCACTTGCTCTCGGTATTCAGCACCGATACTACTCACCGCTAGAAATTCGAAACTGAGCTTAAAAGAAATCTTGCCATTTCAGAAATCGTATTGATGATGGCAAAGCTGTGGCTAACGGTGTTTAGGATGCCTTGAGTTACTTGGATCAAGTCAAGGTTCAGTTTGCGGACCAACCTGATGTTTACAATCGATTTCTGGACATCATGAAAGATTTTAAGAGTCAAGCGTAAGCGCACCTTCTCGTTTGCGTTTATTACGCGACAGAAAACTGTTCTGTTGCGTGAATCATAAGTGATTGTTGACAAAGGCTTACCTAAATCCAGTATTGATACTCCAGGGGTCATCAATCGCGTGTCCGAACTATTCGCTGGCCATCCGAACCTGATACAAGGCTTCAACACGTTCCTACCACCTGGATACCGTATCGAGTGCGGTGCAGGAAATGATCCAAATACCATTCGAGTCACAACGCCCATGGGAACTACAGTACAATCGATAACCGGCGCTGGACGCGCGTTACCAGAAGCAGTTATGGGGCCAGGAAGTTCGAACAATGGCTACTATGGCGCACAGCGGCATGGCAACTGGCAACAACAGCAGCCACAACACAGTATCGAGAGTCCGGAGGCGGTTTTCAGTCCACAAAATCAGAATGTGACCCCGGCATACGGTCATGCTCAAAATCAGAATAATGTCTATGAGAACCAACAAGCTGCTGCTGCTGTGCACCACCAGCAACAAAGAGGAGTATCACAACTTACGAACGCGGTAGCAACTTTGGGTCAACCTCCCAGGAATGCACAAACTCCTACACCAGGTGCTCAAATTATGAATGGTGCTGGTATTCGAGAGATGGAGAAACAGCGTGGAGGACCTGTTGAATTCAACCATGCCATTAGTTACGTAAACAAGATAAAGGTAAGTTGTGATAGTCACTTTCCCTCCCATTCAGTAACCAGCTGTGGTGAATGAGCTTGCTTGCCGTTCTTATGCCGACGGTGGCCACCAAAGCCGCAGCTCGAGTAATGCTAATCTCAATCTTCGTTGTAGAATCGATTTCAGGACCGTCCAGAAATTTACAAACAGTTCTTGGAAATCCTACAAACTTATCAGAGAGAATCGAAGCCAATACAAGACGTCTACGCCCAGGTTACACATCTGTTCAACACAGCGCCAGATCTCTTGGAGGACTTCAAACAGTTTCTACCGGAGTCTGCAGCGCATGCTAAAGCGGCTGCTGCAAAGATGGCAGCCGAGCAAGAAGCTGCCGCAGCCTTGTCTGCGAATCAAACACCGCAGACGTCCTACGCAAGGGGTGAAGCAAAGCTGCCACCAGTAGGCAATTTCGCAGTCCCGGCCAGCAGCACCAAGGAGAATAAGAAACGCAACCGAAATAATCAGCAAGCACCTACTCCTCAGATAACAATGGCTGAAAATTCCAGAACGGGCGGACTAGGTGGGCCAGGTAACAAGGTATGCATTTTTGACGCCCTCTTTTAATATGCTTTTGGTTTCTAGTATACTGACTGTCTTTTTTTCCTAGAGAGCAAAGTTAACCCACAACAAGCAAAATGCACCGGATGCGCCTGCCGTTTCGCCAACTCTGACACCAGTCCTTCCTGAACCTCTTCCTCCAACTTCAACATCAGCTGCTTCATCAGAGGAGCTCGCTTTCTTCGATCGTGTCAAAAAATACATTGGTAACAAATCCACCATGAATGAGTTCTTGAAGCTTTGCAACCTGTTTTCGCAGGATCTTATCGATCGAAATGTTCTCGTACATAAAGTCAGCGCATTCATCGGTGGGAACCCTGATTTGATGAGTTGGTTTAGATCGTTTGTTGGGTATGAAGGTCAGGATGAGGTTATTGACAACAGACCAAAGCCGCCTACAGGTCGTGTCTCTTTGAGTAACTGCAGGGGTTTAGGTCCAAGTTATCGTTTGCTACCAAGAAGGGTACGTACATTATTTCTTACTATTCTAATCCTTGTGCGGTCATTGTTCGCTGGCTGGGAAACCATGGTCTGGCAAAGTTGCTATTGTTGCCATTTGGTATTGTCGAATCTTCAGCTTCACTTTAATGCGACAATTTCGAATTGCCACATTAGCTTGAATTCCAACAACTGGTCAATATTCGAAGACCGCGAGTACAGACACATTCATCGAACATTGATTTTACTTGTGTTCTTCACCATGTATTCACAAAAGATTCCCAATCCAGGATTTGCTGCGGAGTGTCTCCTTCACGGCAATTGTCTTGGCTTGGTAGACGATTCCAACACCAACTACCTGTACATACCACATGGTCAATGTATCGTGCGCAACTACCAGGCAGCTATGGCCTTGGTTGAGTCGATTTCTTTATCCGTGAAGCGCAATAAGACCGAAGAGGAGGAACTGTTACAGAGCAAGCGCGCAAAAGCTGTAGCAATTGCGGCTAAATTGAAACCATTGGTAGCAAGAGTTAACAAATTCCAGGAACGTCTAAAACCTTGTAGCGGTCGAGACGAGATGTGTAACGCTGTGTTAAATGACGACTGGGCTTCCCACCCAACATGGGCTTCAGAGGATTCCGGCTTCGTTGCTCATCGCAAAAATGTCTTTGAAGAGGCACTTCACCGAATCGAAGAGGAACGCCACGACTACGACTTCAATATCGAGGCCAACGCCAAGGTCATCCAGCTTCTTGAACCTATCGGCCAAACCCTCTTATCTCTGAGCGCTGAAGAACGACGTGTTTTCCGTATGCCGATTGGCCTTGGTGGTCAGAGCCAGGCGATCTACAAACGTGTGCTCAAGAAGATCTATGGGGAGCGAGGTCCTGAGGTCGCTTCCGATCTCTTTAAGGATCCATGCGCAGTTCTGCCAATCGTCTTGGCTCGATTGAAGCAGAAGGATGAAGAATGGCGATTTACCCAGGTATGTATACGAGGTTTGGCATTATAGTCTCTAGCTAACGGCTGTATAGCGCGAATGGGAAAAGGTCTGGCACGCTCAAACAGAATCTATGTACCTCAAGAGTCTTGATCACATGGGCATCCAAGCCAAGCAATCCGACAAGAAACATTTCGCCGCCAAACATCTCGTCGATGCCATCAAAACCAAGCACGAAGAGCAGAGACGCCAACGCAGCCTCAAAGGCAGGGTACCGAAATACCAGTTCTCCTACGAGTTTACAGATCAGCAAGTCATCACTGATGTTGTACGATTCATGGTGCTCTATGCCTCAAATTCTACCCACCACAACAGCCACGAGCGCAAACGGATTTCGGATTTCTTTGAGAAGTTCGTTGGCATATTCTTTGATGTTCCGCCAGAGGTTATCGCAGATAGTATTGCCCACATTGATCGGGGGACGCCCGATGATGAGGATGACGATGCCACTCCGACTGAATTGCCAAATGGCGGTCGTGGTAGACGACAGGTCAACGGAAAGAAGAACGATCTGCGACGAGGTGTGTTGGACAAGGGCCGAAATGGCGTAAGAGGTCGTGCTCAAAAAGAGGGAAGTGCCACGGGCAGCAAGGAATCAACACCGGATGTTGAGTCTGTGGGCGAGGAAGAATCTGCTGAGGCAGCTGAAGACCAAGCCGCCGGCGAAGTTACAAATGACCGCTGGGCGACTGTACCACCTGGAGCTACAGCAGTGACTGGATCACGAGAGATGTCCGCTTCAGATCTTATGCTCAAGACCGACCAGCCATATAAGCGTAATGACTACACGCTCTATTGCAACCAGACAATCTTTGTCTTTTTCAGCATATTCCAAACCCTCTATCGCAGATTGAAAGACATCAAAGAGAGCGAGGAAGAAGCGAGAAAGGCAGGAGCTCGTGCTGCAGAGTTCAAACCAGCTCAAAGAATTGGACTCCTTCCTCGTGGTGAGGACAATGGTTTGCCATCTTCAGAAGAGACATATTACTCCAAAGCATTGAATCTTATTGAAGAATACCTAAACGGCGATGTTGAAGACGCAAAGTATCACGACTGGCTTCGACGTCACTATCTAAGCAAAGGGTGGACGCTGTATACCATCATTGATCTCTTGAAGACTCTTTGCCGGTTGGGCGCAACTTGCTCAAGTGTTGATGCTAAGGAGAAGACGCCTGATTTGATTGATCAATTTTATATAAATCGTCAAAATCGCGAGACTACGTACAATCTCGAAATCAACATGCGTAAGCAGGCAGATAGGTATATCAAAGATGGAGATTTGTTCTCGATTCGCTGGGTAAGTTTTGTGCTTGGGTATATAGTACTCCGCTAACATTTATAGTATCCCAATAAGTCAGAAGCCACTGTCCAATGGATTATGCGCGATGATACCACCTTTGATCTCGATGACATGGAGCGTATGGAGAAATGGCAATACTACACATCTTCCTATATCCGCACCGAGCCTACCGAGGGCATCCCACGTTCCCGTCTTCACAAGACCATACTCACTCGCAACCGCGCATCAGCAGACGCCCATTTCGAAGAAGGCGGCGTTCTTCCAAAACCACTCGCATACCAAGAAGATCTCACCCTCCGCATCTGCGTCAACACCTATAAGATGATGTACAAGGCCGGCGGCTCTGAATACTTCATCTACACCGATAAACCACTTTCCATCGACCCAGAAACCAAAGTCAGCGCCGCCCGCGAACGACTCCAGAAGTTTGAGGAAGCTAGGTCTCAGCGCTTCAAGGAGAAATTCGAGAAGAATAACGCGTGGATGAAGAACCTCAGCCATGATGAGGTGAGTAAGGTCAATATGGACTTTAAGAAGTGGACGGAGAATGGCATCGTTCCTGGGACTGAAGAGGTTGTCAATGGGGAGGATGTTGTTATGGGATCGTAGTGGTCGGTTTGGTATAGTTGGGATGGAGTCGTGGCGTACTATTACTTGCGGATGTCCTGGATGCTATGTTTTTGGCGTTGGCATTGCGACGAGTTTCTTAGGATGTTTGTTTCGCTTTGGAGGGTACTAGCATTCTGATGTTTTGTTGTGGGGGTTGAGCGGTTGTTGGTGGTGGGAGAGTGGTGAAAAATTCTGATGGGAGAGGAGCGAAGTTTTGGGAGTTGTTTTGTATTATATGTGAATAGACTCGGGTTTTTGATGATAATCGTTTCTTATGAGTGTGGTATGGGAGATGTGGTATGTGGTGATGTTGTTAGGGGTGTTGTAATGTGATAAGCTGTGACATCTATAGCAACAAATCCGCGGATCGACCAGAACCCGGTTCTTATATCCCGGAATTGCTGCACATATTCAATGATCCTTTCGAAAACCCTTCAGCTGTCCTACATCGAAAAGGCATTTTGGACGCAGGGGTTCGCCTAAACTAAACGAGAACTTGAGATACCGGCTCGCGGTAGGTAACATATGTGGCTGTTTGAACTTGATATTTGCTGAGCTCAATTGCAAAAAGTCCGTACAGTCTGTCAACTGTTTTCGTGAATGTCGCGATTTGACTGCTACTTGGATTGTCGATCTCGAGCCTGAGAGACCGGGAACTTTCTATCTAGCTAATGGAAAGAGTGAGCAGACAGATGAGATATGATCAGTGTGTATTTCAGTGTCATGACCGTAAAAGAAATTGTCTGGTAACTAGGCCAGGGTGTCGCATGACCTCGTAAGTAGCACTCTTTAATGGGATTTTCAGCAGACTGATGGTAGCTATTCAATCATGCGGGTACATCGAGAATATCAATTCACGCTTGAGTCCCTCCTTGGGTAATGGACATGGCTACAAGATCGGAACACAGGGAGATCATGACAGCTGAGGTAGAGAGCTCTACAGAAGTCATGAACAAGATTATAGTGATGATTGAAAAGCCCAAGATTTTTATTCACGCCGAGGAAAAAGGGGTCACTTGAACCCGTTATGATTTCTTTCAGGTTGATTAAGGAAGCCCTTATCTCTGTGACTAAGTTTGAGGTAACGATCTATATAAGGGAGATTTGAAACCTACACCGATTTTGCTTTTGAATTAATAAAATTCGTTTTACAGACTAAGGAAATCATCTATAGAACTCGAGCGATCTTTTGATGTAGTGGCAGACTTATTAATTGCTAGCCCAGCTATAGCTATTTTATCTACGCGAAGCTAATTAACATCTTCTTAATCTCGTTTTTCTAAACTTGCAAACTATAGTGCAGCGAAGCAAATCTCAGTAAATCTCAAACAACTGTCATACGCTTCACACGTAAGTTTTTCCGACACCCATAATTCTCAAAAAGAAAAACAAATCAAAGACTATGTTTGACATTGCGCCTTCTCATATCTCGTCATCTGACGAATCGATAACGATCATCGTTCGCTGTCTCTTCTTCCGCTCTTCCTTTTCATTCCGCAGAAGTGATCGTTTTGGTATGTTCGCCGAAATTGCAGACATTGCCGATGGCTGTTCCTCTGACATGCTTCCGGTCATACTATCTTTGTCTGTCGCTCTCACATCATGAGAACTCGTTTCCCTTGCCATGTGCGACGCTGCTGCTTCGGCCTTCTTGTTCATCTCCCGATTCGCGCTCCTGGTGGTCTCCGATTTCGATTTAGGGACAAATTCCAAAGCCTGCTCTTCACTCCGATTATGTCCTGCCAGTGTCTTTGACATAAGATGCCGACGTCTTTCTATCAAGCTGCGAAACACAGCTTTTGTGTCACAGTCTTTGATTGGCCATTTCCAATCTCCGTCCTTCATGAATTTGAAAGTCATGGAAGGTGATAAGTGCGTAGGAGGTTGGACTGAGGTTGGGGGGTAGCCGAGGTTAGTGGGTAGGGTAGAGGTTGTGTTTTAAGCATAGTATTTGGGGAATAAATGTGATCTTGTATATACGGCAGGCATAGTGGTGCTACTAACAGCAGAAGTGGCACTATGGAGGAGACTTTGTGTGGGAGTTGCTGCGACACATCCTTTCTTACTGTTAGATAGGGGTGAAGTTGTGAATTTCTGTTGAAGTAGGGAAGAGAGAGGAAAGCGGTTGTAGTTGAATTGCGGATAGTGCTGAGGACTATGTGGCACTGATAAATGGTGAGATATGCCGTTTTCTAGCACGGAAGGTTAGTATTGTACCAAAATTCGAAGTTGATGGTATACTGAACTGTTTTGTGAAGCTCAAGTCACGTTTCTTACTTGCTATTCGAATCAAGCTCACCTTTAAAATGAAAAAACCGCGGTTTTTTTTGCGATAAGCTCCAGGCAATCCCACATCATTGTTTTCTCGTTGCTTGCTACACTTCAACCGCCATTCACGCCCTCACCATGCCACCCAAGAAAGACTGGTCGATCTACACAGTCGACATCCTCAAGGTCGAATGTGGAAAGAGATCTCTCGTTAGATCTGGCACGAAAGCAGATCTCATCTCCCGGCTTGAAACTTGTGAAAGTCAGAATGCAACGCCACTCCAATCTTCTGGGCCGCCAGCAAATGCACCAGCTGGTCCAGCACTCGAGCCATCTAGTCTTAGTGTCAGTAATCCCAGCGAACGAGAACTCGAAAAGCTATGTCAAGAAAATTGGACCCCTTATACTTCCGATCCACAAGGCCATCAGCGTCGCGAGACGATCTTTGCAGAACAAAGAGCCAAACACACAGAAGCTGTCAAGAAAAAAGACGCCGCGATCGCTCGAGCGCGTGCGAAATGTGAGAAGGCGCTTGAAGAATGCCGAGCCGAGAGAGATGAGAGGGTTAAAGAGTTGCAGAGTGAAGTGGAGAAGAGAAAGTCTTGGATGTGGGCTTTTGGGAGACTTAAGGTGTGTACTTTGTGAAACTTGTTGTTGGTGAGGTGGATGTGCTAATTGTGTGTAGGAGCTGCGTGCTAAGAAAGGGATGACGACTTCAGCGAGCGATTATAGACCAGATCGGGTTCAGGAGGGTGGTTCATCGGTTAGAGAGAAAGAATCTGGATGTGGAAGTGATCAAGTGGCGGCAGCTTCGAAACATGCGAGGGCGGTAGCCAAAGAGAAATTTTCTATTCCAGATGAACCTGATCGGCGCATTAGAATCTCACCAAGCCCAACTCCGTCTAAATCCGTCTCGATCTCAGAAGGCCTTGGAAAGTCTCAGGGCCTGATGAATGGCTCTACATCTGCAACGATGCATCGCACTCAGCCAGCTTCATTGAGAAACCCGGTATCTGCATCTCTCTGTCGCAAGCCAGCTCCTTCGTTGAATAGTACAGCGTCTCTCACGAGTAATCAAACACAAGTTACCCCCTTGAAATCTGATGGCCAGCCGACTACAGAAGCGAAGGCCAGCGCTAAACGATCTGCCTCTGACGCCTTCCCAGAACACGAACAGAGAGGGGCACGTTCAGGTTTTAATTTCATCGGATTTAGGCATGCTGCTCACCATACTTGTCAGCCTAATAGACTTGCTTCTGCACTAGATGGTTTACCGCTGAGTATTGTAGCTGCTGCCAAACCTCAAGTTGAGGCCCCTGTCAAAGTGGAATTACCATCTTTGGACTCTGAAGAGCGGGCTATTGTTATTGAGTGATTTTCTCACGACAGTGACCAGATATTGTATAGAGATGGAGGATAGTGAGAAGCGGAACTGGATCTTGAGGGGTTTCAAAATGTTGTGCAAGTGGTTGATATTCTATGCTTTTGTTTTGCGGAGTTGAAGGAGATGTAGACCTGTGGATTACTATGGGTGGCTATGGATATCAACTTAATATTTTGAATTTGTCGAGTATTCGGAGATAGTCCATATTGTTTGTTTGAATAGCATTACAATGTATACTGGCAGATTGGCAGAAAACAATATTCAAATGGTAGATAAGCCTATGTCTTAACACGTTTCAAATATTAACATAGTCCCCTGATACAAATTAGATTTCTTAGATGTTAGAGGATTACAGATGAATTTCCTAGGTTTGAGACAAGGATTTTCACAAAAGGGGTGAGGTTACAGATCTCGCTTAATCAAGCTATTAATACGCAAATGAATGCTATTATCGGATTATTTAACAGCTACACATTTATAAAGATGATGTTCTTGAGTACATGTCTAACTTTAGTACTAAGGAAAGATTGTGTAAAGATTTGGCTGTATATTAGGACCAAGCTCACTTAAACCTCTACCTGCCTTCTTGGCTGCAGAGCGTCAGAAGTCGAGCATCTCACTCTCAGCCCTACTATCAGCCACCAACTAACAACATATAAGCATTAAACAATAGTCTTCCTTACTCCTCATTGGAAGCGAATAAGTGTAGCTAATTGGACATGTCGAGAGTTTTGACATTAAGGACCTCGCTTAGCGAGGGGGATGTCGTAGTGGGCCTCGGATATAAAACTTGAGGTATACGATTGTGGTTATAACGTTGTGGGCAGGTGATGGAAGTGTTACACAGATGAAGGTGGGTTACACGGAGGGGATATGCTTATAATTGTGGTAAGGCTGAGTTGGATTGGTGCGGAGCAGCGAGTATATATTGTTAGATCTCTTTTATAGATTTACTTCCATATACCACTAACTTCTCAATTATATCATCTCTCTTGCAGACTCAAATCTCTCACTTACATACAGACATCTTTTGAACCATCTTACAGTTTCTTCCTCGATAAATCCCACATCCTCAACTGCACAATGGCAGCCCCCATCGAATTCTGCACCCAAAAATGGTTCAACTCAACCACCCAAATAAACCACGATCAATCATTTCCCCCAGACCTCAACTCCTCAATCTGCAGCGTCCAGGTCCGAGGCGTTAACGTACAGAAATTACAAGCCTATAATAACAACGCGCGTGTCGGATAGTTCGACGATGGTTGTTTCGCATACACGAATCCCAGTAGAGTTTCCACCAACCATAATATAGAAGGCAAAAAATAACACAAAGAATAGCGACCAACGACATAGGACCAGCATCCAGCTGTCGTTTCAATGCTGGAGTTTCGAACACCGGTTGTCTTGCTGGTTCGCAGAATCCTTACACGAGCACGAGCTCGAGTGCAGTGCCAACACCTACTAGACCGGTAGCGACGCCTTCGCCTACGGGAAGGACTGGAATGGAAAGACCATCTAAGGGGGAAATACTTTTGGAATTGTTTGTTGCAACCGGGGTTCTTTTGGACTTGTTCTAAGAATGCAGTGGGCAGGGTTTAAGATTTTGTCAGCACTAAGGTAGTAATTGGATATAAGTAAGTAATAGAGAGGATATCAGAGTTTGATTCGAGCTTACTAAGATTTTAAGCAGAGATGTATAGCGTTGTAATTAAAAAGTAGCGGCGTTCGAGTATACTTAGTATTTAAAGAGTAGTACTCTTATATAGCGAGAAGTGTCCTCTCTCATCTTAGCTAATGCTAAATCGAAGATCTCCAGAAACTCAGTTTCTCTTATCATTTAGAGTATTATAAAATTAAGTAAAACACTTTCATCTCATGTTGTTCGACATTTACACCGAATAGTGTGGATTGCATAGGGCTTCGATATAATTCATGAGCTTGTCTGAGCCGTGGGCTGTAATCGTTGGAACCAAGTGATCAACTGGGCGTATGACTGTTATTTCGTCGAAAGGTACCTTCGGTAATTTTCTGATTCATGTTTTCGTCAGTCGTATTCGGCGTGTGAGGCGAAGAAGTAAAGGTCTGTTTTCGCGACTTTGTCATAGCCTCAAGTTCCATCAAAGCGTACGCTTTCCTTTTTCTTGGATTATTTTCGTTAGAATCAGAGAGCTCCGCTGCGTCATCCATTTCGTTGGTATCTTTCACAGCAACGCTGTTGAGAAGTGCGGAAACATTTGCCTTAGAGTACTCCGATGCGGGAGCAGTTTCTTCTGTACTTTCTTGAGCTGTATCGTCAGGAACTTTAGAAACATTTTCTATAGACAACTTCGTCACAGGAGCGATGTCAAGAGTTCTGAAAACCGTTCCAGTCGACGTTTTGGGTACCGTTTTTCCTGTATCTATCACGGTAGCGATTTCAGAATTTCCGGAGACTGCTCCAGTCGACGTAGCGTGTGTCGCTTTTTCTAAGTCTATCACTGTGCCGATGTTCTGATTTTGGAGACCCTTCCCGATAGACGACTGCTTATTCAAAGTTGATTTGCCGTCGTCAATGACTGTCCAATTTACCTTTAGCTGTCCTAGGTTTAATTTCAATATCGTATGTTTGTCTTGGATGCGGCACTCTGTCGGTTCTGCCATAACTTTGCCAATGAAAGCATTAATTTCCTTTGACAAGTCAAGGTGATTTTGCATAAAATTGTTCTGATGGCGCGCTACTAACGCGAAATCCTTTGGGTCTACGTCGTCGATATCGTGATTTGGGCGGCCAGCATCCGTGGGAAAGATTTTCTGAAGGCAGGCCCTGAACGCTTCATGAATGGTCAACTTTCGTTGAATAGACTTGGCCGCGTTTTGAAGCTCTGGGCTTATCGTGGCTTAAAACATCTGGGTAGGTCGCTGGCGGTGTATTTCTCGCTCCCGTTAAATCTTGGCCTTTTTAATTTCCATCTGCTCATGCATCCTTTTCGCTTCCTCTTCATGTTTTGTCTTCGCCGCTTCCACTAAAGTACTCCTCTCATCTCAAGTGGTAGTAAATCGATTGTGACTAGGAGCTCACTTTCTCTGATCTTTTGGAACATTTTAAAATCTAGTGAAGCTCTCCCATCTAATGACGTGACAATCGTAATAATTTGAGGTGTATTTCGACCAAAATTCGAACGATTCCAAAATAAACGAGGATAACGACGAAGACAACTTTAGGAATAAAAAGCAAGGGCTCGGACGTTCGCCTACGGATTAAAAAAACGGAAGGATATAGAGTCCGAGGTTCTAAGGGCGTTTATATAATTTCGGCAAATTTCAAGCTGTTTTTAGACTGTACGAAAGTTTTTACAAAAAACTACTCTCGGAATTGAAAGAATCCGTCCGTAGAAGATTTTGATTTCCGGAAAATTTTCTATAGATAGAGGATATCAGATTAGAAAATCCAATTCTCTATCGATTTAGAGAGTTTTAACAGGAATTAGGTAAAGTCGATTTTCAAGAAAATCCGATGTAGGCTTAAAAAATAACAAGGTATAGTTAATTAAATTATAATCTTAGTCTAGACACTAAGGTTATATATTACTTTTATATTAGAAGAAGAATATAGATAAAGCTACTTACGTCTTAGTAAGGAACGTACCTCCTAGCGTGCATTTTTACAGATTTTAGTGTATGTATACTAAGAGTAAAGACTAATATAATTGTGAAGCACTAAGGATAGCGAACTAAGGATTAGTATAAGATACTATTAGATAGCACGATATCCCGTGACATGGTATCCTGTACCTATTCACCCATGTACCACAACAGTATGTTTTTAGTCCACGTTCAAACAATTCGCACTTTGATCTTAGGGCATTTGGAAAACATTTGCGCATGTTCTGTATCGGAGCTTGACCTAGAGAGCGACATCTCTTGCACCTCAATAAGCTGGTATGTTTGAGTTTTCACGTCCACGAGACGCAGGATTATCCATAAATCCTCAAACGACAGCTTTTCCAAGCACGAGCAGAGTAAATCCCCTTCGCGTACGTAAAAAGCATACCGTCTGGCCTTGAGCTGTAGTGGGCTAGGCTGAATAACCTCGGAGATCTCTTCTAATGCCTTACGAGAGCTGCAGACTTGCCAAAAGAGACCATCCCACATTAGGTGGAAGCGCGAATTGAGGTCCTCTTCGTGACTTTCATATAAGACTCCTAAGCAGCGAACGTCGCAGACTAAGGAGTCGCTTTGGGATATCTGTATCCCCATGGGAGGAGGAGCGTTTCCTCCATAATGAAAATTTACCGAGCGTGGATCCGGAACCCACGATGGCAATTGCAATCGCTCTCGATGCTGATTGTTCACGGTTTTTGCAGCACAGTAGAACACCCATACCCACTCGCCATTATCCAGCATAGCCTCAGCAAATTGCTGAAAGACCGTAGCGACCGTTGACGAGTAATTCACGCAGATTTTGGGTATGGCCATGCTCGCTAATGCATAATACATGTCTATGGGTTCAGAGCACTCTGATGAGTGAAAGTCTCGCAACAAATTTATCCACGTTCTCTTTCTCGTGAATCTCGTCATACCGGGGCTCTGGGAGTTGCACAATGATGAGAGCCCTAGTGTTCGATGAATGAAGGGGATGCCGATTACATCATCGGAGACGGCGGCGGTCAAGCGCCTCTCAGAGGCAGTTCTAGCAGGATCCTCCACTGCTTTCCGAAGCCCATCATTAATCATCCAGAATGATCCAACAAGGTGACTGATCCAATCATTGGGAAATTCTGACATGTCTAGAACGTGCTGGCCCCAGTACCAGTGATGTATATTCGAGAGTGATAGTTCCTGCAGTATCCATCGGCGCTTCCAGTACCGCCTAGAGAAAAATCGTATTCCCACATTGGTCATATCTGCGGCTGCTTGTCCAAGAGAGGGGTTGGATCTGAAACGCTTTTCCAACCAGTCGACATGTACGTTATGAGTCGTGAGATGACCATTGACGGACTCACTCTGCTGGTATGCTACACAGCCAGAACAGGGCAAGGAGTCCTCGTTAAGGAGAGGAAGAACGAAGCAGTTGTGATGCATGGACATTGGATTATTCCACGGCTTTATTTGTTCTGTGCGCTTCTTGATACGCTTAAGTAAGTCTAGCATAATTAGATCTTCTTGCTCTTCAACAGCGACCCCAAGCCAGACAAGGACCTTCTCAGCTCAAGCATAGATATCTGCCATGATAGTGACCTGAGTGGACCTTTCGTCAAGATTTTCTTGATCGATGCAAACGGCGTCAATCCATATGCGTAAAGGTTTATCAAAGTGTCTTATTCTCTTTAATCCCTCGAATAGATTCTGGGTAATCGGCTTCTTATTGCCATGGATAAAGAGTTTGTGGTCCTGTGAAGCACTGCCGTCTTTATTCATTCCCCAGGTGTAAGATAAAGCATTGTATGAGGCTACTTCGAGCTCTATTGTCTCGATCGTGCATTTGATGGCGTCGGCATGCTGTTTGGCGGGACAAAGCGTTAAAATACGGATGGATCGAGCACTCGGTAGTGCTTCGTACTTGTATAACATGTTAACAAAGAGTTGCTCTCAGAATCTAGAGGGCGTTGAGGGCTTCGAAGATGGAGTGTGCTTGTCCTGTAAGACCGCCCAGGGTATATATGGGTCTATATGAGGCCTGCGATTCTCCAGGACTATGAGGTGGGTATAGAGGGCGTTCGACTTATGAATATGGAAGTTGTAGATCTGTCATCGTGCTGCCTAAAGTGCCTCAGCATTGGCTGATTGCCATGCGACAGATACCCTCACATGGCGTTCAGCCTCAGCTGAAAACCCGTATCTGGATATTTCTGAACCAGGCGTGCTTAATCAGCCATGATTAGGTCAACTAGTTATTATCCATATGTTTGTTATTTTATTCTATTCCTTACTATCCCAAACAAAGATAAATAGCAAAGTGGATGCTTAACAGGATCTTGGGAGCTTTTTGGTTAGTTTTGAGTGAGGATGTCAGAAAGCGGAATTATCCGGCAAGATCTCGCGCAGTTACACAAAACGTAGTCACATGTTTAGTGTCTCGATAGAATAACAATGAGATGCCCTGTGCGGACGCTATAGACCATTTGAAGTACATAAATCAAATTTCTAAGATAGCAATATAAGGATTATAACACAAAATTTATTACTGCCCGTCACAGAACATAGACTAGTGTGTATTTGAAACAATATACTGGGACGAGGAATACCCCATAGGGGCTTGTAGTACGTAAATAAGGCGATTAGATATATGACACTTCGATAGTTTTACTTAGACATAAATCGGAAGAGCTTTAGTAGAAGACTGTTGTTCCTAGAACGGAGAGTTGATGAAGCTTTAGAGTTTCGGTCTCTAACAAGAAGTTAGCTTCATTTTATTGCGGTATTGCTAGATCGAGTGGATGTGGAGACGATTGTGCAATGCTATCGGTTGATATCGCAATGGATTTCCTTGATAGAAGGAATGAAACGAAGTGGATGTTAACAGCGTTGAGAGATTATTCATCTTTCGGTTTCGGACATGTCACAAGTAAGTTTCCCGATCGCTTATCTTTGCAACAACTAGTCAATTACCTTTCAGTAACGAATTAGACAAAAACTTAAATCTCTCTTACTCAACAGCCTCGAAGATCAAAATTAGAAAGTCGTCTGGATTGCCAGACTACTCTTGGTCGATACACCTTGTCTCGATCATGTCAACGATACCGGTACTCGATACATTTCGGCAGCAGCGACAAGACAAATCAATCGACACATTATCTGAAATTATCCGAACCAACTAGTGATTTCCCAAATCACCGGAAATCCGAGATTATCTTTGAATACGTCGACTCCAGCGAAGCAGCCCTACTGTAAGCTTTAGATGTAGCTTTCATGACCAGTGTAGGTCCCAGCATGTTATCTGCTCCTCGAGTGGGACCTGTCTTGGGTGCAGTCATTCCAAGTGTTGAGAAACCAGAACTTGGGTATTAATCGTGAAAGAGGAAGCTACTACTTCTAGTGATCCACTCCCTCCTTGTTATGAATGAGAACATTGAGTTCATGCACCTATCGGCACCATCACAGCCATGCCTCCCTTAGAGCGAGTCTTCCCTCTCAATATTCCATGGCCCTTCATTCGTAGTCATATGCGTCATCTGAGAAGGTCGTCAAGCTTGAATCACAACTCCCGATGAACCTTCGGTGTTGAATATTCATTTCAAGGCTGCTGTGATTCCAAGTTAAGAAAGCCACTTGCTAAGGTAACTTGTACTCCTGGGTTGCTAGCCAGACTATGGCTTCCACGACCGAGACACAAAAGTATACACTTGCTACTATTGCTTACCCACTCAATCATTAGACGATTTAGTCTTTGCCTTACACGGTTCTCAACATTGCGGTTATCTCACGAGCTCCAGCTCGATTAAAAGTTCCCAATATCGCAATAGACGATACAGGTAGTAGTTGTAAAAGATTTCGACAATGGTCTTGCGCAAATGTCGTGCTTGCACTCCCACTTGTCTTGCCTATCGCGAGCAGTTCTCTCAAATCCTCGCTTAAGCTAGGCGAACCCCTTGCCCCCCAAACCGCCTTCACTTGACACAAAGCTTTTATGGAACACTGATTTGCGTTGATTTAGGGCACAAAACGACCTGTGCTGCTGTCACTTCATTAGTTTACCATCATGGTTCGCAATTGGTCAAAGCCTAAGAGAAAATTGTAGAAGAATCTATGTGTACAACAAGCCGCGCTATCTCACTATACACTCTTTACCGAGCCAGCAGCTCCTTCACGTCTACTCCCCAGTCGCTCCTGCCTTCTCTATGCATTTCGAGACATATCATTACGAATCCTATCACGTGATTAGAGCTGGAAAATGGTCACGTGACTTGTCAGAACATACCTGTTGTAGTCCAAAAGACCCTCAATGCTTCCGACCGCGCTCACAGCAACATCCTGATCCCACAACTTTCTCTGGGCAAAGCTCATGACGTCCTTCTCGGTGATGGCTCCAACAACTCGCTCGATCTCCTCTGGTCCCATACGACGTCCAGTTGTGATGATCTGTCGGCCAATATCCTCGGCGACAGCAGTGGTTCCATCCAGTGACAACAGGATTGATGCCTTCAACTGTGCCTTGGCGCGCTCGACTTCGGCCTCGGTGACGTTGAATGATAGCCGTGACCATTCTCGGAGTGTGAAATGAACGAGATCATCGATACGAGTGAGTTGGTCGGTAACGAGGTAGATACCCCATAGACTAGATATTATCAGTACACATTACTCCCAAACGCTCGCTACGACATACCCGGTATCACTGTAACTTGTTGAAAAGCTCATGAAGCTGTTTGCCAGGTTGTTCTTGTTGACGAAACCACTGAGCTTGCTGCCCATGTGAGGAGCGTTACCCATGGCCCTGTCGTAGTTTCCAACAATAGCCTGTGCAACTAAAGCAGTGAAATAATCATCGTCCTTCCAGCTGACACCCTCAACGGCAATGGCGATGTTGGCGGTTGGGATAGTGTCATCACGAAGTCTGACCTCTGAACCGATAAATTCTGGCTTTGTCTTTTGTGCTGCTGCGATTCTAGCGGCAGAACTGCTATGTGGCTCGGTTGGAAGCGTGGAGAAATGCTTCTCGGCGAGTTCTACCAGTTGCTCGTGGGGAACACCACCAGCACCAACAAGAACCATACGATCAGCGGTATAATTGGTCTTGATATAGTCCACCAAGTCATTTCGTTGAATGCTCAAAATGTTCTCAGCAGGGCCCAAAATCGTTCGTCCTAATGGTTGTCCTTGGAAAGCGGTTGCGTGTAGGTGGTCGAAAACAACTTCCTCCAACTGTTTGTCAACCTCCTCTGATTCCCGTAGAATAACGTCTCGCTCTCTGTTTACAGCGCTTTCCTCGAGCTTGGAGTTTTGCAGAATATCGGAAAGGATGTTGACAGTGGCTGGTACGTCCGCGTTAAAGGCTTTGGCATAGTATACGGTGTTTTCGCGCTACAAATATTATCAGCTTCCATCCCGCCCATCCGATGAATTCCAACGTACAGATGTGTATGCGTTCAAGTGTCCTCCCATATTCTCGATTTCGAGCTCCAATTGATGCTGCGATCGGCTGGTAGTACCCTAAACCATCGTCAGCCGCCAAATCTACCCAGTTCATCCCAATTGAGTCGTACCTTGAAGGCGAGATGTTCGAGGAAGTGAGCTGTGCCATTTGTTTTGTCCGTCTCTGCCCGAGATCCAGCATCAATCCATACGCCGACCGTCGATGTCTGCGCCCATGGGGAGTGTTCTGTTGCAATCTATAGATCATCAGCAATGAGTTAGCAGACCTGAACGGCGTATCTTACGGTCAAGCCATTGGACAGTGTTGTTGATTCCGTCTTCACGCCGTTTTTCACCACAGGAGTCGCAAAACCCCTTCGCAGCGGAGCAACGGCATTAATACCTGTGCGGCCTCGCAGACCTTGCGAAAGACTCAATGCTAACCGCCGGGACGCCATGAGAGCTGTGAATGAGGGTAGGAAAGAAAGGGTTGTTTTGAATTGGGAAGGACGTCGTGGATTACCGGAATTCAAGGTCGTCTCGAGAAATGCTCTGAAGCTGTTTTCATCAGCCAATCACGACGTCGGCAATTTAGATGACTTAGGTAAGCCGGCCGCCAGATCTCGGAACCACTTCCTCGGCATGATCGCTTGAACGACATTTTGAGCTTCACGATCCTATCAGTTCCACACATTCGACGAGACAACGCTCGTTGATATATCGCGATGGCATCAATTGTCCGACCTACACTCCTCCGGCAATCATGCCTAAAAGTCGCCACCAAGAAAGCCTTCTCGACGAAGCCATCTCCTACTTTCCCCGCCATCAACAAGCCATTATCCTCTGTTGTTTCGAAAGATGCTGTACGCAGTAGATTTATGAAGGAAGCTGTTCCAAGTTCAATGCGAGTGGCAGCCTTCCATGCTACCGGCAGACGACCAATTCTTCCACCATTACCTCGTGCGTATCCAAAGTCGCTATGATGTAGACGTATAAATGCTAATATGTGCTTTAGAATCCGTCAATGGAACCGGTACGCCAGTCGATTATTGAGGTCCATAATTCCAGAAGTATGCTAATTGAGATCCAGCGAACGAACCAGCTCCGGTACCAGATCCAAGTCCAACTCACGGCTCCTACCACTGGACTTTCGAAAGACTAGTATCTGCCGGACTTGTCCCTCTCACAATTGCGCCCTTCGCTGCTGGATCATTAAACCCAATGACCGATGCGGTTCTCTGCGGTGCTATTCTTATACACTCACATATCGGATTCGAAGCTGTTCTCATCGATTATATCCCAGACAAGCGATTGCCAAAGACAAGAAAGGCGTTTATGTGGGCTCTGAAGCTGGCTACAGTTGTCGTCGGAGTTGGACTGTACGAATTCGAAACTAACGACGTTGGACTTACGGAGGCTATCAAGAGAGTTTGGAAGGCATAATTATACTGTGGTTTTGGTGGATGCGGTTGTATTTTACTTTGAGCATGCATTGCAACGTTTGTGACAGGTGGATTTTGCCGCCCTTTTCTACGTGTAAAGTGAAAACCCCAGAATGTTGCTAAATATTTTTCGATCTGGGTTAATCACCAAAACGTATTGGGCATGAATTGATGAATGTTTGACCCTATCCTTTCACATACTTCAGTGGGAAGCTCCCAATTGTCTGGAAGATTGACATGGTAAGCTTTGTTCAATGTAAAGCTCAGGGTATTTCGTCCTTGATTGATCCATGAAGTAAGACAATGTGACACTGTAGTTTGACTGACACTCTTGAGCCTGGCGCTGCATTGTCGTGGGTGTCTTTTACGGCATATAAAGTTGTAGAGTGATATTTTTCAACGTCACGGCATTTCCTTCTGTTTGTCTTAGTATTGGACCAAATAATGTATCTTCAATATCATGAACCTTCCTTCCCAGATAAAGACATTTGATAATCATTGTTTGATGTGGGGCTTTTATGATTTCTTGTAACTGAGCAGAATGACTGACTGCCTTCTCTTCAAACCGCTCACATTCGTATGACAGCAAAACAACTTACTGTTTACTATACCATCGCACTTTGTGGAGGAGCAAGCTTCTCTGACGCCTCAATATAATAACAGAGTACCTGGGTACGGAGAACTAGTGAAGGCCCAAGCAAACATCAATCACGTGCCCACCTGAATCGACCACCTCGTCGAACGCGTCCGCCAATCCAGATCCTGAATCCATCAATGACAGCAATTCAACAAATCCTTTGATCGAGCTGTACCATTATGCATCTCATTCTCAGTCTCATCTGTCAGAGCGTATCATAAGATACGAACACCGAATCTTTCAACTTTAGGGCCTGGATCCAGCGATTGTTGACGTCTCGTTTTCAACGAGTCACTGACCTGAGCTGCACCTTGTTTGTCTGTACTCAATCGTTGAACAGTTCTACCTAAGGCCGTACTAGTTGGTATCATAGCAATATGGCCGTACTTGACAGTCTTCCTCACATCAAGTCCCAGATCTGGGTGGATGGGAAACCACTTGAAGAATATGACGACGATGAAGATGAGGAGTAAGCTGTCGGTCCAGTAGCTGAGTATCAGGCTGCAAGGACGGTTACTAAGTACATTAAATCTTCTTCGGACAAGGAGTATTCGGTAAAACTCGAAATTGATACCTCATACAAATGGGATTCGCCTTCTCTGATCCATAGAGTTACAATTGATGGGAAATCCAGGGGTGGGTTGGTATTGAATGCACTATTGAAGCCTAGAAAGACTGGCATCCCTTACACTTCAAACATCCGAGGCGTCGAGATCTCGACTGCTGGGCATGGTGGCCGTGGACTTTTGAATAAATTCAGATTTGCCAAAATTAGTATGTCGTCCAACGTCCCTAGGAAATCAGTATCACTAATAACTTGTAGCTACTGACGAATCGAGAACGAAAGAAGTCAAGTCGGACTCAGAACTCTTGAAGGGGGCTGGATGCATAATTGTCACGATCTTTCGAGGCAAACAACCTGAACCCTCAATTGGCCACTCAGGACCTCCGCCGTCAGCTTTGACTGCGAAAGTCCATGAAAAGGCTCTAAAAGGCGAAGCAAAATCTCACACTACTTCGTAGGTACTGGCTGGATCAGGCTTCTCATTGCAGCTAATCATTCCTAATCTCAGATTCTCGCCATCTTTGGACATACCTAGTCCATCATTTGTTCACGTAACAGAGATGGATGGCAAAGACTATCCTATCGCAATATTCAAATACAAATATCGATCAAGAGGTAAGTTGTTCAATTTTGCATAACCGGTGCACTTGGCCTCGCGAAATGCTGACTTTCGAGAAGAATCCCTAAAAGGGCTTTTGATCCTTCCAAGAACGCCTTCTGCCTCACCGGAACCTGCTGCAAATCTAGAGAATCTCAATCCGCAACAGAGGAAAAAGCTAGACAATTTCCTCCGTGATCTTACAGTGAGTCTTACTCTTACTTATTTGGTTCTTTGCTGACAAAGACGATGAAGGGGAACGCAGATAGTAGCATAAAACGTGAGCGGGAAGACGACGATAATGGCCAGAGCTCTAGGAGAAAGAGACGTTCCGGAGAGAAAGTCACTATCGACCTTACTGAGGACTCTGACGACGAAGAAATTGTTGCTTTGAATTGATACCCATAGATTTTCCCTATAGTTTGCTACCTCGGGCTTTTGGCATTTTATCCTTATAGTTGCTGGTGGATTTAGTTGGAGGTGGAACTTTAGGGGTGGCTGGGCAAGAGTGCCAAGTATATTCTTAGTGTGCCTATCACGGTTGCTACATATCGCTAAATATTAAATACTGATTGCCTACTAATCTGTTCTCTTTATTTCGTCTTCTATCGCACGGCCTTTCTTTCATCGAATGCTTCAAGGGCCTTTCAAAAGCAAGAAAATTGAGTTATCTGTCAGCGCTTGAACACAATAGGTGTTGGGAATATTGTATTGCTAACATTGGTTTCTTGGCTATGTATAAGACTAGATCTACTCACAAGCTTCCCAAGATTCTTCTAGAACAAAGAGTTCCAAGAGAGCCAAGAGTCAGCAGAAGTAACGATGTTCCGTTACCTTTGTAGCTCAGCGACGCTTTGGTAGACGAGGTTGCATCCCGCCGCCCTGTGAAGGTGAAGTCGTGCTCCCAGAAAGATCTACTAACTCCAGTCGCTTCTGGAATTCAAAGTCGAGAAATTACTTACATCTACCACATCTAGAAGTCCTTTTCAATCGCGCTTGCCATTGTTTTACCGAGCCTACTGCGCTACATCAATCACTACCATGCTTTGTTGATCGAACAAACACTACTCGTACCAGCTTCAACATGGCGATTCTGCCCACAGTTCCCGGTCTCGAAATTGACATTTGCATCGACGGGAAACGCGTACGAGAGTATACAGATCCCACCCATAGATCGCCATGGACAAATCAATCATTCAAATACATCGAATCGAAGAGCGGAAAAGAATTTGCCATAGTCGTGCGAGTGCAGTCGCCCTTCGAGATCGAAACCCATGCCATTGCCGCGAAAGTTGAGGTTGATGGAGTCAATGTTTTGGGTCCTCTGTTTCGAAAGGAGAGATATGAGAGCATGGAGGGCTTACTCAGTCATACGATCTATGGGGTACCTGAGCGTGATGGTGTTAGGACTTTTCAGTTTGTGGAGTTGCCGAAATGTGAGTATAGATCGTTGGTATAATTTTAAGGTTGGTGTGGCTAACGCTCTGCAGGTGAGGGTGATCCTGCGATAAACCGAGAGCAGGCGACTGTCAAGAATAATTGCAAGATTGGGAGCATCGTTGTCAGAGTGTTTGAATGCGATTTGTTCAAGCAATGGAACACAGTGGATGAACAAAAATTGCCCGTACCAGATTTCAGCACAGATCTCGGACCTGAAAAAACTCATGCCATATCGTAAGTACTTGTGCTGTCGATCTTCGCCTGCTGAACTGACAATCACAGGCAGGGAAGACTCAAGAAGGCAGCGCCGATGGCAGCTTGGAAGATTCGGCAGAAGGATTCTAGACCCATTGGGACATTCATTTTTGAATATCGATCATTTGGTAATATTCTTGGCACTTCCAGTCCAAAATGTGGACTAACAACCTTCAGATGCACTTCAAGACCTCGACGTCGTCACATTCCGCCCATCCCCCAAGAAGAAAGCATCATATCGTGCTATCTCGCCACCCCCTGAACCTCCCGCTAAAGCAAAGAAAATCACAGATGAGGACGTATTCGGCTCTGTCGCTAGAGATGACACGGAAGATTTTGAACCTCGAGAAGATATGGACGGACATCCTCATACTCCTGATAAGTCAGCGTTCAATCTCCGCAAGAACTCCAGCAAGATAGCGACGCCTTCTAAGAAGAGAACGAGGAGATACAGGTAAGGCTATTCTGTGTTATGTTCACGTAATATAGAAGAGTGTGCTGACATATCCGTGCAGCAGCGATTCATCTTCCTCGGACAATATCTTTCACGAGGTACCCAACGATGAGGACAGGCCAAGCCCCAACAAAAAGCAATTCAGTCCGTCGAAAAAGGTGGCCCAGGAACTCAGTAAATTGTCGCTTAGGAAGTCGGATACTGATTCTGCGGAGGTAGAGCCAGAAGTGGTTGATTTGATCGCAGAGGTGTGAAGATGGCCTTGAACTGGTCATCTGATTATTTCCACAAGATGTCGTGTCGACTATGTTGAGGTGTTGGTTTGCAATTAGGGTTTGGCGAAATTACGTGTTGTAGATGGAATTGAGCTGTATTTTAAAATTGAATGAGAACAGGATAGCTTGTGTTCCGGGGGTGAAGGTCACTCGGTGACCGGCCGTTGCCTTGAAATTTCACATTACTTTCTTACAAACTTTAGGTAATTTATTACAATAATGGCAATAGCTTTCACCTTTAAAATTAGACTGTTTTAGACTTTATGTTATAGGAGTTCTGGTTTTCTGGTACGTTTGAGCACTAATCGTAGTAGCATTAAAACAACTTCTAGGGCTAGATAAATTGACACTTTTAGTGCCATTGTACACAGATATGCACTGCTGATAGGGAATTGAAAGCTAAATTACCACGATGTACGTTAACTGAACTGAGGTGGATCGTCCGTGTACATGTCATTATCATCTAGGAGAGCCAATGAGCTGTTGTCATAACTCAACCTTGAATGGAATACAAGCTTAGATTGTGTGAGAAATGTGGTGTAGATAATAGCATTTGCTACATACATATGAATCTATCTTTTCGCCTTTCTCAAACTCCAGAATGGTCATCTCTCGTAACTCGTTTCATAAGTTCTAGGCTGGACATCGCTCTTCCCTCCTTTCGCTAAGCGAGCCCCAACTCTCCCTGTCCAGATCGATAACTTCACTTTCCTAAAACTCGAGGCGAGATGATAACCTCACCATCAACAATCTTTCTGATCGATACGTTACCGTTCGCACGATACTTATGACATCTATCTTCTCACATATTTACTATGTATCCCCATATCCTCACCGATCTACCTCAATTCAACCAGGCCTTTCTCATCAGCTCTAGCAACACCCTCAACATTCAACCCTATATCACATATGATTAACGAAGCATTCCCAACATGACTGGGATCACAATCACAGTCCGTGTTAACGGACAAGACCTTCCAGAATATCCCACCTCCAACGATCTCCAAAAACTCCAGAACAAAAGATTAAAGCGTCACATGGAAAAAGTAACCACGACGCATTACATCGAGGTTGAAGATGGAGCTACATTCGAAGTATTCCTTTCAGTGGAGCCTCCATATCGAATGGACTGCCCAATGCTAGGTTTCAGGGTATTCGTCGACGGGGATTGGATACAGGAACCAACTTTAAGCAGAGAGGTTTACGAGGAGGATGGGAAATGGTCTGAGATCGTAACGGGGCCGGCTGTGGAGGTGGGTGGAAAACTTGCTTATCGACCTATGATATTCAAACCTGTAGCTGTCAGTAAGTCACTTCGCTTCCCTCGCAAAATCCGAGTACTGACCTCGCAGCCGAATTCATGCTTCCCAGAGCCGTTATAGCTCAGCACGTCAAGAAAATGCAAGCGGTAGGAGAGATAATCGTGGAGGTTCATCGATATAAATGTGCGATAAAATCTGACCGCTCTAATCTTGAGAAAGAGATGGTTTGGGAAAAGGATTATGAGAAAGAGGTTCATTTGAAGTCGGTTGTTAAGGGGACTGTAACCGAGGGGGTGGTGTAAGTTCAACTCTTTTCCAGAGCCAAAATGAACCTGCTGACCATGAGCGCAGATATGGAGACACGGTCGAAGCCAACGAGGAAGTTGAATTTCTGAAACTCAAACACATGGATGGTGTAGATTATATGCGGATTCAACAGATTTTCAAATATCGAAACAAAAGTAAGCAAACCCCTACAAACGACCTGTTAGAGGCAAACTGACACACACCCAGAAGCCTTGCAGTCCCTAGGCGTAATCGAATCACCACCACCTCCTCCAGAACCGCTCCCCGAAATCGACAAAGAAACCATATCAGCTGACGAAACTCTGTTACTGCAACAATACCTCGCTAAGCTGCGCGAGGAAAAAAAGGTTATTAAACAAGAGGAAGGGATCAAACACAGAAATGAGCTAGCTTCGGAGTCTAGCTTGGGTTTGAAGGAGGACGAGAATGAAGATGGCGATCCATTTCGCAGAAGTTTAAGGAGGAAGAGAAGATGCACCGAGGTTATTGATTTAACGGGGGATGAGTAGGATGTTTTAACAATTGGGAATTAGGAATTCTGGGTTAAGGCTATAGGTATAACGGTTAAGCGGAAGGGAGTTCAAGTCATGATTCAATGGATAAAACCTCGATAGGTAGAAAAGCACTTATTGCCTTTTGATTTATATAAATTCCATTTTTATGACACCAAGTTTCCTTGACATAGCATCATCGTATTATGGGTGAGGAGACGCATCTAAGAGTCAGCAGTCTACCTCGAAGTAGGTACAAAAAGACATACCAATCATCTCTAATTATGAATTCTACATCACCCATTTATCCATGCGAAGCTGCTTTGATATCTGAAAAAAATGAAGAAATTCGAAGATGCCAGGTTGACGAACTCACCAATATAAGAAATAAAAAATGTATTCCCGCATATGCGACAAGAGATTCGTCGAAATGCTATTCTATTCGCCATCCCTATCTATCCATGCAAGTCTAATAAATCATATCCTCCGAAACAGCCCAAACCGATCATGCTTTCAAACAACTCTATAGCAAAGGATTAGAGCGGTATTCCGGAACCACAACACTGTTTCCCTTCTCAGCGCCCTTCTCTCCCTCAAGGCCATCCTGCACATCATCTTCATGCTCGGCAAGGAACTTCTCGGCTTCGAGAGCTGCTATGCAACCAGAACCTGTGGTATGTTAGTTTCAAAATTGGGAAAAGAATGGAATTGAGAATTACCAGCTGAGGTGATAGCCTGTCTATATCGCTTATCCTGCACATCACCAGCAGCGAAAACACCCTCAATATTGGTATAACTCGTTCCTGGCTTCGTGATGATATAACCCTCATCATCGGTATCAAGCTGGCCCTTCACTAAAGCAGTCGCTGGATCGTGTCCAACAGCATAGAAGAGTCCATTAGCCTCCATAGTCTCCTCCTTTCCAGTCTTAACATCCTTAATGACCATATGGCTCATCAATCCCCGATCGTCACCCTTGACTTCCACTCCAACGGTGTTGAATTTGACGGTCACCTTCTTGTTGGCCATTAATCGCTTGGCCATGATGCTCGACGCTCTGAGCACCTCTTTTCGTACCAGCACCACGACGTGAGATCCGTATTTTGTAAGGAACATAGCTTCCTCTGCCGCAGAATCTCCTCCACCGATAACGACTAATGGCTTGTTTCTGAAAATTGGCACGGCTCCATCGCAGACGGCGCAGGCTGAGATACCATTTTGCCAGTATTTCTCCTCTCCTTCAAGACCCAGTCTTCGTGCTGAAGCACCTGTTGCGATGATGATGGTATCAGCGGTATTTGGTTCCTTGTCCTCGGCGTATTCGTTCCAGTATTTGAATGGTCTTTTTGACAGGTCGACCTTTGCTACTGTCTCGGTGATGATTTCTGTGCCGAATCGTTCGGATTGTTTGCGCATGTTGTCCTGGGAATTTATGTTAGCTTTGTTTTCAACAATCTCCATGCCAAACTAACCATCAACTCAGCACCTCCAATTCCATCTGGGAAACCTGGGTAATTCTCGACATCGGTAGTCGTAGTCAATTGTCCACCAGCAGCGATACCATTAGCAAGGAACCCCTCATACAGCACAGCTGCAAAACAATTAGCACTCCCCACCAAATGAAAAGCTGTAGAACTCACGCTTCAACTCTGCTCTCGCCAGGTAAACAGCAGCAGTATGCGCTGCAGGGCCGGAGCCAATAATCACCACCTTGCTATGCATTCTTCTCTTCTCTGTCTTGCCCAAGAGACTCGTCGCACTCGCAAGGCCGGTCGCCTGTTGTACTTTTGGTCTCTGCTGTATACTGGAAGCAGCAACGATGCCAAATCCAGAGACTCCCGAGCGCAAAGTTCTTTTCAAAGCTGAGGAAAACAGTTTGTCTGTCGCTCTTGTTTCGGTATTTTGGAATGTATGTAGCTGGTTTCGAGGGAGGCGAAAAGCTTATATAGAAAGGAGGATTTGGAAGGATCTGAGTTAATTCGGAAAGTGGGAGCTAAATGCTAGATATGGAAGGTTCTTGTTATGGGTTTGAGGGATTGATTTCTAAGGGCTGTTGAACCTCGCAGGAAATTTTGAGTCGCGTTCCTTGCGACCCCGCCAAAGACCCGTCGAGTTGGCTTTTGATTCCAAACCCCGATGGTTCTGGCCACAGCTCCGCCCAGACATTTAATAAGCAACGCCTTTTGTGTAATTCATTCTAACATCCAGCCAGCCGCGGTACAACGACGATTCTAGATCTCGTACGAGTACGAGATATCTGTTCCTGTTTACTTGAGAAGGACAAACAATACAATCTTCACGTGACCGATTTGAACACCTTTAGTCCTCCTAAATTGGCCGACTCATGTAACAAATCTAGAGAATCAACGATATCTCATGCAAAATAAGTAATATTAGGTCTATCTCTTAAACGCCACTGCTCCCAGAAACTCCATCATGTACCACATGTACAGGTTTCAAACGCTAAGCCAATGGTGCCCCAAGATTTTCCATTTCTTTGACGTACCGCTCCCATATCTCGATGGTATTCCCGTAAAAGTCCACATGTGCATCGGCCAAAGCCCCAAATTGTGTCTTGAATTCGATTCGCTTGATTCTCTCAAAATCCTGAACTTCCCGAACAACCTCCTCATCAAAAGCTTCAGTGGTCTTCTTGGCATCTTCAACTCCAGCCGTAAGAGCCTCTATTCTTAGTTCCAGCTTTCGAAGTCTCTCACGCCGCGATTGTTCATGGTCCACACCACGCACATCTTCAATCTTGCTCCGAATAAAACCAGCAGTTCCTGAATGTGCCCCGCCAGGAGACGCTAGGTAATCCCTATCTGTCGTAGACTTCGTAAGATATTCTGTCAACTGTTCGAAATCCAGCTGCTTTTGCTCTCGAGCTTTTAATAAATTCTTTACCGCGGTGCTGTATGCCTGCATATCTCGCAAGCTTCCGAGATAATCCTGGTCCGTATGGTCTTTCAGTGTTCTCATACCAGCTGACGTATCTTCCACGCTTGCTGAAAAAGCATGCACAGAAGGCTCGACCCCAGGCTCCAGCGTGATGAGCTTTTGAAATTGTTCGGCGAGATCCTTCAAATCCGTTTCAATATCTCCTTCTCTTCTAGCGACACGGGCCACTATTTTCTCTACATGTCCTAAATCCTCATCCAGCTTATCCGACCTTTCCCTAACCTCAATGAATCGCCTATCCGGTTTGCCGACCTTCGTGAAAGCATTTATAAAGGTGTCTGTAAAATTATCAAAGACTCCGGAAGCGCCTTGCTCGGACGCTGAGGAGCCTCGCTGAGGTCGGGTCTTCATGGTAGCATTCCAATCCGAGCTTTCGAGGAAGATGATGAGAAGCGCACTTCTTCGAAGAACAGGATGAAGCGCTAATCGGGTAAGAAATCGATGCAGGGAATTCGCGCGACGTGACGTGAAGTCTGATCCAAATCGGTCGCCTCTCACATATTCCATCTTATGCTTGTCTGGAAGTGGCGGTACAGCGCAAGCTGGGTATTCTTTCGAGAGGGTTTTGTAGAGAAAAACGAAGTCTGTAAATCGTCGGCGCACATTCGTAACTGGCTTTTGGAAGGAGGGGAAGTTTGTCTGGAAATTATCAGTAGGCCGCTTATAACACTATGATATATCATTGCTGGTGATTATTGCTAGCATTGTAGCTAGAATGTTCCTGGTGCTTGAAGGTGGAAGACAAGGGCTTCGCGCAAAAGCAATCAAGAAGGCTTGAAGGAAGGTACTAACAGTTGTGGTAACCAGATACGATACATAAGCATCTTTAGAGCCATCGTTCTCTTTCAGAGGCTGGGTAACGGTGCATTCTAAGGTTCCTTCTCCAACTCCAGCGAGGTCCATCGCATCCGCATTACCACCCAGCTGCTCATGAACTCTCTCGCTTTTGTCTCCCCCTGGCCCCCCTTCTACGCTTGCAGCGGAACGATCTGCCTGACCTGCAGGATCACTCTGCCACGAAACATTCGCGAAATCGTCGTGGTTCATTCCGCCCATTTGGGACTGCGGGGCAGCCCGATGCTTTGGTTCAGCGGGACGTGGCTTGCAAGATTGGTCTGGGAGTTTGTTGAAAGAGGTTCGGGGCTTAGGATATGCGATTCAAGCCGTTTATGAAGTCATTCCTTGTTTGTGCTGCTGGCTGTGAGTGTTTCGCGTGGTGGGTGTTGTCAGATTATTGTTTGCGCACCGATGACGAGGCAGGAGCAGTCGAGAGCTCCAATGCAATTCCATTGCAGGGGGTTGCGAATGACTAAGCGAAGACCCCCTCTACCTACGTGCCGCCTATTTCCCATCTTTCGTCGACGGGTGAATCTACTAGACACGTGGAAGACTTGGGATTTGGAACCTTTCAACAACTCCATTCAATTACTTTTTGATTTCGACATTTCAGATAAAGACGGGTATTTTGTCCCGCATATGGTAGTAATCTTCTTGCGCTTTGGCCGATCCACTTGATCATGGATCTTTGATTATTGACCCTGATCAACACATACTGTACAGGAAGCAAAGAGACATCAGCGAACTGTTAATAAACCGAAACACCCTGGGACCTATTGCTGGTTCTCTCCCTAAAGTCAGTCAGTGTACTTCCAAGATAGGATTGGACCCTGATTTCTACCACCTCAATAATTTCCTCTACGGTAGTACGGAGAAGTACTAATCTTCCTTTTAAGTGTGCTTAGATACGTCCGCGGCAATGATACGTTACGTTGTTAAGATTTCTATTCAGCTGTCCTGTCATTATTTTTAAAAGTCTTGGTAGAGCTTATCTAGTTGATCGGGATCTCAAATTGAGCAAAACTGTTCCATACGGGACACGCATCGTTTGATTGAGTGCGAATCACGCAGGTCTAAAAAGCTGCAATTGGGCGTAGAACACAACTCGGCCTTTATTCATTCACTGGAATAGTCCTAAAAATGTCTTGCCGACATCGTACTGCAGCCTGGAATGGTTGCTTTTCTACCTCCCCTACAATTGCCAACTGCTGTCACCATTTCATTCCAACTTAAATGTCAACCAAACGCAGCTGCCGGCAAAAAGGATCGAAGTTACAAAGTATCCGCAATTCGATCATCCAAGTAGTACTCGTATCGTGGCATGAGTAAGGAGACTGGAAATAAACCGGTGTTTGCTGAGTCAGGTCCGTTGCAATTGAACGTCTTTTTGTACTGCCGAGGGCATTTGAGCTCATGACCAATGGCTAATCATACCTCACAGAAATGAATGCCTCCGCAAGCTCACAAGCGTTTTTCTGCTTTGGAAGCCTGCCCGTAGAACTACGGATCAAGATATGGGAAGCGGCGCTGCCAACCCCTAGGATCATATGGCCTTACCACAAAGATAATCCCACCACCGTTGAATTGCAAGATTGGGAAGCGCTTAACCACACAGATCGGACGAAAAAGTCAAAATTCAAGATTTTCACTCTACTATTCGTCTGTAACGAGTCCCATAGCGTATTTCGTCATCATTACCAGTTGTTCAAAACTCCTCGACCGGACTGGTGACCTCTCGACTATGTGGAATACTCTAATATGCCTTAGACATGCTGGCCCCTTTGGGTCGATCCAAATCGCGATACTATTGTTCTAAGAATTGACTATTTTAATCCAACAACTGAGCCGAAATTCGATCTTAGTCGTTTGGAAAATCTTGCTTACACGAGCACCGCTTCGCAAGATGCAATGGCAACACAAGTAAACTACACTGGTTTCGCTCTCATCAAACAGCAATGCCCAGCACTACAAACGCTGACATTCATTGCCAAAGAAAGTCTCGACGAGGACGGCTGGCCTTATCCAGTTCTCCCCGCACAAGGAAGCCCATGCAAATTTGTGCAACTGATTCCGCTCGAAGGGATTTTTGACCACGAAGTGCGCCATATCCTTACTTGTTGTCTCCAAAGAATGCCATGTTACGATGATCTTACCTCATGAAGTGAGTTTGACCTCATAGATCTAAACTCACATCGGTCAAATATGATCAAAGAGTTTCGGGTTGTACAAGCTAATAATGAGCAATACTGGGGGGGCATACACTTTAGAGTTTGCTTGCAATCGTCAGTTGATGCCCTTGAGGTGTGCGGAGATGGTGTTGATAAATTGTTTGGTACACACTGGATCAGGAGACATCCAGTGTCGCAGCATAATCGGGGCCATTTTTATTTGATGCAACAGACGAAAGACGATTTCATGAGTAGGTATGACGGTATTTCGAGATTGTTCGAGGAGAATCAATTGGTTGAGGACGACTGATATATTATGGAATTGCAGACAGCCAAGGGTTGAAATGGGCAATGGACAAATTGAAGGGAAATTTTAGCAATGGGCTCGGCCACCAGTGTATTCGTGGTCTCGAGTCTGTGATATCTAGATGATGGTATCAGACAAACTTCACAACGGCCTGTATCTATTCACGACGAATCCGAAGACATTTTCCACCCATAATAGTTTGTAACATTACGTCCCTGAAATCGGGTTCTTTCAACTCCTTCATCAGTGTCTTCATTACACACATGGAAATACGGTACACAGAATGTTCGATTGAATGACTCGGAGAATTCCAGATGGGACCCCATTACTATAAAACCACTTTCTGCTCGAGAAGCCGACATGATCACACCCACTAAGATGAAGCACGGCTGCGTTTGTCATTGTGGTATCACAACTTCAACTGGAGATGGGTTTGAACAATTACCTGTCTGAGAGGTTACTGCTGGTGGTTGTAAAAACGCTTTCTCCCTTCTCGACGTACCAAGAATTATCTAATTGCCAAGCTCTACACTACCCGCAAATAAAGCTTCGATTAACATGTGGCAATTGCTCTAGGATCTAGGCCAAGGTATCCAGCTACGACCTGTCTAATGAAATGGCTAGATGAATTATCCACGAACCTTCCTGGGCATTGGATCGTTCGTCGAAAAGTCCAAATATAGACTCTATTTATACACATTGCTTGTGTTCGATGATGCCCTGGTGAACTTCCTTACAATGTACTGAATAGGTAAACAACGCGATTTCCTCCTACGCGAATGGGAATACGCGACTTGTCATCTCATTTGGGCTCAACCGTGGTATTGTTTGCTTATTGTGCTGTTGCGTGCCATGTTTTTCAAGATAACAATTAGGTAAGTGGCCTCTCTTGCCCGAAAAGACTGGTAAATTCCCATCTCGTGTATTGCCAAGATTCTATTGCTTCGGAACATCGAATTGCTCAGAGATCTTCCAGTAAATGGCAAATGAAGCGGTGACTAACTATGGTAATCTAGTATATCGATGTCACAAGCGAATATTCAATCGCAATGTTCGAGTTCGAGTCAATTCAACAGCCATGGACTGCCATGGACATCGAGTCTGCACAGACAATAGAAAACATATTCATAACCGATGCGCTCTCGATGTCTCTACTCAGATACCCGTCAAGCATCGACCTAGCATCACTAAACAAAAGAATCCAGAGAAAAAAAGCCGAAATCACATGCGCCGCCTGTCTCGAACCATACCCGCCAAACGACATCGCCAAAGCAGAATGCGAGCACTACTATTGCCACATCTGTGCCAACCACATGTTCACCGCATCCGTCAAAGACATAAGTCAATTCCCTCGAACTTGTTGTCAACTAGGCATTCCACTGGATTCGTTCCGAGAATTTCTGGATGAGAAATTGATCCAGCAGTATGAAATGCGGAAAGTGGAGTATGAGACCAAATACCTACGATACTGCGCCAACCCACACTGCTCCCATTTACTCGCAGAAAAAAATTGTGGGAACGATGTCGGCAAATGTTCGTGGTGCAAGACGAAAACTTGTTTGATATGCAAAGGGAAATATCATACTGGGAGAGATTGTCCGAATGATGAGGCGGTGAAAGAGGTTATGAAGATTGCTGGGAAGATGAAATGGCGGCAGTGTCCCCGTTGTCATCGGATGGTTGAGTCTACGGGGGGTTGTCATAGGATAACGTGAGTAAACCATAGAATTTTTGAGGGATTTACTGATTCTCGTAGTTGTTTTTGCAAATATCATTTTTGTTATCGTTGTGGAGCAGACTGGGAGGGTAACCATCACTGCAAACTACTTTCGGGCTGGGAAAATGCGGTGAATGCCGTAGGATGATGTCTAGTATGTTAGCATCATACTTTGATCCATTCATTGTTATTCTTATGCTACGGGGAACCTAGGGTGTGGAGGGGTCGACGAATGGCATGTCAGTTGGAGAAAAGAGGATGCGCGGGTGCCCTAGGCTATTGGGTCGTAAGCAAAGTCCAATTTAATCAGATATTGATAAAGCAGATTTGCGTTTCTTGGGCGATAGGACGTTTATCATAAACAACAGCTAGCTAGTCATATCTATACTATCACTTCAATTCTTTTCTCTCTATCGAGTTGTGTTCGAAGCTTTTTCTCATTTTTTGTCAACGATTTTTAATATCAAATTTTTATTAGTGGTACTTTGGATACTATCATGGCCCTTCAATCATGTAGTAAGAATTTCATTCACTGTCTCCTTCTCCTTCTGTCATCGTCTTGAAGTCATGAATCCATCTAGGCTAAGGATTTCAATACCCGAGCGGCCGATTTGCAGATCTTTTTCAGTTGCTGGCTTTCTAAAAAGGGATAACGAGAGTATCACCTGCAGATTTGACAGCTCTAGCCTACTGATCGTTAGGTGATTGAGGTTTGTAGGTCGTGCTTTGCAGAGTGGTAGGCCAAGTGGCATCGTATTCGACTCGACTAATTTCATCAATTCAAACATAAAACACCAGGAACCATTTTGAAAAATAAGCTGATGAGCAAATTTCTAGTCGAATCGCTTCTTTGTCTTGGTTCCTTTGCTTTCCTCATCATCCACACCAATATTTGTCATTACTTGCGCATCTACAAACCCATTCTCTCACGTTTCATCACAAGACCAATAAAATCATTAGATGTTTTGATGATCTGTAAGACATACTATTCCCGGGCGGATCCGGAGAAATTCCCGCGTCCCGCATGTACAAGTAAGCTTAAGTGCGCCGTTGCTTATTTCCTTCACCGGAGATTTCTGACATGCATATATGCATGACTAAACGAGCTTGAAATCGGAATACGGGGTAAAAGTGCTGCTCGGGGTATGAGTGACTGGATATCTCTAACTTTTGAGAAGTCTCGAACTACTGCAGTGCTTTTTTCTGGGTGCATGCTATTTAATTGAAGTAGATGCTGAGACATCTGCTGGCGGGTTAGCATTACAGTATGAACGAGAAGATTAATTTGACGAATTTTCGTTAATTCTAAGCGAACTTCAAGTAACTAGGTACATAGGTACTTCTTCGACCAATTCCACAATGATTACTGGTCAGAGCCTTGCTTACTTGCCGAGCAAACGCTGATCCGAGGCGATATTAAGTCTAAATGTAATACCCGTAACTTTCCATTTTCATCAAGTCATGGAAATAAGCTTCTTCAGTGCGGTCTGCAAGGCGGGTGTAACTCCTTCATGATCTATCTTGTGGGATGGTAAGAGTGATGTGGACGACTACGGGTGTCGTCCAGTCGTCCAATTAAGCTCGTGTTCTTGAATATTTTAGTAAGTCTACCCCACAAAGTAGAGAGTGCAAAGGAGTGGCGGCGCTTGTTTTCTTGTTATGGCAAGTTGCGGTACAACATCACGTTGCGCAGAAGCCAAGGAAGGAAAATTTAGTGTGCTATTCTTGGTCTTGTCACTTTCAGTTGCCAATGACAATTTTAAGACCCAAGGAATGCTTCTGTCATTCAAAGGGTCGTTATTGTGGGACTAGAACTGGCATACCGCTCGTGATCTACACTTCCTGAGTTGTTGAGCAGCGGCCGATTTTTCGAATCAATATCCTGTAGAACCCAATTAGCCTACTTCAACACCTCGTCACTTTGCGAGTGAGAACCTTTCAACCAAAGAACCCACGAGAACCTCCTGGGTCTGCGATTTCCAACATGCGGACATGGGCACCGCTTTCCTGTTTGGTAATATATCTCACCATGCAACTGCACATCTCCCTTGACTCCGCCAATCTTGAGTATATCCGTATAGAATCTCACTCATACATGTGCTAAATGATGATTCTTCGGTAACCAGAACAATGTAGAGCATCAAGGATCTCGTATTACGCTTGAAGAGAAGAGTTCCAAAAATTATAAAGTCTTCCCATCCCTCCAACATTTCTCAATCCTCATCCCTTCCACAATTACTTCCAATCACTTCTATACATCCTCACTTCACTTTAGAAAACCACTTTCCATCAAATCAGCAAAAATGCAGTTCACAACCACCCTCATCGCGATTTTCGCAACCGTCGCACTCGCTGCCCCAAGCGCCGAAGTCACCCACCAGAGCGCCCTCGACATCGTCCAGACCATCACACCAGACGCTCTCGCAAGATACGAAGCTGGGATTGTATCTCCCAGCGTCGCTGCTCGTGGTGTTGATACCACTCTTGACAAGCGCGATATCACTCACCTCTTCGTCTGCACTGATGCCAACTTTTCTGGAAAGTGCCAGAATTTGGCTACGGATCGGGAAGTCTGCCGTAAGTTAATGCTCCTGATAGACATGCTGGAGAAACTTCTGACACGAGGATTTAGACTTCCTCGGTAATGGATTCGATAACTCCATCTCTTCTCTCGGACCTGACAATGATGGAACTCAATGCTGCATCTTCGAGTAAGTGACTCCACGTCCAAGACATCCAATCCCGTGTATCTTCAGTCTTCAGGCTAACATCAATCTCAGCAACTCTGACTGCACTGGCGCTTCCGTGTGCCAAATCCACGCCCCTGGAATTTTCAACTTGAACGACTTTGGCTTCAACGACCGTGCCAGCTCTTACAGATGCTAGATCTTATCGCAAATGACACCGGAAAAGCACCGGATTCATAAATGACTTGATCAATCATTGCTTGGATTCTGTGAAGGAGGACGTGGAGGTTGTTGAAAGTGGGACGGTGGTGAAAATAAATTATTAGATACATTCCTTTAATAAATATAATTGAGAGACTGCTTCATTGTGGCATAAGATTGCTTATTGAAAAGTTGCCAGTGTGTGATAAATGCCAAAGCAGGTTCTAGAGTCGTATTGCTCAGTCGCTGATTGCCATCTCGCAGACATGTTGGTCCTTCTCCGACTGAGCTGGAAGCTGAAAGGTGAGTAATTTGGCTACAACAACTTTAGTTCTACACATATTCCAATGGGATGTGGTGCAAGGCAGGAGCCTGACACGTCAGTCATTCATAGGGCGACGAGACAGAAGCCTGGGAGTGTCGTTCCCATCGACTTCTTGAGCGTTAAAGGGAGATGCAGTCCAGGAAATCCAAATCTCTAACGTTGGACCAAGTTCTTTGGAGAGTACGCTTTGAATGACCTGTTTAATTCAAGACCCTATGTGTCCAATCAAAAAGGTAAGCATCAAGTGTGACCAATTTTGCGACAATTACCACGTGACGAGCCACGGCGCCAGAACAGACGTAGAAAATGTATTCAACTAATTCTAGCCACGATAAGCATATCTTAGACAACAGCACGCTGATCTGCCATTATACATTATAAACCTATGTTCGCTGGGTACCGATGATATACCCCTGATCAAAGCAGGACACCGAGGCCCAAAGCCAGATGCTCATTAGTCCATGAGGCTAATGCCAAGTATGAGCCCTACAGATTCAAATCCATTCGTCCAAAAATGGACACGAAATTACCTATACAAACTCCATAGTCTGCAAGAAATAGTTTCCACCTAGTAGCGATATCGATGTGGTAGAGTGACGTCGGCCCAAGAAGGACAGCAAGGGCAGGTTCTTCACTGCGGTTTCCATTGCCGTCATAAACATAGCTAAGGACATTCAGTCCAAGGTGACGAGATTTGACTGACCCTCTTTCTTGATTCTCTTGGGCGTTTGCTCGCCATCCTCATCCGACCCATCACTTCTATCATGCTTGTTTTCGCCGTACACTGTCTCGTCAGTCCCGAAACTTGCTACAAGAGACAGAGCATGATTCAACTGCTTCTGCTTAGCAATCAGGTCACCCTTATACTTCTTGGCTTCCTTCTTGCACTTTGATTCTGCTGACTTCAGCTCGTCAATCTTCGCTTTCAGCATAGTGACTTCTGCAGCATCGCCATCTCGCAAAATCTCCAATGTCGACGCGCGCTGGTGTGCGACTTTCAGGTCTTCATCCCTCAGTCGCAGCTGCTCCGATAACTCACGCACTTGATTTGGCACTGTCTTAACACGTGAGGGTGTAATTTCTCGTGGTTTTGATTTTTCCCCCAATTCTTCTGTAAGTTGTCTTTTCTGCTTTTGAATCTCGGCGTTCGCGGCTTGCAAGGCCTTGTCCTTGGTCGAGATCTGGAATTTCGCTCTTTTGAGTTCATCCCGAAGCTGAATTACCAGAGCCTCGGCATCTTTTGCGATCCGTTTTTCTCGAAGAATTATCTCACTGGACTCGTTACAGGCCCTTGTACGAGTCTCGAAGTTGGCGGTCATTCGCTGGAGATCCTGCTCAAGAGTCTCACACTTTTTTGTGAAGCGCGCTGTTTGCTCTTCATAATCCTGTATCGTCTTTTTCAATCCAGCGGTCTCCTTATTCGTTGTGAGCAATCGATCCTCTAGACGTCGCTTTTCATTGGCTTCAGAGTCAACCTTTGATAGCTGTGAGTCTTTAAGACGTAGGCGCCTCTCATATTCGTCAAGTTTGTGATTCAGTTCATCGACATCGCGCTCACGTGCTGTGCTACATAGGCGTGATATCTCCGCCTCTGCTCGCTGTAATTTCCCCTCTGTGTTTTTCAAGGATTCCTTGACATTATCAAGTTTGGTATGCTGCGACGCCACCTTGTCCATTGCACGACGATAATCCAGGTTCCGTTGTTCGAGATTCTTCATAACTGTGTCTAATATTTGGTTCCGCTCAATGTTATTCTTGTTACCTTCCAAGGCTTCTTCCAATTCTTTGATTCTTTTATCCTTTACTTCTAGCACCTTCAATAGGTTATCCATCGGTGATCGCTGCTGATTCATTGCCCCCATATAATGATTTCCTTCGTTCTCACGAATGACATGATCATTTCTGCGGATAAAAGGCTCGTTCTCGCGGATAAGGGAATGGGTCTGATCTCGCGGACGGAAAGCTGAACTTCCAGGACGTATTATTTCATCGTTGGGGGCTCGCCTTTGCTGACTGCTTGTAGAAGCATGCTTATAATGTTGAAACTGAGCATTATTATGAGGCCAATAACCCATCGTACCATTTGCATTGCGGTTCGTCTGAGGGTAAGAATTGTAATAGGACCCCGGGAAGTCTTGATCTGCTTCGAAATTGGGCACATTGCGTGGTGCTCGAGGTATAGTTGGTGCCGCTCTGATTGATGGAGTATTGGCGGAAAAGCCACGAGATACTGGTGGTGGCGACTGCTTGATGTTAATATCTAAGGCTTCATGGACCCAAGTCTGACGAGAGAAATGTTCCATCCAACCAACGAATTTCCCTACTTCGACTGCGTTGCCTTCTTCGCCCTCGGTCGCCTTAAATTTTCCGAGTTTGATCATTAACTCCATTGTTTTCTTCTTTTTTGAACTGTGGCCAGAATCTTGCTTTTCGAGATCTTTAATCTCGACGTCTTGTCTTTCGAGATTGAAGCGCCCCAAATGTCGATTGTTCTTTCCCCCAAATGCATAAATCTGGTGGGCAACTTGTCCTAGAACTTCTACCTGGTACCCCTCTCGTAGGAAATGAAGAGCCGCAGCATTAAAATGCCAGTTTAAGCTTAGATCCAAATCTTTGTCATAGTCTTGTCCCTGTCGAATCCGTACACTCAGTTCCAGGTGCTGGTGCTTGTCCATAAATCTGACGTGACCAAAAGTACCGAGAGATTTTCCGGGTGTTGGAGAGCGCACAAGTATGCGCTCTTGCCCAATCTCCAAGTGGATCTTTCCAATATCTTTGTTGGCAGCTTTTATCAAGTTTATCCTATCATTGGTGTTAGCCCTCTCTTTACTAGCTGATCAATAGTTCGGTGCTCAACAAACCATGATTGAACAAAAGTGCTGAAGGCGTCTTCCGTCGTGTTCGTGTCAGCCTTATAGTTCTTGGTCATTTCAAATGCCTCCCATTTCGAAGTCGGCTCCTCCTCTTTATGGATAGGATCAGCATCAGAATTCGCCATTTCGTGTTCTGTCATGTTAATGAAGCTGATAGTGGGTGGCGCTTTTTGCTGGGTCAACAGCCGGCGCAAAATACATCGCTGGAAAAGTCGAACCGGCCTTCAGATAAAGCGCATCGCATTCGACGACTGCACGATTCTGGTTGAAAGCGGTGGTGCGCTCTAGAGTCAGAAGTTGTGCGACAAGGCAGCGTTTTGATTTTGACCTCGAAGCATCACATTAAAGTTTTTCCTTATCTAACCAGATAAAGAAATAGTGACAAGCTGGTTTTCTTGTTTATCAGAAAGGTGTAGTGAATCTTGAGAGCAGGCTGGCTGGGGTTGTGCAGTCATTATGAGCGTGAATGAGACGGATTTCAGTCAAAGCTTTGAAAACTGCCCTAAAGATGTGATTGGACGCAAAGCAGCATCACATGATAGCACGTGATGCCACACCATGAAATATATGTGCTTCTATGTGTTGAAGAACTGCGAAAAACATGTAATGGATACTGAAAATTACTATAACAAGTATAATACTGTTTAAATGCCATAGTTGGCGATTCTTCTCCAGAGTCATTACATCTTTTCAACCAGATCTCAAACCCACTTTGCCAACACACCCATCCCATCATCCACCCTAATAAACATAAATAAAATCCTCATTCTTCAAATCCGTCATATCCCTGAACGCATTATCCTCCTCCCTTCTCCCACCCTGTGTACCATTCTGACCCATTCCCGCTCGTGCACTCTCACCGACCCCCTTGCCCAACGCCTGCAAATCAATTTTGCGCATCATACTCTCGTCTTGCACCTCTGCGCTCTTTCCGACCGCAGATCGCATGCTCGCGTGTCTACCGTTCAGGAATTTGAGGTACAGGATTATAAGACCGACGAGCACTTCGACGAAGACGAACATGCAGAGGTTGGAGATTAGACCTTTACGGTAGTAGGGTTTGTCTTCGGCGCTGTAGAGGAGGGGACCGCTGGAGGTTGTTAGTCTAGATTTGAGTGTGAGACGAGGGAAGGAGGTACATTATATTTCCTGCGCACATGCCGACGAACAGGATGCCAGTTACGACCTTTCTTTTCGTGTCACCAGCGGTGTTTTGTACATGCCAACTGTATATTAAAGGTGTAATGCCGGCTAGGAAACTCGTGAGGTAGTATGCGACTAGCAAAGGACCTTTTGAGCCAGGTCCGCGTGGTAGAGCGAGCAAGATTGAGGCACCTGCGATACAAGGGAGGGCGAGGATGGCGATGACTAGGCCTTTGGATTTGATGCGGGTGGCGAGCCAGCCGCCGCAGAGGATGGCTATGATATTTACGACGCCGAACGGGATGTTGAAAAGAATGGTGCGGAACTGGTCGAAACCGAAAGATTGGACTATTAGGGGACCGAAGGTACCGATTCCACCTGATGGAATGCTACAAGGTGGTTAGCTTGACGTAGGCTGTTGTGATGTTTGGGGACATACGAGATGGCCATGACGAGGAAGAACCAACACCAAGTCTTGGGATCAAGAACTGCCTCGATAACATGTTCCCATCTCCATTTCCTCGATACGATACCTGTCTGATTGGCTCTCAGCCGTTCGATAGCGATATCTCTTTCGTTTTCGCGCCAAAACTTTGCTTCCATGGGAGAGTCTGGGAAGAATATGATGGAAAAGACGGAGAAGACGAGGGTTATGCAGCCGCAATAGAGGAAGATAATCTAACCAAGATGTTAGCGAAAAATTAATCAAATAGGTATAGTTTAAACACCTACTTGATAAGAATGCAGTTTGTCGGTCTTGATGTGGCCGAGTCCATATGTGCTAAGAGATCCGAAAACAAATGTGATGCCGTTCATGGCGTTCCATGCTGAGGTCCTGTTTGTTTGTTCACTTCGACGCCACCACATTTGTGTTACTGCTACAAGAGAAGGTCCTGATCTGTCAGTCTCTGAGTTACCTACTAGTGTATATGGACTTACCGATCAAACTTTCAAAGCTACCAAGCAAGAACCTCGTAGCAAGAAGTTCTCGAAAGTTGGTACATCCGGCCATACCACACATAGTCACTCCCCAGAGAAAGATTGCAACAGAAATAACTTTTCCAGTTGGAAGCTTGACAAGTAGAACAGCACCTAGTGGTTGCATAACAAGCTGAGCAATATACAAGATAGAGCCTAGCCATGAGTATTGACGACCGTGAAGTCCAGCATCTTTTTGAATGTTGAACACCGAAGTGTATGACAGCGCAGATTTATCGAGTTGTTGTAAGAAGTAAGCTCCGAGCATGAGAGGCAGAACTCGTGTATCGATCTTGCGGAGCACCCTCTTTTCCTCTTCTACAGTGAAGTAGATGTTGGAGTCATGAGCGAGAATGTCAACTGGATCTTCTCTTGCTACCATTTCGATAGGTGTGTTCTCGACATGAGCCGAGATCACATCTTTGTTCTCCATGGTAGCGGTTTGATGACTTGGAGTCGCCATTGTGACTGCCAAAGAGGAATAAAAAATGAAATGGAGTAATTGACGCTTCAATGTAGATATTAAAATTATTGTGATTTAGTGAGGAGTTTAGAGATCCGGGTGAAGGAGAAGCTGCATACTTATGCATATATCCAAACTCCCTTCTATCAACCGTTCGTTTGGGATACCAGGTAGCTACATAGCTACTGTGAAGGTTATCTTTTCTTGGGACTTGGATAAAGTCATCCGCAGGTACTCACCGTCGATACGAATCGTTCCATAATGGAGGGAGTTTATCCAGAACCTGGCAGCTTGGAAGCTTATCCCACATGACTGGAATACATCCAAGGTTTACCACATTCTTTGACCCTTCGAGTTAAAGTTCCAAGAATGATCTTACCTTGACACTTGCCCGACCTCACAATTATGTTGGCCGAACCTGATGTCCAAAGCTTTAGAATCTTGGCTCTTGTACTTTCGGTTCAAAGTGTACCGATACTCGTCCCACCGTCACATCGAAAGGCTATCAATGCTTGGTCCAATTACTGAAATGGTAAGATCTACGTCCAGAAGTAGAACTGTTAAATGGATAATTGAGACCGGCTAAAGTTTGATTGACTTTAGGTATGGAGGATTCGGAGACGTTGGGGAAGGTTGCGGGGTATGTGTAGATAGCTTCACCCGAGTGTGGGGCGACAGAGGGCTGAGTGTGGGGGATTGTGTTATCAGGTGATTGGGCTCCTCCTTCGTGATGCCAAGCGAGATATCCTGACCATATATATTATTATTCCTTTAATCGTCGCGTCTGCTGTACTTTTGGAGAATTGTCGTTCTTGGAAGTGGGGATCCACCACTTTTGCGAGTTGTATAACTGCTGTTGGTTCCCTTGAAATTTTATCGTGAACGAACATCACAAGCTGCTCAAAATCGACCATCTTTAGCCATGAAGAGATACGCCATGATCGGCCTTGGAGGCCGCAGTTCCTTCTTTTATACTGCCCTGGCAAAAGACTTTGTCAAAACCTCCTTGATCGTTGGATTCTGCGACACAAACCAGACTCGAATGAACGTTGCAAATGATCATCTCGCCAAATTGTCATACGCAAGTGCTCCGATTCCAACATATAAGGCCGTGGATTTCGACAAGATGATTGAGGATACGAAGCCAGACGAGGTGATTATCACAACAATGGATCGTACCCATGACATTTATATCATAAGAGCGCTGGAGCTGGGGTGTAATGTAATCACAGAGAAGCCCATGACAATTGATGAAGTGAGGTGTAAAGCCATCATTGATGCTGTGGAAAGAACTGGAAAGAAAGTTCGCGTGACTTTCAACTACCGTTACGCACCTCATAATACCAAGGTATTCGAGTTATTGGGTATGTTGAATCTCTGCAAAGATGTTGAGGTCCAGATTGACAATATTCTTAGGCGAAGGAGCGATTGGACAAGTAAACTCTATCCACTTCGAATGGGCACTCAACACGAGCCACGGCGCAGATTACTTTAGACGTTGGCATCGAGACAAACGCAATGCTGGAGGTCTCCTCGTCCACAAGTCCACCCACCATTTCGATTTGATAAACTTTTGGCTTAGGTCATCCCCGGTTTCGGTCGTTGCCCAAGGTGGTCTGATGTTCTATGGACGAGAGAACGCTGAGAAGAGAGGCGTCACTGAGTTCTACACCCGCGCTCATGGTAGCGAAGTTGCAAAGAAGGATCCTTTTGCTCTACATCTGGAAGAACACGAACAGTTGAGAAAGATGTATCTCGAAGCTGAACACGAGGACTCGTATTATCGAGATCAAAGTGTTTTTGGTGATGGAATCAGTATCGAAGATACGATGGGTGTGTTGGTGAAATACGGCAATGGTGCCATTTTGACATATAGTTTAATCGCCTATTCGCCTTGGGAAGGTTTCCGAGCTGTTTTTAACGGTACCAAAGGACGACTGGAATTAGATGTTGTGGAAATGAGCTATGTCAACAGTGGAGGAGAACAAGGTGCTGAAGGTGCCCTAGAGAAATGTAGCATCACGCTGCGACCACTCTTTGAGAAACCTCGAGAGATCGAGGTTCAAGGGGGTCTTGGAGGCCACGGCGGAGGAGATCCAGTCCTCTTGAATGATTTGTTTGGGGAGAATGTAGAAGAAGATCGATTCGGCAGAGCCGCAGACCATATTGATGGAGCAAGGAGTATTTTAACTGGAATTGCTGCAAACAAATCGTTGAGGACAGAAGGCGTCGTTTGGGTGAAGGACATTTTAGATTTGAAGAACTAATATTGGCGTGTATTCTGATGAAATAGACGGTTTATATCATAGTGCTTTTTCGCGAAAAGTGCTCGAGTTGCCTGGTGAAGAAGAAATCCCGGGCCAGGAGCATGGACTTTGATAACTTAGCGCGCCGACATCCGGGCCGGCTCCGATCCCCTTGATGACCCACCTTACAACGACCTACATTCTACGAGACAACCTGTTAGAACATATCATGGACCTTCAAAAACACCCGTTATTTACTAAAACCCACTCATTTCCCTTAGAAGCTAGTCCCCTTTACTCAAAACTCGCGCTTATCCACTAATAAATGTTACCCTTCTTCACTCGAGACTCTTCCACTTGACTTTCAACCACTCGTCTTCCCTTTCATCAACCATTCTCCGATCTACATTCAAAATAGTAAGGTCAGGCAACAATACTTAGTAAGCTGTGAATCATCCACGCCGTGCTTAAAAAGACTGATCCAGATCGTTTGACTTCAAGATCTTGTCAACTTCATCAACAATCTTGACCATCTATCATTCGCTCTACATATCATCCCTTGCTATTGAAAGACACATTCAAGGTTAGGACCCCGAGATCAAAACCTCGAGATCAGAACCTCATCATTCAAGGTAGGTGAAAAATCACCTTTCTGAATCCTCAAATCCAATTCAACTTAGATGGCGGAACCGATGGAGACAGAGCCAGACATGGCGCCACAACCAAACGCTTCTAATAATCCTTTGGCAGTATTGGACATACATCATTCTCAGCTTTGGAGAGTCTCCGGAAAAGCGGAAAACAGCAAGAGCGCCGCAATTAAGCAATTTGTTGACGCACAAAGAGAAGCGTTGAGAGCTGGAGAGAGCAAAGATAAGATTTGGGAGAACTTGTGACCGCTTCTCGGAAGCTTCTCAGATTTCCACAAGGTGCTGGCTGAAACATATTGCTATGTTTACGAACTTGTCAAGGAGGTCAAGGACCTTGAAGACCCGACAGTTTTGAAGGAAGTTGAAAAAGAGAATCCTACGTGGATCAAGTCTCCCTCTTCTATGTACAGCGCGGTTGAGCAAACGATGAAATCACTCAAAAAGACGAAGCAGAGATGGAGGGCACCAAGGGGAGCTGATTTCATAAGGGTATTCATGGAGGAGCCCAGTCTGGCATATGATCCTCTTAAATTCATCTCAGTCCTATCGAAAAATATCGACATCTACAATGCCATCCGCCTTCTTAACGCATGCATCATCAAGAGGACAGAGGAAGCTAAGCAGCAAACCAGCAAAAAAATCAAAATCACACGGGGCCATTGGAAAGCTGCGGCGGATTTGGTCAAGTCGCATCTCAAATCAAGCGTTGTGCTAGATCTTGCCAGAGGCGAGACTCATGTTATGGATATGATTGGGGTCAAACCAGAGCCATACGGTGTGCTGGTCAGTAAAGCATCTCCTGATACAAAGCTTATCAGTTACCCGGGGAAGGACCAAAAAAAGTATTCGATCTATTCTTTGAATCCACTTCTGATAAAGACGAACCTAAGAATCCTGACGAGGAGAATGGGAATGGTCCTGTTGAGGAGGAGCCTAGAGCGGACGATGATGAAGAGAAGTTGGCTACTACGCTCAGAGACGTGATTAATCGCCTGGACGCGGAGAAGAGAGCTATGATTAGGAAGGAAGATACATCGGGCAAGGAGCATCAAGCGACACACATACCATAACCACAACAAAAGCCCCAGCATGGATTCGGTGCGCAAAATGTATTTACCTTGGCATCGCCTCCATTGTTAACAGGATCGAGGAGCCCAGACGTCAAAGAACGATATTTGCTGAAACAAATTGACAAACGCAGCAAGAGACCACTTCTCAAACATTTACGAGAAGGATGGAACTTTTCAAAGGAAACAATTTCTACGATCAAACTCATTCAGTCTTTCAAGTGGTCTACTGGTTGCAAAAAGTTGATGGAATGTGTAAAGGAGGAGTTTGCAATGTATGCGCATCACTACCGCCACCAAAATGAACTGGAAACGTCAATGTGTCCACGAAATATGCTACTTTCGCTTTCTCAGCAATTAGCCTATCAGCATCCGGAGTTATGGCTTCAGAACATGCTCCTTAGATCTGACAAGGAGCATCGCTTTTTATCGGTCCCGCACCCGACATATTACGCACCGAAACCCAACGCGTAGACAGAAGCAGTTGATACCCAAGTAGTCAATCTAGACTACTCGCAGATCTACGGCAACATCCCGGGTTCGCAGCCTGTCATCAATCGATACACTTCTATGGTCATGCTAAGCACTCAGTCGGCCAGGGGAAAGTTTCAGAATAGTTTGATTTATCCCAACGATTTCAACAACCGCCTGGTGATTGACAAGAAAAGCGCAAAGGTAGAGGGCAAGTGGAACAGCCAGACTTTGACTGGGCTGTATATTCTAAAGCAGGTAAAGAAGCAAAGTTGCCCACTCTTGGTGCTGGGACAGTCCTCAATATTGCACAAGGGGTGCCAGTCAGCCTTTTCAACAAGGCAAACCGTGGTCTGATGGCCATACCTGTTCATATGGTCGGTATCTGCAAAGGAGGTTTGCTAGAGAATGGGCAGCGGCTCGAAGACGTTTAGAAACGCTACCGCAATATGGGAGACCGCATCGACCACGACAGATTCGGCAAGATCCCAAACGAGTACATTCCACAAAAGTTTCTACCAATCTACAGGCTGTCTGGACTTTCGAAAATCAGTGATTCGTTAATGGGATACGAAAGATGGGAAGATGCAGCCAGTATGGAAGAAGTGGAACATATTCTTAACATGGATCTACAGCGGTACGACAAGTGGATTGATGACTGGAACAAAAGAGCAGAAAAGGCCTTTATCGGTGCATTCCAGACAATACGAAACAGGGAAATTAATGTTTATACCGACCCCGAAGACGACGGAGAAGTGACTAGGTCTTATTTTCATCTTCAACAGACAAAGAAGGCTACACCTGCTGCGGATCAACTGCTGTTAGAGCCCGAGCCTGAGTTAACTGTTGAGGATAAATCTGAGAGTGAGAAGGAGAGTGGGAAGGAGAATGGGAAGGAGAGTAGTAGTGCTGAGCCAGATGACGATTCTTCGACTGACGATGGCAAGGATGAAGGTGGATCGGATGACGACAAGGATAGAAAGCGCTCATCCAAAAGTTCTCGGTTGCCTCCTAGTAAAAAGGCGAAACTCGAAGATCCTAACGGCGGTTCGGATAAGTTTGACTTTGATGATGGGAAGAAATTTGAGATGGGACAAAAGGCTCATGAAATGGGGGACGAGGACTTTATGTTTGACACTGAACCCCCTATCAAGAGATCAATGGGGGGATATAGAGCTCCTGCTGCCAACCAAACCATGCTCAACTCTCTATGTGAGTCGAACACTGTCTTGCCCATCTGGTGAGGTATGCCTTAGAACCTACCAAGTACCGTTCGACTTGGTACCAGCATTTTCACTTCTTCTGGCATTGGTACCAATCCCGTGTCGTCATTGGTATACCTTGGTGATGCAATATCCAGACCCGTAGGTGTTCGATCGGGAGCGAGACAATGGCTGATATTCCGGATATTAAAGAAATAGGGCGGTCCTAGGAGGTAGCTAGAATTGCCGTTCAACTTGTGAAGTTGTGAGAGCACCCGCCCCCTTCCTAGTACCTTCTGCCCAAGTATCGCTGTTATAAGGACTTTCTGGTACCAACGAGAGGGCACCCTCTCTGATGTTAATACTAAACACGGAAGGCTCTTGTTACATACCTTGGTAACTAAATTGGGAAGACTAATCGGAAAATGAACAGGAGACGGAAAGTGAGGATGAGCCAGATGAAGACAAGGACTCTGGAGTTCCCAAGCGCTCAGGCAACAGTACTCTGCAGCCATCACCTAGTAAAAAGGCCAAAATTGATGATCATGTCACCTACTCGACTTTACCGAAATCCGACGATGAGGTGAGATTAGAAGGAAGACATCAACTGATGGGAACGGTGGATGGACATGTGAACGAACTTGTCAAAAAATGACGGCGATGATGATATTGATGGTCATTCGGTGGGGTATGGTAGCTGGTCCTTGGACCTCCCTTAGATCATGGAGACTTGCTAAGTTTGGGGCTTTTGAATGTAGAAAATAAGTACATTGTGTAGACAAGCGAGAGTTGGTAAATAAATAAAGCTAGAAATTGTTTTGTACGACAAGACGTGTAACCAAGAAAGGCCGTTCTTCTGCGATTTTCCGCAGGTTGAGATAAGCACGTCAGATCGAATTCGAGTATTCGAACAGTGCATATCACGGGCTTACACACAGAGCTTCGACTAGTGGAGAGTGAGGGCGTGTTTCGTTCGGGTCGTATGACAGCCACGATGTGAGTGCTAGCTAGCAATAGCGTGTGGCGAGACTGAACGAAATGTCGACGAAGGGAAGGCCTGTACTGTCCTTGTGTATGTGCGTAGATTGTGACCTGGATCTTTAAAGTGTCGTACAATTTGTTAAATGCTGTGGTTGAAAGCGAAGGTAAACAAGGCAATATGGTTGTTCGCTGCGGAAAGACCTTAGAATTTTGTCAAAGGATGAAATTGTTACCTGCCTTTAACGACAAAAAATTCCCTAAGATAAATTAGTTCGTGAATTCATGTGCCGCCCTTGGAAAATAAAGGATGTCACTCCACTATACCTCTCACTTGCCGAATTCCAATTCTTACCTGAAATATAGCCCGGATCACGTCTACCCAGTGTAATCCACTCTTTTACCGCATGTCCCCACGAGTAGACACTAGGTTCAGCTCGCTAGCCTCATCAACTTCCACTGTCTAGTCACCTGTGGCTTCATCTACTACTCCGGCTCACGACTACCCCGTCTAACGCTCCAGCGTCCGATCCCTTACCAGCCTCTATTGCTCGGTTGTTGACACCTCATTAAGCTGTAATACTCCGGCGTTTGATGCTTCACGGTGTAAAGTCTCTCATCGTCGCTATCGTCGGCTATCTCGTCTTCATCAATCCGACCACCAAGATGCACAGTCATATCTCCCCGCGAGGTCGATGTTTCCGAGGGTCTGTTGCAAATAGCGTGTATATGATGCGACGTGAATTTAAAGAACTTTGCATCAACAGTACGTCCATATACCAAGTTTTAATCCATCTTGTCGAATACATGTTTGAGGGCACAGTGATTTCCATCCCCACGGTATCCGACTCTGCGTAGATATGAGGAAACTCGACTCTCCTCTTCTAGGAAGCTGTGCGCCAAGTCATGAGCATACGGGATTCCAGGTTAGGATTTGATTTGAGGGTCATTTCCGTTATGGCGGAAGACCAATTTTGTCCGCCAAAGCTGGATGAGCCGAATCCTGCTTACTCTTCCTCGCTGAGTACCCTTGTGGCTTTCCAATTGTATCAATCGGGGACGTTAAATATTTCGGGAATATTTACGGGCAATGTCACCGACGTCTTGGCCGCTCTATTTTCCCCCTCTAGCCCCAAAACTTGTACATGAGGACTAGTGTCAGACATCACAGGCGTTTGCGTACCCACTGCCCTTAATATCGTGACTTGTGTAGAGGCTTGGGGTCGTCTGCTCCCCAGATTTGATAGACGTCCCTTGTCGGAGTTATCCTCGACTGCCATTTGTTCATCCTTGAAATATCCGTCTGGTGTATCAAATTTATGATTGGAAGTGACTGTCTTGGCCAGCTTGCAGCCTCGCAGGGTCGCCGGAGTGCTGCATTGTGGTGTAGTAGCGGAAATTGTCTTTTTCGGCGTAAAGTGGTCGAACCATAGCCCTCGAGATGATAGGCAGGACTGGTGGATATTGTTAAGAGATTTATATCCGGATAAGCATGTAGACTTGATGCGACGGGTGTCCGAGGCATCGGCGACGATTCGCGTTGTTTGTATTTGGGTGGCTTTTTCGTATGCGGTCATTTCCAGTAATGACTCGCGTTGATGTTGTTGGAGTATTCAAGAAGCATTTGTTGAGGTACGGGTGTTTTTGGCGTCTCGAGAGTATGTCCAGTAGTTTCTCGCGTTGAAGTTGTTGAAGAGTCGCTAATGTCTAAATGAATGGAGTATTGCACAGAAGGTATCGTATTTGAAGGGGCTTAGATGAGCTTGTCATAACTCCAAGCAGACAACGTGTTCATGATTGATCGATCGATTGAAGGAGATGCGATTTGAAGGTGAGATGAATGTGCATAGACGAAATTCAACGTAGTGTTGAGGTGTGTAGGCAGGACCAGACAGCCGTACCTACCCCACCAGCTTCGCATTTCTACATTCGCCTCATCACTGTTTGGCGGTTAATTACCGCAACCACATCGCATTCCAACCCAATGAGACGGAAAAGTAAGTAAACATGTGGTCGTCGTAACAGAACAATCTTGCGCTTATTTCCCGGGAGGCAAACCACTAACGAGGTTCAAATAACTGGCCATCGAAACATGACATCTCTTTGACTTTGTCGACGGGAAATCGTATATTCAGTGGATCAATTTGGCACGCTATCACAAATACCATCAATCATTTCAAGCAAATAACACCGTCTTAACATCTGTTCGAAGTCGATCTATTCAGGCTGAAGATCGGTGGGTGGGTGACTTACACTTATCTTGTCCTCCACGAGGCGAGGAGGCATTGTCCTGGGGTTCCCCCCTACAAAGTCCCAGCGGTGAAGCATTTATTGTCCATCGCCAGTGACATCTGAAAAAGAAAGAGAAGATGAGATGAAAGCCAGAACTGGTAAGCGTGTGTATATACCATTGATTGAGTCATCGCGTGGGGTTCTTTGACCCCAACCCGTTAAGTACAAGAGATAAAACCATGACATTATAACTTATCAACTCATCACATTACCACACGAGCGAAAATATTAAAAACGATAATACAATTTTCTGTAAGGCAAAGCAGGTCAGCGCTGGTGTGGTATCTTTCAGGATTGAGATGTCACTTACCACGAAAAGCTTATGACGAGGACTAACAAAGCTTGCCGCATCTGAGGAAACAGGGCTACTGGTGGTGCTACTAATTGGAACTGGAACAAGAGTTGAATCTACGGGCGGGGTGGTGGTCGATCCGACAGATGTGATGCCCGAAGTGATCGAAGTTGATATTGGCAAAATAGTAACGCTACCTGTCAGGCTGGAATCGGTAGGTGATATGGTAGATGATACGGAAGATGATATAGTGGATGATAAGGTAGATGAAACAGACAAGTTGCAGGACCTTCCAGGAGGCTACGAAAGATTATTAGTTTTTTCATGTCAATAACTGGAAAGCCAGGAAACATACGCAAGTTTCAGTGCTCACTTCCCTCGTCTTAGTAGCAGACACAAATCCGCTTGGTGTTGGAGCAGCTCCATACGTAGCGTAGCTCGAGCAAAATCCATTGAACACAGCGCTAAATAGCGAAGGAAATGCAGTGTTGCTGTTTAACATATAGATATCGTCTGTGAAAGCGGTTGCAGGGAGCTCGTTTAAGGCAGAGTAGCAAGAACTAACACCCCCTTCAAATATTTCTGGCTTGTAAGCGCCACCGTTGTCGTAGCAAACGCATGCTTGAACGGACAGTGGTGGTGATGTGTGACGGCCTCTGTACTCAGGGAATTTACTAGAGCAAGATATTTGGAGACTTTCGTAGGTGGAACAGCCGTCGTTCGTGAAAGAAAGTTGGGCGGTCGACATTTGGACGAAAATGCTCAGCATGACTGCAAACAGTGGTCGGGTTGGGGCCGTCAAGGTCAACATCTTTCGTGATTGGATGAAGATTCTTAATTGATAATATGGCAACGAGAAGTATAGAAAGTGATCTGAAGTAGAATAGATATCTGAAGCTGGAATTCAGGAGATAGATGAAGAGATCGAAATGTGGTCCGACTTTGTATAGACGAGGACAGTGCCTTCATTTCTGCTCATTGGGCAAGGGCTACCTAACATTGTTTCCATTTCCCTCGCTTCACCAACCTATCTTGTCGCTCCGAGATGTTTTTGACTTCGGATTTGTTCAATTGGGGAGGTGAGAAGTTTGCACAGCCCCAATATCGAAAGGTACCTAAGTACCCGCCATTCGGACTCCACACGTCCCAATGCCAAGCTTTGAAATACGACCTTATAATTTGCTGCGCCCAATTTGAAAGCTTATCTCGGCTGAAGCAATTGCGCAGACCGAAAGCTTCGCATCAAAATTTGTACAGCATTCTTTCGCTGGAACAAGGATTCGAGCGACTTAATGAGGGACTTGTATCGAGTCAAAACACCGTCCAATAACACGGTACGTAAGTTGATTTTTTGCCAGAGTTTGGTCATGACAGCGATGTTTCTAGGATGGCTGGTGATGTTATTGGATGTTGTCGATACAGTAACCTTATCCATGGAACATCGAAGTACTGGAACATATTCCAGGCTGTAAGTGGCAGTAAACCGTGGACGTCCTAGCGATTCTCTTGACTTACAGCTAGCAAGTTCTTGACAGAGTCTGGGTTATTGTGTTTTCTAAGAATCATTGGCGAACGATCGTCCGAAGTGAATCGTGTGTTGACTGCCACGAAATTGTGCACCGCGAGGCTACCTATCACATGTGCATCACAACAGGTTATCGTGCCATATTCGTCGACATAAGTGTTTCGATATTCTTCTCGATTCGATGGCTTTGAAAAGATAACTTCCACCAAACCCTTACCGTTTGCGCCTAGCCGCATCGGGGGTCTCGGATTCAGTTCAGTTCAACTTTCGTCCTATTGTGGAGTAACAAAGGTGCGACAAAAGCTATGTTTGTATCATAGAGAGATTCCTGGTAACAAGCGAGAACGAATTTCGTCGTTCGCTCATGCCGCTTGCCATTTTAGAGAGTCGCCCACTCCTGATTCTCTGCGCATTCGAGCACGCCTGCGCCCGTCACTCGACCAAGATGTGCCAATTGGGACTTGAACCATTGTCCGTAGTCCGGATCAACTTCTGGCAGGCTTCCACCAAGTCCTAATGGCCATACCACCAGGGTAGCAAGACTTGGGTCCACTTGCTTGTCTGCCTTCACAATTATTGAGTCCTGGTCACCGATTGGACAAGCATTCGGCGAGAATTCAAACCTCTCCAGGCAAAAAGGTATGCTCGCGGCCAGACCGGCCGACATGGAGTTGATCAAGTTGGTGCACTTCAATCGCTGGAGCTCGTACATGAGGCTGAATGATGGAGTAGGATAATTGAGGTTGAGAATCTTCAATCTGATACTGGCGAGAAACATCCTTGTAGAGAAGTATTGACACCATATCGCGCCTATGCCATGATTCGAGTAGCTATACACGGAGGATGAATAGAAGTGGCTTTTAGGTGTTTGCTCCTGCCCCGGAATTTGGTGTTGCTGATATGACCATGAGGGGGGCAAAGTTTCTGGCCACCCGACGAGAGATTTATCTAAATCCCGAGCTTCATCGCTCAGGGCCAACACTCTCGATATTTGCGGTTGGCGCTCTCGTTGAAGCAAGCGAGTTTCTGCGTATAAATTTGCTATACGAACGACGAGCAAATCACAATGTGCTTCTTCCCTTGTCTCACCAAAGATCTCGCCATCTGTTAACCAGTCTGGCACTCGCCTACTACGAAGTATGCAAGATCTGAGAGCATCTCTCCTCGTATTTCTAATGATCAAGGAGGCAGCCTTACGGCCAGGAGTCTCGTACCACATGCTCAAAACCGCCATGGCACCATCATGATGTGACCAACTATGGAGCGATTCGAAGGAAGTCTGAGAGTCGACACGAATTTGTGGCAAATTGAGCGCTTCGTAGCGACCCATCAGAAATACCGTGAGTAAAGATCCATCAACGTAGTGTTCGGCTAATGAAGATATCCTCAATTGTGCGAGCTGGAGCAGTCGGTGATATTTAGAAGACGCTATCGATGCTGCTGCTGGATGTCTTTGGATACGCGCGAATACAGCGAGCGAAACCGTAGTGAGAGCCAGATCTACCATGGGACATGTATCACCACCAGCGGACCAGAACGAAACGCATTCAGCTAAGCCCTGCGCGACATGTGGTGCAATGGTTGACGTCTGCAGATGAACATTCACATAATATGCGACCGCTTGGGTCTGCAAGTCCATCTGAGGTTGTAATCTCAATGCTGATCGAGGTCCCCTTGGTCTCTTGGCCTTTCCACTTGCATATTTATTTTCAAGATGGAATGAGAATGAGGCACCTTCAACAGCAGGGATATCAATGCAACTGCGGCGGGATTTTGCGCATCGTTGGCAAATTGGTTTTGCTCCATCGCACTAATACAAATCAGCGAAGCTCTTCACAATCCAGGAACTCGAGCGAAAGTATAACAGGTCGGCTTGCCTTGATCCTTCTCTTTTTGCAGGTCTGACATGCAACAGCAACAATTTCCATTCTGCTTTTTCACGCGAAAGTTTTGAAAACGTCTCAGCAAACCATTGATGAACATTCGAATAGGAGCTTGGAAAGAACCAACAGAAACCCTCCGTGATTCTCCTCATGATGACAAAACACAATGGCTGACGACCTGAAATGTGATGGAAATAAGGGAACCAAAACCCGTTTCCAATCATGAAGCACGGGTAGTGCCGTTCACGTGCGGGGTTAAATGGTAAGTCCGATAATGGACCCACTGGTGGCTGGTATGAAAAATTTCATCTAACCCGTTATGGCGAAACCCAGCGAGAAATACATATTAGGCGATGTTTAGATGTGCTAAGCATTTTACGTCCAACGTACTGAACTGAAAGCCCTTCATCATCGAGGTAACGTAAACACAGAGCAAGCTAATCTGATTGAGGAGAAACCCTTCGAGAAATGGAGATATCGAAATAATGGTTGTACGACAATATTTGTGATGCTTTGTCAATAAGTCGGATTCCGCATGGGTTGACGAGGTTGCTTCTTGAAGCTGGGACGATTGTGAAATGGTTAGGCAAATGTATATAAGAGGCAGAGATTGCCAGTATATGTCCAACTCATCAAAAACAAAATCCACTTCCATCTTCTACTCTAGTCACCAACTCAAAACCAAAGAAATTACAGCCATGTCGACAGAAATCAAGCCAATCAAGATGTGGGGAAAAGCAGGACCGAACCCATCTAAAGTCCATATCATCCTACTGGAACTCGGCATACCCCATGAACTCATCGACGTTCCCTTCTCTGATGTGAAAAGCCCGGAGTACGTCAAGGTTAATCCAAACGGAAGACTGCCAACGATCCACGACCCGAACACCAACATCACTCTTTGGGAATCCGGCGCAATAATCGAGTACTTGATCGAACGATACGACACCAAGCATACCCTCAGCTTTCTAGCAGGGACTCTAGAATACTATCATGCTAAGCAATGGCTTTTCTACCAAGTCACCGGACAAGGTCCATACTTCGGGCAAGCAGTATGGTTCAAAATCTACCATCACGAGCAGCTCGAAAGCGCCAAGGAACGTTACAATCAAGAAGTCAATCGTGTGACGGGTGTGTTGGATAGCTACTTGGCTCAGCAGAAAGAGAAATATTCTGGCGTCGAGGGATTTGATGGACCATGGCTTGTCGGCAACAAGGCATCATATGCAGATATCGCGTTCGTCACCTATCAAACTATTCTTGCATTCCTTCTCGGAAAGGATGCATTCGATATGGACAAGTATCCACATGCCCAAGATTGGCTTGCCAGAGTTTCTGCGAGGCCCGCGGTGAAGGAAGGTCTTGCAGCAATGATTGCTGAGGCGGGTAAGAAGTAGGTTGGGGTCTTATTTGGCTTGAGGAGCAAAAGGTCAAGGATAATATTCCGACTTGAATCGATGTCCTACGCTGGACTTATCAACTACTGAGTCGAAGAAACTTGATTCGGATGATGATTTGAGTTCTTGGAAATGATTGGACCGATTCTAATGCTGGAAATAAACGGTGCAGTCTTTATCATAAGCAATTCGATATAATCCTTTGTGTTTCTGCATGTGAAAAGTTGTTGTCCCGTCTGAGTTTTACAACTACCATCGTGATGTGTACAGTAACCTAACCCACTAATCAAGAGTAATCGAGGACTTTCAATCGTCAACTCATCTAAACCACAGTTGATACTCCTCCTGTTTGCTGAAAGAATTGGCGAATTCTGCGATAGCTTGTCGACCTGATTGGGCAAATATGTGACGTTTGGACTGTCATTCATTTTGCCCCCCTCGAGTCTGTCTAGCTTAAATGTAACTATGAGACGATCAATATCAGAACAAGTACGTTTGTTTCTTCTATGAGACTGAATGAAACCTCGAAGGTGCTACAAATGACTAGGGCGCAAATTAGCTCATAAACCTGAGTTCAAGAATAAAATTACCAGCTGAGAGCCCTAATTCTACAGTGTCACATACAGCGCAATAAACCACCTAGGTTTGGTCTCAACCAGTCCTATATTCATACCCATCTAACGCCATGACAATATCGAACAACCTGCTCAATAATAAACAAGCAAAGATTCTGCGAAATAATCATTCTTCTTCACCCTGGGACTCAGCTCCCTTTTCCTCCAACCACTCAGCTAGTAGATCCTCCAAAAGTATCAAATTTCGATCATCGCTTTCGTATATAGTCCGTTCGATTTGGATGACGTATTTAAGTAGTTCCAAAGCTCTTTCCATTTGCCCTGCTGTGTGGTATACACGAGCAAGTTCATACTGTGATTTTAGCCGACTTTTATCTGTTTCTAGTAGTATAGTGGCTTCAATAGTAACAACATGCTCGAGTAGCTCTAAAGCTCTTTCCGTCTGCCCTGATATGTGATATACATAAGCAAGTTCGTACTGGAATGACAGCCGACTCTTATCTGTTTCTGGTAGTATAGAGGCTTTCACCTTAACAACATACTCAAGTAGCTCTAAAGCTCTTTCCGTCTGCCCTGCTGTGTGGTATACACGAGCAAGTTCATACTGTGATTCCAGCCGAGATTTATCTGTTTCTGCTAATGTTGTAGCTTGCATCTTAACAACATACTCAAGTAGCTCTAAAGCTCTTTCCGTCTGCCCTGCTGTGTGGTATACACGAGCAAGTTCATATTGTGATAATAGCCGGGTTATATCTGTTTCTAGTAGTATAGTAGCTTCTACTTTAACAACATGCTCGAGAGTCGATATAGATTCATTTATTTGCCCGTCAGCATGATATGCCATTCCGAGTAGCTGACACGACGAAAGTAAATGCGGATGAGTCTCTGGTAGCATGTCCGCGCTAATCCAAACAATCTCCTCGAGTATCGAAATAGCCCGAGGTACCTGGTTATCCATAAAATATGCATGCGCTAGTTCGTGCCGTGATGTAAGACTGTCAGCGTCAATCTCGCTTAGCGTAGAATTTTGGGATACAACGATATCTTCGAGGAGCACTATAGCCTCCTTCGCTTGGTTATTTTCGAGACACGCAGTTGCGAGTCGATACTGTACCACCAGCCGACGCTCGGTTGTCAGCAATGTCTCTCTCGACTTCAGTATGTTTTCGAAGAGCTGAATAGCCTTCTCACAGTCCCCAAGTTTACTCAAGCGGTCACCATGAATCATATACAGCTCCAAAGCTTCTTCAGTTGGCCGTTCGGAATCTAATTTGAGTTCACAGAAGATGTTGTCAACAAGATCGCCTAGTCTTCCCCAGTCGCCGATGAGAGAGAGGATGAACCCGCAGTGCATCAAAATGGGAATAACAACCTTTTTCTCTTCAAACGACAAAGTGTGCACCGCATTCATGTCTAGAAAAGAGTTTATATGTGGACGCAAGTATCTTGCATTTAATCTCCAGAAATCGAAATCGTCTTGATAAGAAAATGCGACTACGCACCCTGCTGTGAGCCAGGAATTGCGTTGTTGAGTTGTACTCTGTCTATCTTTGGCCCATGCATGAGCTACCGGGTGCATTGATAAACGCCTTTCTCCATTTGCATTCTGCCATGTAACCAAATAGAGTGAAACCAATGTAGAGATTGCTTCATTCAAACGAAAACCGTCCCATTCTTCCGAATCAAGTGAGAGGAGATCGGGTAGAAAGGTAAGATGGTCTTGCAGCTTATAGTGAATCATAGGCATGCCATCTTTTGAAGGATCGAAAACCAATGCAGCACCTCGCCACGCACCTTCAAACAGGTACAAAGGGAGTCCAGTGGAGTTGAACATCGATAAAATGGCGAGCAATGCCAAAGCGTCGTTTCCAGCATCGCCAGTAGAATGCTCTAGCATTTCTGCAGATGCCTCAAATGTTGCATATACGCTTTGATATCTCGACAATCCTGGCTTTAACCGGTATTCTGAAAGTCGTTTTCGCAGTCTTTTATACACAGCGGGGTATTCGCTCAGCGAACAGTGCTTTTTTGAAATATACGCGCCCGCTTGGATCAATGCCAGCGTATGGGATCCCAGAAGATCAAGAATTTCTTGAGCTGCCTCATCGTTGGTCGCCAACAATTTTTGAGATATATCAGAAGCCTGAAGCAAAAGCGCTTTCGCGTCAGTGCTCTCAAGACCCTCGAGGTCTTCGTATGCATTAAGGTTACTATATCGTTTCGATTCCGCATTTCTGGAGGTAATAAGAATAGCGCCATGGAATCCTGTTGGAATGTAGACCTGATAGTCAAAGTCTGTGTCGTCGGCGTTATCGAGGATCAGGAGCCAGTTTTCTTTGGTATTGGCGAGAATCTGAGAAGCTTCACGGATCTCACCAACTTCATGCCCAAGTCTTTTTGCAATCGCAATGAAGTCGCTTTTGGCAGTTGAAGGTGTGTCGACATTGACCCAAAATACACCCCAAAATCTGTTACGCTTAGCGAAGTCACTTTAGATAGAAATCTGATGTTCAGCTCATACTTTTCTTGCATTAGATTGGCAACTTTCAAACATATTTCGCTTTTCCCTTGTCCACCCATACCTGTGATAACAAATCTTTTTTGTTGGGTGGGCATGGTCGTGTGGGGGTCTAAAGCCTCCTGTATTCGTAGGATCAAATCATCACGCCCGGTGAACAACTTATTGACGATTCGAGGTACTATCCAGTGAATGTTTCGTTGTTTGAGGGGAGCAGGTTCTAACATAAGTCAGTCTCATCAACGCCCGTTAAAATGTCTTCCTTGCAATTATCACACCTTGAAATTTGGAGCGTTTCTTTACAATCCCAGATCCATCTCTAACCATCCTCCGAATCTCAGGTAAAACCAAAAGGAAGTTCTCGTCGTTTTCTCCATTGAACTTGTTTAGTCCAGAGTGATCGGTATTGAGGGGAATCATCCTTCTCCCTTGAAGACTAGAAGATTGCATGGTCACCACGTTCCCTTGCTTTTCGTAGTAACAGATTGGGTCCCAATCCTCTTCGGCGCCACAGAAATCTGTCTGTAAATGGTACAGAGCATCATTGTGTTTCTTCAACAAAGATAGCAGGTTAGCATCCAGGCCAGGGATACCAGCCAGCCATTGTCCGTAGATTGCTAGGTCGCTTCCTTGGAAAGGACCCCCGAGAAACATTAAACCTGCACAAGCCTGGCGTAGTTCGGAGAAGTTCCTATTGGAAGCAGCAATCACAAGTGCCTTCATACGTCAGTCTATGTAGGTTACTAGCATGGCTGGGTAGAAATACCTGCTGAATGACGAGGCATCCAAGACTATGTCCGATAAGTATAATGGGTCTTTGACGCTCCTAGGATAGCGAATGTCAGTCACTCGATTTTGTGAGTAATAGAACAACATCAACTACTCACTTCTTCTCCTCCTCTGTTTTGCTTTAACACATTCAGAAACAAGAGCGCACACTCACGCAGGGTTGTTTTAATATTACGATCCCGCCAATCTGATTTGTAACTGTATGTCGCAATTCGAGCTTCTGGAAACAAAGGAACAAGCAAATCCCGGATCCACATACACTTTCTAGAATGTCCGCCTTCATTTGCATCTGTCAGGACATGCTCGGGCGTGACTGTAGGTCTCCGTGAACAAGTTGGGATCTTGAAGTAAGTCTTGAACTTTGTAGACCTAGATTTGCGTTCTGATGGCACTTCTTTCGATTGGGAGCTCTTCCCATCAACTTGCATAATTCTCGGGCTCTTTGCTTCCCAGGTATAATACGGATGAGACCCGAGGCCTTGTACTGCAATTATACTACAACATGGTCAACATGAATCGGCGAAGAAGTTTTAAACTTACTCCACAGTCGGTGCTGGGCTGTAACCAGTTTGTGCTGGGCTGTCACCAGTTTGGCTAGACCAGATGTTTAGCCCAACATCCTTGACGGTGTCTTTGGTGCATGCCATTATATTCCAGGAAGTGGTTTCGCATTAGATTGAAGTCAAGCCAAAAGTTTGACGGATGGGCTGTGAAGAGATGTCGAACTTGCTGCGTTCGTCGTCAACACCAGCAGCCGCCAGCCTCACTTTGCTCTGCCAATCAACGCACGAAGATATATCGGCCGCATGAGGCTGGACGCTGCCACTCGGCTTTAGTCGCAAAACCACCAGAACCTTCGTGCGAGGGTATCTAAACAAAGGTTTATTCTCTCGTTCCATATCTTCTCACGACGTTTATCCAACCGAATAGATACAGTATTCTGCTTTCATCTGATATCTTGCCTGCATTGGACCACTATTTTTTGGTTATATGAGACCACTTTTTGTATCAGATTTGATGGCTATTAAGGTGACAACCCGAATGGTATAATGATATGTAGAGGAATTTCGTCAGAAATTTATTACATTTCTTTTGTGTCCACCATGAAGCACGCAAAAATTGACATTCAACATACCCTGTTTAATGAGCATTGACAGCCGCCAAGGACAGCCTTCAACGACCAAGGTACTAGCCTATGGAGTTTCTTCCGTCTGACTGCGTAACACTAAAACTTGCGTCACTTGCCCTCGACTATTTAGAGAATTTCGTGCCCCTAACAAATGAAAAGTGAACAACCAAAGAAACAGAAGAAGTCCAAAGATGATTACAGTAACGGGCAATACCATCGAAAAGACTACAAACCCATATGAGGCTTGCTGGAATATCTCATTTCGGCTTAGCTTCGTCGTTCCAAGTCCAACCTGCATCGCGGACAGGATAAGATTGATGAACAAAATGACTAGAAGAATCCAGCCAAAGGTGCGTTCGTAGAAAGGGCTATATCGATTGTATGTGTTTTTGTATCCTTGTACAAAGCGCTTCAAATTGGAGATATAGAGAATCCGGTATATAATGTTGAGCCTACTCAACCGTAATTCTCCATATTGATAGCGTCTGTTCACCTTGCCCAGCGCGCCACACTCCATGTTCGACAGGACTTCGTCTGCAAGAGCTCTCCAACCATTCCAATGGAGATCAGAAGAGATCAGTCCAAGCTCGACGGCAATCCTGAAGTCGCTTGGGGAGCGCAACATCCAAATATACGACAGGAGGAACCCACAGGAGTCATCGTGCAACGTAGTGTTGTTGCACATTACGGCCTCCCACATTTGGTATTCGAACATGTAATCCGGAAGAGGCTTGATAAATATGCGCGAAGCATGCCACACCATATGCAAGTCTACCTGCTCCGTCGTCAAGATCTCGCGTCCCATCAGCTTTTGTTGGTGTAGAGGTCGAATATTCCCTGGCCTCCCTGCTAGCCACATGAAGCGATGCAGTTTGTTAAGTCTCGAGACATCCATATCTATCTCCACAAACGACGCATAGTCGGAACCGACACGGAGAAGAATGTTTTCTCTATCGCGATATACTGTCGGTAAGGATCCACGTAGGGCGAGAGGGCTCGCGGGAGCGGAAAACGGAGGAGAGAGCGACTAAAACCATGATTAGAGACGGAGAAGTCAATCAGAGGATATCATACTTGTTTCGACATCCCAATTTCCAAGCTCTACGGATGGCACGCCATGCAAGTAAGGTCTCCCCTCATTGTCATGGACCACAAGTTTGTGGCTCCGTAGCCTTGTGGTGAGACATAGGCGACTAAGAAGCGCTTCTCTTGTAGAAGAGACTGGATCTTGTGCCAAAATCACGTTTCTTATGCAGCGAAATGTCTAGTACCGCCTCGAACGAAGGTCCATGATATGTTCGAGGTTCTAACAAGTCATCTGGTAAATTGTATGTTGTTGTAAGGTGGGTCATGAAGGGGATCGGACCCGGCCCGGATGTCGGCGCGCTAAATGATCAAAGTCCTTGCTTGCTCCTTGGCTTTCTTTACCAGACTCTTGCGCTTTTCCGCAATTGTCATACATCGAGCAACCACAATCTCCCGTCATTTTCGACCTTGTCCCGTTCTGCGGAATTACATATCGATCAATTATGCCACAATTGCAGCTGGTTCAAATCGTTTCCTATGATTTTCCTGACGAGATAAGCAGATGCCAACTAAAATAGCAACGGAGATAATTCACAGGTCGCTTTGTTGATCAACCTGTAACACTTTCAAGTGAAATAGCACTGGGGCTTTGGAAGAACTGACCAAAATCGAGGCCGAGGAACTGTCACTTTCGGTACACTTCCAGTTATGGAGGTTTACGATTGGGTTAATGTGCAAACAGGCGACTATCTACAAAAAGATCACCCTCCATATCTGGAACCAACATGGACTTGAAAATGTTAACTCAATATCCACGTGCATTGAATACTTCTATTGACATACAGAAGTGTCACTGAATGTTCAAGGCTCGGCGCCAAATTTATGAAACCCATTTTGGTATTCTATTGACTAACTTGTAATGATTGTGTTCGTCGCACTCCTCGAAATCATCCGAAACCGAACTCAAAATACCCTCCCAGTTGCATCGCGCAGATTGCGGCCGCGACCACGATCAATCTCCGCCACTACTTGCGGATTGTTGCCTGCCGTGCCTGAAATCACCTAGAATGCAGGAACACGGGGATCGTTGTGCTCAACGAAGATGATCTCTGGGATCTTGCAGTCTGGACGGATCGACTTTTCCTCCTCAAACATGCCCAAAATCTCTCCACGGCAAACTTCTTGAGCAGCAACGTCCAAGGGGTAACCCTCTGCGACAACAAGATACAGCTTTCGCAAGTTATGAAAACCGTCGGTGATGCTGTCCTTCAGAGCTTGCTTGCGTCCGGAGTCATCGTTCCAGTTGAAATTTCCGATGGCAAGGGACTGAACGCCAGTCAAATTGTTATTGGCCAAGCACTCTCTGCGAGAAGTATTGGAGGCCTTGGTGGGACGTTGGGCCACGGAATTGATGAAGGGATGTAGCAGCAAAGTATCAGTCTCGTTGTTGAAGTTGGATAGAGATATTGGAGGAATGCTGTGTTGATATGGTGGCTCGACAAAGGCTTCTTGACCACCAGTTTGACCTCCTAATTGAGCATCGGGAATACTGATGAAGGTTGGCTCAAAAAGACCTCCATGAGTAGCCCAATCGGTGAGGACTTTGACCCATTTGGGGACGGAGGTTTGTTCAGCGGCCATATTTTGTTTTGTTTCCGGCGATATGGTGATGTTGAATTGTTTTTGGTTGCTTGGGGGGTAAATGGTGGTTGTCAAGAGATAGTGTAGATATTTGTATCTTTGGAAGGAGGAGGTAAGTTGTTAAGTTGTTGATGATGGAAAGCAGAATTCCGAGAAGATGAGGAAAGCAGTTGTATATAAGTACATTTGTCACCGCCCTGAAATCACTTTGACTTTTCTGTCGGAGTTTCACCGCTCTCGATGCAGGAATGTGGTTCAGGATAGCTGAGCGTTGTCACCTATCAAATCTTAAGATACACCTTCTGTTTCGGATAGCAGCATCACATCAGGAGTCATATCTATCGATATTCACCAACGCCCGACACCAGAAGCGTCTTGATCACATAATTCTGTGCCAATGCGTAGTTACAAACAGAATATATCACTTCTATTCGTGTTGTAATAATGGGGTAGACTCATAGACGGATTTTGTCTCTCTACCGCATTAGCCTCCCTCTCAAAAACGGGTTCCGACCAACTTCAGGTTTTCTCATGAGTCGAAAATCGGGTAAGTGCAGTATACTGAGTTCCTCACCGCAAGTAATGATGTACGGGAGATTTCACACAAACCTGTTCGGTTTAATGGCTATTATGAGCGTTTGTGAGTGAAGATCATCACAAATCACCTCTTGAGAAGAGCAAAGCCAGGCTTCAATCACATTGAAATTATATTAATGTAGTTTTGTTAAATTCCTCTCATCTAGAGTTGTATCTTGCATTTAATAATCCAGGAGTGTGGGCAGGCTGTTGATCATGAAAATACGCTACATCCGAAGTATATTTTATTATACTTCTCAGAATAAAGATTTTCCCCCGTAGTTAATGATATATTTACATAAGATTTGTGGTTTCGGTTTACGACGATATCTCACACTGTGAAAAAAGCACTCTATTGATCTATTATAATATCCTAATCTTTCTCGCCGAGGAATCCAGGGAGGCTTAAGCGAATGAACCAGTGGGATAATTCCGATCATTTAAATGTATGTCATATTAGGGGCAAGGTAAGCGAGTTTTTAAAAGACACTTAGAGATGTTATTTCAAGGTCATATCGCAATATTGGAAGTGAGTGAAATGGGGGCAACTCAGTATCCTTCGAGATCTTATCCCTAGTCGGATCGGGTAGTACTTATTGACGATACACCAAGAACGGAAAATGAAGAACCAAATCATCCCAAAGCTGATGAAGAAAACGAGTATTGAAGACGAAGAAGTGAAGCTGATAATGAGAGTGGATATTTTACCGACAAGACCGACAGAGCTGAAAATGAAGAATCCAGAAGAACAAGTAAATATTCTGGATGGAAGTAGTCTTCTATGAGTTATCCCTGAGAATGTCCTCGGGAATAAATGATCAATTTGGGAGGATTACTAGGACTCATTTGTCTTCCTCAAGATTGTCTATTTGACATCTAAGTACTTCAATTCATTTGAAATCTATTCTTTATTATTCATAAGTGTGCGTGGGGGAGATGCGTCATTCTATTTGATGCACGTGGAGAAGTGGTCATAATTTCACAGCTTGTCAAGGTTATGATATTTTAGGGGGATTGGACTGGACTTTTGGTGCAACACGTCTTTATTCATTAATTCGCTTGTTATGGAATAACAGGGTGGTCACTGCTGGCTTCAGTTGTAAGCATTCCTCGCTCGTAAGCCTGCACCTCCGCCCCTTTTCTCTCCCATTGTCGAATTGATATGTTTTAAAGCACTGTTTCTTTATGTCAAAGAATATCGACTGGCACTTTTGTTGTTTCTTTTGTCTCTCGTATTCCTCATTGAAGAATTAAGTAAGGTTGGATACCAGCCCACTTTTTTCTGCAGTCATCTGCCTCTTCTGGCGTGACGTGGAACTCCGTCGGAGCTCGAGGGTCGTCGTGTCTAATAATGATTATCTCCGGAATCTTGATGTTAGGGTTCTCTAACCTTGCTTCCTCGAACATACTGACAACTTCGAGTCGACTCTGTTCTAGGGGCCCTGGATCGATTTCTGACGGGGCGAAAGTTCCGCCATTCGACCAGTCGTGAAGCACGAAAATCAGTTCTCTCAGATTATGAAGGCCTTTGGCGATGCAGTCCTGGAATGTTAGATACCTTTGAGGGGTTGATCTGTTTTCTTTTTCCCAAGAACGCCAAATCTTTGGGAGCGGCACCCAATACCGTCCTATCATAAGTGATTGTAGTCGACTCAGATTGTTCCCCTCTTCCAAGCATTCGTCTAGTCTTCCTAGAATATCGTATTATGCGTCGCTGCGTATGATGTAGGAGTCAGTTATATTTCCGAAGCCATCGCAATTTACCTGATTTCCATAGGGATTTATTACTAATGTATCAAGGTCAAAATTAAAGTACACCCAGGCATCTGGTTTTGAGTAAGCAAGGATTCGTTCGTAACCGTGCAAAGCTCCCTTTCGACTAAGGTGCGTTGCCCCGAGTGCTGGAGGTTGAGTATAGCTATCTTGAATCTCAAGATAGCTGCTATGGGTATATGTGGTATAGTGGATATGTGTAGCTGCACTTCTAGTCGGGTTGTCCAACTTCCTCTTATGAAAAGTTCGGCAAATTATATTGCGGGGACTTCATGATGCTTTCCAGGCTTCGTATTGGATCTGGTCCTGGATTTCTTGGGGAAGTTTGCTTATTGCAAAATCTTGCCCTTTTGGCGCCTGGTAATCGCTGCTCTTATAGTTTTTTACTTTCTAAACAATGAACTCTTCCAGGATTTTGACTTAACAAAGTACTTGTCTTGGACGCTTAGTATTATACAAAGAGCTTTCTAACGACTCGCAATAAATGGCTAGCAATTATTATCCAAAACAGTAACGATTATGTTTTTCTCAATTTCGTCCTTATACTTTGTCCTGTAATGCGCCGTACGATTCCTGTACGATTGCAAGTCCTATTCTTCTCTTTCTGGGGATGATCTGTCGGAAATAGTGGGCTCGAGCCTCGAGGGTGTTTTGTCGAATAAAAGGTGGCGGAAACATTGGTGGTATAGAATCGGGCGGAGACGACGCATTAAGAGGAACATTGCGCCTGAGCGACTGTTTTTTGGAAAGTGGATGCATTTTCTCGTGGGGCTTGTGAGATTTTTGAAGAAGTTGAATCAGATTGAGGATAACAACCCCGCGCTAACCTCCCAATCACTTGTCTGAGACCTGCGCTGGACATACAGTAGCATTAAATTGCCAAGCAGACCGCAAAGTCCTAAGCTATAAATCTATCTAAGTCCAATATTGGACTCATGAATTGCTGAATAAATAACTAGTAGTTCTGGATTTACCTAAAAGATGAAGTCGCCTGGTTTATTAGAAGGGGGAAAGAAAGCGCTAACGAGGAAGGTACTAACAATAACTGAATGAGGAGTTAAAGAATAAGAGTCTAAAGCCGATAACGATAATAAGTAGGATTATCAACAAGCTTGAAAGAGCTTGAAATGTAGAGTTTAGAAGAACGAATAATTAATCTGGATTCTATTCTGTTGTATACGTGGAGACAAAAGCTGGTCAAGTTTATAATTTTTTGGATAGACTGGTGGACTAGTTAGATTGCGTTTTTGGTGCAAGATGACTTTTCTCGTTGATTTCCCTATTAAGTAATAACAGAGTTGTCACTGTTGGCTTCTGCTGCGAGAAATCGCCGTTGGTTCGCCTCCCTGCTCGCCTCCGCCTCCTTCAATACATCGTCGAAATACGGCGCTCGAGGATCGTCGTGCCTAACGACGGATACAAGTGGGATTTTGCAGGAAGGATTCGACAACTTTTCTTTCTCGAACATACTGACAACATCGCGTGCAAACTTTTCCTGCAGCTCCGTATCAAAGCATGCCTGGGAAATCCGCGCCAGAGGCATTGGCGAACTAATAACGAAAGTTAATTCTCTCAAATTGTGAAGGCCTTTGCCAATACAAACTTGGAAGTTTGGAGTACTTTCCCGCCAATGTTCGATCATGTGCGGATGATAATCTCCTATTGCAAGCGATTGCAGACGACCCAAATTGCTGCCCTCTTCTAAACATTCGTCAAGAGCTGCTACAGCTAGCTTCGGATCGTAACCGAGACTCCAGTTGGTACATTTTTCTCCGGGATGATCATACCAAATTGTTGTCTGATATGGATTCAATGCTAACATATCAATGTCAAAATTGAGGTAAATCAATGAATTTGGATTTAACCGGCCGAGGATTTTCTCGTAGCCATGTGAGCCTTCCGTTCGACTGGATTGGGTTGCCTCAAGTGCTGTTAGTGAATTGTAGCAATCTTGAATTTGGGTACGGTTGAATACGTGAGTAGCTGTATTCCCGCCTTCAGCAAAAGTGGTTGTACAAATAGTTCGGCAGACTATTTTCCGGGCCATCTTGTTTTCTTCTGATTGGATTGTCATTCTTACAGTTATTGTGTATATTGAGTGGCTATTCTCTGGCAGTCAACCGGTGTCCTGATTAGGTTGAAGAATTGATGATCGAGTTAGAGGAGATTTGAAGGGTAATTAATTACTCTTAAATAGTAATCCCCAAAGAACAGAAAATAATGTTCTTCAAAACAGTAATTAGAGAATATTGTTGTGCAACTTTGAAAACAGGTGATCTAGATATTAGCGATATTCTTTGTCCCGAGTTTAGGTGCGTAGCATCCGAGCAATAACCCTTTCCAAAACTTTAGCTAAACAGATTACCTGTCTCGGACGGTTGGTAATATATTAGGAGACTTCTTCATAATACTCTATAACTATTAATATTTAAAGAATCAGATTGTTTGTCATAAAAGCTCTGTAGTATTATCTGATACTAAGGCTCGGGAAAGATACTGGGGGAGCTGCTGTAATGCTTAATGTCTGGAATGTGTGAGAGCATATAAAGTACTACTGTGGAGGGAGGGTGTTATCAATAACACGAGAAAGAGATTTTACGAAAAGAGTCTTAGTGAATTATCTGTTACCTCTCGAACATCATTTGTCAATAGAAGAATATATAGAATATTTAATGAGGCATTACATATGACACTCGTAAGTATTTCCAGTAGTAACAGGATAGCAGTTATCTGTAAGCGCAATACCTCTACTTCAAACCCACATCTACCTGAAATCCTTCCATATCTAGGGTAATAACCGGGAAACTCCTCGTATCCATACTGAAGAAAAATAATCTCAGGGATCCTACATTGTGGGTTCGACGCCTTTTCGACCTGGAACAAGCTTGTGATCTCCTGTCGAAGAGACTCTTGGCTTTCCGGGTTCAAAGTAAACTCAGAAAGGAAAACGAGTTCTCTCAAATGCCGAAAGCTCTTCGCGATACCGTTTTTGAAAAACCTCTTAGCTCTAGTTTCGCAGAGATCCCAATATAAGTCTCGAACGGCAACTGATTGGACCCGGTCCAGATCGCTTTCCTCCAGACATCCTTCGCGGTTGAGAAATGTATCCTTTTGGTACGTGTTGTTTTTATTTACAAATTCTAGTTCGTGAGAGATCTCTAGCGTGTCGATTTCGAAGTTGACGTAGTTGAAATGGTACATATTGGTGTGTGTATAGCAGCGGAGGGTCTCTGCTCTACTGCTCTGCGATACGTGTAGTGTTGTTGGTAGCGTGGAGAAGCAGGGCAAGAAGCAAGGGACAGGTCCCCATTCTCCGATATCGCAAACATCGAACAAATCTGTCACACACTCAATCCACCGAGGAATAAAAGTGTAATTCCAGATCAGATCCCGGAGTTCCTGGGGCAGCTTTTCAATGGTAGCTATTGGGTTTATGACTTGTTGTGTCCTGTTATTTTGGTTGCTGTCCTGCGCGTTTGGAAGACCATCGTCTAGGTGTGCAGATTTTGAGTCCATAGTATCGATGTAGTTTTTGGTTGCACTACTATGGAAATTAACAGTCATGAAGATGGAAGACAAGATCTGCGAAGTTTTAAAACATATGAAAAAGATGATCATTGTTTTCGGTGAATTATACGTAGAACAAGATGTTCATTTATACAAATATCGCTTAGTCAGTGGTGTAATTTTATATAATGTGTTTTTACTATTAATCACCAATTACATATTAGTCATCGATAATTGTGACTTATAGTGTTGACTGTTATAAGACAGGTGATGCTCTTTATACGACTATACTGAAAATAGAAACATCTAACATAGCAAATACAGATTATTTTCTGTTCCTTTTCTCAAATCAATTACTTAGTATAGACTCCAGGTTCAGCCTAGTCCCTTCTCTATACGTAAATATACTTTGCACGAGAACTTGCATTCTGTCTCCTACATTTCCTAGTCTTATTACTGCGTTTCCTATTATTCCTCCGACTCTGCATTCTCCGTCTCTACACGAGGGGGCGACAGCCCAAACGGTACAGTGCCTACCTTCGTCCCCATTCCATTCTGCTTGCCAAAATCAAAGTTGGGTGCTTTCGGATCCTCATGCTCCAAGAAAATAATCTTAGGAATCTTAAAGCCAGGACGACGTGCCTTCTCCGCTTTATACATCTCCGTAATCTCACGTCTGCATATTTCCTTTCCCTCTTCGGTCCTCAGACCAATTCCAGGGGGGATTGAATCCAGCTGAGCACTAGTCAGTTCTTTCTCCTTCGCCAGAACCAATATGAGTTCTTTCAGATTTTGAAATCCATGCTTGATGCCTGCTTCAAAATTGAACTTCTGGAGATCAAATCCGCAAGACTTTGTTTTTCCACAAAGAACTGTCTCGGAGTTCCACCAGCGAAAGCCCCCAATCGCAATGAATTGGATTCGTTCTAGATTATTGTTTCGACCTTTCAATAATTGCTTGCCTCTCAACATGGTCTGTCCGCATTGCGAGTTAGGGCCCAAGATTTTAAACTGCTCTTTCAAACCCCAACTTGGCTGCTGGTCTGTGCCATCTATTGGCACAAAGTGGCGAGTAATCATTTGAGGATGTATCACCAACGTATCAATGTCGAAGTTGAAGTAAATCCATGAGTTTGGAAGATCCCCCTCAAGGATTCGTTCGTATCTGCGTGGAAGATTGTCTCTGCTTCTATAGTTTCCGCTGAGCGCTATGGGTTGATGATTGTAACAATCGCCAACCTCCTGGTGAATTTTACATTTGTTATATCGTTCGCCCAATCCCTCATCAATTGTTATAATCTGCTCGATCTCGTAAATGAATATGTTCCGTGGGACACATGTCGACTCCCAAATTTGGTCTTGAATTTCTAGGGGAAACCGTTCGAATTCAATCGTTTGTTGAATATCTTTGCGGTCATTGTTTTCTGTCGAAGTGGACATATTTTGGGACTGGTAGCTGCTGCGATATAATTAAGAAATAATGGAGAAATTTCAGGTTTGATGGAAAAGAGGGATCGTGCAGAGTGTAGGAAGACAGAACACATGCTTTTAAAGGGTAAAAGGTCTTATGAGCGTATTTGACATTAAATTCCGAAATTTTAGTCGATTGTTCTCTGTACTAAACAACTAGAGCACTGGACATGTTCCTTTTTTTTCCGATGTGAACGAGATGGAACATATGTTCCACCTAGTCTGTCAATATATCGTGTTCATGAATAGGGTGGTGTTTACCTAAAGTGTGGCCTATATATAAATGGGTTCCTGATACGTGAACAAACCTAATTTTAGCATCCTATTCGTAAACAACTTCGTATTCCCGTATAGAGTGACCCTATCCGTAAACAGAATCCCAAAACAGCCTATCTCGGTAGTCTAGAATACCTAATTTCTACCTAGTTAGAAGAACGCTAAATAGTAACGCTAGTGTTAAGAAAGTTGACTTTAACTTCATAATAGCTAATACATAGTTAGTAAGTATTTTTCCCAGAATTATTTGCTCTTAACATTACTCTCGGTCTCGGTCTCGCTATCGTATTCTTGAATAGTTATAGTAGAAGTCAGGGAACAAAATTTCTGTTCACGGACAAGGTGATTAAGTGGGTTTGTTAACGTATATGGTATCCTGTTCATCGATAGACCCCATTAATAAACAGGATAATAAAGTGGTTACATCAATCATACATGACGTCTGTTGACGAACCGGGTAGCACATCATCAGGTTACTAATTCCAATACAACGATTAATATCATTACCAAAGTCTCGACAAGAAGCACGATGCGGCCTGAGAAACAAAATGAATTCATCATTGTAATCGAAATAAACCAATATGCGGCAAGTGGCTAGAAGATCCCTCCTCTATGAGAGAATATGAACTGAGTCATCAGACGAAGAATCAAAAACGAAGGAGACGCAGAAAATCTGTCATGTGCTTCACAAATCAGTGAGATATTCGTTAGCGGAACTTGATCCATTTACTAGTGTCGAATCTTCACAACGCTTTCTGCCTCTGGTAGCCACTATTTCTGCTTCAAGCCTAAGCATAAGTAACGACTCTCCCACCAGGTAACTCCGAAATCCCTAGTAAAATCAGCCTCTCATTCCCACCAAAAAGAAAACAGAAAAAGGCAAAAGACTCACACTCATCCAACTCCTCCCTAGCCATCTGTCTCTGAACACACTTATTCGCGGTAACCTGTTCCTGCGTCCTCAGCTGCGGACACTCACTCGGCGGGTGAATCGCCCCATCAGGTGTCGGATCATAAACATCACATCTTGCATCCATAGCTTTTTGGAGGGAGTCGCCTTTCCAACCGAATACGTAGTCGGCGTGATGGCCGAAGCCGGTACTATTTTAGATCAGTAATGCGGTAGAATACAGTTGGATAAAGGTGGAAGGGGAGAAAAACGGAGAACTAAAAGAAAATAGACGGGAGGACTTACGGATCTCCCTGGCTAAACACGAATGGTTGGCTTCCATCCTCAGGCCAGTCTTCTTTTGGAAAGTCCCCTGTCTTCCAAATCGTTTCGATAAAGATTTGTGGAATCTCCACTGGATGTGTAGCTGGACATGGTTGACCGCGAACTGGATAAGCGACGTGGGTTTTGTGGTCTGGACTATCGAGGTTGATGCCGTCCCAGCATCTGCGAACACAGATTAGTTTTTCATAATCAACTGGAAGATGGGGGTACACAAACGTTGGGAAGAACGTATTGACTCTGATCCCACCAGCACAATATCCCTTCGGCAAATCCGTCGTATCACTCGCAGCCACACCCATCGGATTTGGGTAAAAGAACATCTTGTCATCGTAACCGTCGTAACATCGATATAGATTTACGAATCCGGATTGTGGAATACGTGCCTCTGCTGTTCCTGCCAACATCCGGAACCCCTGATTGATTATCAACCTCAACATCTAATTGTGGTTGAGGAGAAAGACTTACGGGTCTAAAAGCTGTAATCTGGGAGGTTCGACTGTCTGGAGAGACGTAGTAAACTGTCATTCCACCGTCTGCGTCCGCGAGGTTCTGATTGCTGAGTTGCTGGACGCGTTTGAATGTGCCGTTTCGGGCGCGGAAGTAGAGGACTGCTGTCCAGTAGTTGGAGAAATCCCTGCGAGACAAGTTAGATTCGGTATATTCCAGGTCTGAGGAAGATGTACTCTGAGAAAGTACATGTAGTACATGAAGCCATTTCTGCTATATCGGTTCGAGGATCCATCGTCACGTTAAACGCATCCTATCGATGTTAGTATAGACAAATATAGATGTCGCTGTAACTTACGCCTCCCACGATCTGTCATAGAATTAGTAGCTTTTCCCAAAAGTAGAAGAGACCACATACCTGGTGCATATGCGGCGAAGGATTGACACCTGGATTTACCAACCTAACCTTGCCATCAACTACCATCTTGAACCTCTTGCACCAGGAATACATACGGATCAAGCCTCTCAGTAACAAGTTGCGAGCACGCAAATCTTAACGTATGCGTAGCTCTGACATTCCGCGCAACAAGACTCAACACGATCAACGAATTCCACAACATCTTGACTCTGCTTTCCTACAATTCGTATTTTCAATCAGGAATAACAATCACCACTTCAAACACAGACAATCTAGCGGAGTGCCATCATATCTAATACCTCTCCGCCATGTACCACAACATCAGCAATCTCGGCAGCAATGAATCGAGAATAAAGTGTTGTGGCGTCTGCGAACTGCCGATCCCGTTTTAGGCGGGATTTCATGCTGATCATGGGGAGGATAGATGAATTGCAATGATGGAGATATTGGGATCCCATATGGAGATGCAGGAGAGTGAGGATTAGGGCCGGGTGGGAGAATATGTGCAGGATGTGGGGCTGTTGGTGAAGAGGAAGGAGCGTTGTACGAGACTTAGGAGGACAGGAAAGGAGATAGTTGGAGTGCAAATGTCCAATTACACAATTAAGAAACCAGAAGATTAGAAAAGGTGATAAAAATAAGTCCCTAAATATCCTTGCATAGATGAAAATTCAACGTCAAAAATTCAGCGCCGCACACATCTTTCCAATGCCCAAAACCTACAGATATCCCAGTCCACCAACCAACGAAGCGAGATCGTCCCTCACCTCCTCAACGTCCACACCAACCCTTCCAGCAACCTCTGCTCGTCGTTGACTCCCCAATTCCATCCATCGTCCCAGGATCGTACCGTCGACTACGGCTCGGCCACCGACCATACTCTCTGGCGCGTTGCGATCTATTCTGTGAGCTCTGGGATTGAGACCGCAGGCGTGCCAAAGGACGTTCGTCAAATGTGTGGTTAGGGTGCTGAGACGGCGGTATTGACTCTCGCTAAGAGGAGAGAGGAGAGATATGGAACCTGTGGTAGTGGTGATTAGGAGTTGGTGAGCGGGTATGGTGGCTTCTGCTGCGGTGTCTGCATTTTCTTCGGTGTCGAGGAGGATAGAGGTCGATGTTGTTCGTGGAAGAAGTGTCATTCCCGTGGCAAGGTGGCCGCCTAGTGAGAATGTGGTTCGGTGGAGGAGGAGGTGGCCTTGTAGGGATTTAGGATCTAGATGTATTAGTAGGTTTATACGGGATTAGGAGGATGGACTTACGCTCGGGGTCGAATTGCATTACATGCAGATTACAATCTGCGTCCGCCGCTATGATGTACAACTCGTTGCCGTCTGGGAGTAAATCTGCGGTCATGACTTCCATTTTAGTTGATGATTTACCAAAGAGCAGCATTTTGTAAGGCTCTTCTGTGTACCCCACAAACCATACTCCCTTGATGGCATCAGAAAGAACGCACAAACCAGTGCCAGGGAGTTCTTTAACAGCAGTAACGAAGCAATTCATGTCCATGAACGCAACTGGCAGAAGAGTTCCATCTTCCTTAAGACCTCTGACCATACACTTTTGACCCTGCGCAACAAGCATAAATCCTTGGGTCCCGATTTCTGAGACGCCCGTGATGGCTCCTCTTGGAATATCCTCCCTTGCTATGAGCTTCAACCTCTTGTTGGTCTCTGGTCGACCGGGTTGCGGGACTACACTGACAACATCGTAGACGTATAGCCGTCCCTTGATAGCAAGATCCTCTCCCTTTGAGATGGCAGTGCCTACAGTGATCAACTGCTTACGTTCATTGGTGTTTTCAGATATCTCGAGATTAAGGCTCTTGACGCACATGATGATCTCGCAAGGGTCCATCTCAATCGTATCAATGACTGACCAATTGATTGGATTGATTAATTTGAGGAAGCCTTGTTCCATAGTTGGCTTGAATGGAACATCCTCATTCTTCATTTCTCGACGATGATCGTCATCTTTTGGAAGCTCAAATTCCGTGCGAGTGCTAGTGCCAACCACATAGCATGACATCAAGGGGTGATAGGCGAGTGCATGTATCTCTTCGTTCAAGGAGACCTTTTGCACCGCCACGCCCAACTCAGTAAGATTGGTATTGTCTGGCAGTTGGGCAACACGAGTGATGCCCTTATTATCTGCATAGATAAACCCTCTATCACAGCCGCTTGTGTGAAAGCTGCTTAGACCTCTCACACCAACCCCCTGCAGGCTAATGACTTTTGGTATGCTTTTGGCGCTTTTAAGAATGAATGCTGGGGAGCCGCCGGGTAAAAAGACTGTACTATAGCCACCGATGTTTCCAATAGCGCGCATTGGCTTGTTTCTCATCTCATCTTCACCGCCAGCTGTTTCATCCGCAGCTGCCTCTTCTGTGTTCTTCGCCAGGTGTGGGTTGTGAATTTTGAGGAAATGAAGACTTGACGAAAGTGTATTGGGTGTCGAGTCGGAGGTCACTCTAAATGGCTCATAGATTGTTAGGTCATCGCTAGAGGGACGAAGCTGCTGATGTATCAGTAATATTTACACGAAATTGGAATGGTAACTTACAATAAGATATGGTGATTTAGATACTGAATCGCCGAGATCTGCTACTATTATTTCTATCAGGGTTTCTCGCGCAGCAGACCTCCTTGCCGCATAGTCAGCAGAGAGCACCGGAGGTACAAAGCAAAGTCCTTCAGCTACATAAAGAGCTTTGGATAAATCAGGCAAGGCGTAAATCTATTGATGTTAGCAAATGATTCATGAGCCTTACGATTGACATACGTAGAGAGCTCCACCTGCGCTTAGCAAGAACATCATAATATTCTCGCCATCTTTTTGCCCTTTATCCGACTGAATATTGGCAAATGCGCCAGTAGTGTCGGTATAGAGGCATCCAGTGAGCCATTTTGTCGAGAGGAGAACATCATCAACTCGCTCCAGTTCCTCTAAATCATAGCTGTTATCACAGACGACCACAAATATGCTTGAGTCGTCTCTGACCAATAATATGTACGGATCGGCAAAACTGGCGCTGATGATATTGGGCTCAGCACCAGTGTTCTCGTCCTCCATTTCAAGTATTTGTGCCAATCCGAGATCTAGATGGTTCTCACCGTTAGCATGTGATTCTTTATTACAACCTGGGAGACAGCACGTCGCAATAGCAGAAGACACGGATGCAAAATGTTGGTAAAAGGTTTCATTGATGCTATAGGATAGTACATGCTCCAAATAGCGCCCCTATAACAGAAATAAAGCCATTGAAATATCTCAACAAATGCCACACATGCTCTTCCATCTTGCTCTTTGTTAAGGCCTCGACTCACTGTAATGACAAGAAGAAGGCCAAATGAAATTTGAGACTTACCGCCATCATATGCGCGAACTTGCGTTTTTACCACTTGGATGAGGCGCATTCCATTCCCAAGGTTTCCAACTTCAATCGTGGCACCCTCCTTTTCATACTCAGGGGTTGTGAGTTCCTCGAAGCCAGTATCAGTCAGAATGTAAACGCTTGACTCCTCACTATCATCGAGAGTCTTCGAAACTATCATTAATCGATCATACTGAGCTTCAAGAGCATAATCACCACTGGTTGCAGTCTTCTCCTTTGAGACTGGAAGCCCCTTTACCTGGGGTCGTTTCACACTGGTTGTCCAAAGCCCACGAGCCTCTGCAAATTCAAACTTCCCCATTACCTTTGGCTGGATATTTTTATGTATGATGGCAATTGAACCACCTGAATCTTTACCTGTTGCCAATACGAGTTGAAGATCGCTTCTCACATCTTCGCATCTCCCCTTCTGTTCATCCTCCATGTAAGACGAGGAGCTACCTAGAACTGAGTCTATTATCGGAGCAATGTTGATCAAAGAGTCGTGTATCTGGAATACGTAATCACCAGATTTGCTATTGCTCGATTCCGCGGGATTCGAGATACTTTTGCTGAGCGCAGGGGCTCCTCCATAAAGCTCATCGTCGAGGTCTTCATCATCTTCATCTTCATCATCAAGCAGTGATTCGTCCACCCCATCTATATCCTCTATACGCTTGCGCCGAGAATTCTGTCCTGATTTTCGATTCCATCCTAGTACAACCGCATCTGCTCCATCGCTACCCACAAATACAGCATTGGAACTCACTCTTGTAACGCAAGAAGCACCGCTTTGAAGGAGATTCCCTCCCGACTCTTTTGCCACACGACGGATGCTTATAGCGGACACGGACCTTCCGTCCATTTCGAAACTCAAAATTGCAAGTTCACCAGTATGAAGAATTATGAGCATGTCCCCATTATGCTTAGAAAGTTGTTCGATTTGGCAAGCTTCTAATCGCAAATCAAGATCCGCTTGGGTTTTGAGAGTGAAATTTGTGGACAATTTCGCAAAAGGATTGACAGCAACCCCATTAGCCTTTCCAGCTTGATCAATATGTATCAACTGATTGCCACCAACGAGAATAGCTCCTCCAACTGGAGCTGGGACAGGTACTACTCGATCAAGATCAAATGGAAGCTTGTCAATAGATAAGATCGTAGTGACCGCTCGCTGATGAACATCCAATGTGAAAACCATATAAAACAACGGGTCTTTCCTCTCATGTAGCAGTGATGCCGCCGGTAAACGATTAGATGACAAGATTCCAAATGTTGGTTCTCGATACTCGTGGAGAAATGCAAGATGTATAGGATAGCACATGTTGGGATCTAATTTGGGAAGTCGCAAGATATATGATGGTCCATATGGTGTTTCGACCTTTTTGCTGTCTCCATTCGTCAACTTGGTAGTCGCTTGCAACTCCGGACGAGGCCCGTCTAGCTCTTCATCCCAGTCATCCATATTCACATCTTCATCGCCTTGGTTGAAGGGAAGAATGGCCAGATTGCGCGCGCCGAATTTCAGAGCTGCGCATCGATTCCCAGGATCTGCCGTCAGGTAATTGACACTCTCGCTGGTGCTCATCGTCCATGGGCTACCGTTGTAGTCATTTTGCTCATAATAATGGATTGAAGTCGTCGTTATGCCGGGCCGGCTAGGGTCCCATTCCACCAAACTGATTTTCGCATCTTTGAGGCCAACAAGTAATGCATCTCCTCCTGACTTTGTCGACGGAAGGCTAACTCTAGCCAGGGATGTGATTGTGCCGGAAATAGTATATTCGGCGACAAGAACTAGCTTGGTTTTACTCGATCTCGAGGGCATTCGCAGAGTTGAATCCACTCCCAGAAACGATGCCTCCAGACCATCGTCATCGTTCCCTCTGCGGTCGTTTTTGCCATTTTGCTTCCCAAGCCTTGCTTCTTCGCTCGCATCTTCGATCTGAATCGATACTGTAGTGGTAGAGAATATTTGGAGTAAGGAGGTTTTTGCGACTACGAGGTTGTTCGACTGGGCAGATACAAATGGCAAGCTTAGTGAGTGTGAAACAGCTGTAGGAGGTGTCAGCTCCGTATAGCATTGCATTATGGTAATTGCAACCGCGACCTCGTGCGCCTCATCTCAGACGGACTTTAGAAATGAAGGTGTATTTCTGCTCTGCGGAGGAATAAGTGTGTACAAGTCTGTAAGTCGAAGCTTCAAGGAATGTCGCGACCGCGATCTGGATATTTGTTTTCCCGTGCCGCCGCCAAGAGCTGGGCGTGCTGGGTTCAAGAGAGCTTTGGGCATCGGACCCTGTTTCTTAGCTCAAGCATGCATGAGCTTCCTACGTCAGTTCGAAGAGGAGATCCTTTATCAACACCACCACCAGGCAGCACGATTGTGCGATTATCTCTTCAGGACATCTTTTCTACGTGTTTAACTTGTGTATGAGAGGGTTAAACAGTGAGTAAGTGCTATACACCCATAAGACTGCATATATGGCTAGGAAATGTACTAACAGCTATGTTTAGTTAACACTGATTGTATACCGAGATCCATACTACAGGTCGCGACCATGGCGTTAATCCAGACTGCCTTTATCTGGGTCGCATATGCTGTTGCTGTGGGACTCGTAGCATTGGTAGCAGCTATATTCACCTACACCTACCAGACTCCTCGCGATCGATCCGCCCTGGTCTCAACCATAACAGTCATCACTTTGACCTCTCTCCTCGCAACTGTTCTCCTCCTACCAGTCGATATTGCTCTAGTAAGCTCGACCACATCCTCAAAACTCGGCCGGAAGAAAGATTGGGCAACACCAGAGGCTGTACACAACATCCTCTTTCAATTAAAGATTGTTTACTATGCGCTCTACAGCTTAGACGCCGTTTTGTGTCTTCTGGTTGTCCCGTTCACCTACTTCTTCTACGAAGAGCTTGACGATGAAGAAGCAGACAATGACCGCCAGTCATTTGGTTCGAAAGCTTTGGGCGCACTCAAATATACCCTAATTTTCGTCGTGCTGGTCCTGATTCTGTTCCTGGTAGGTTTCTTCGTACCAGTAGCACGCAACCGGGAAGGAAAGCACATGGACCTTGATTACTTCAAAAAGCTTTTGCAGGAAGACCATGGAACCAGAGCTTTGACTTTCTCTCTTGGATTCCTTATTTGCATCGGTACTCTGCTTTATGTCCTGTACACTGCTGCTGGTCTTGCTCTCTTGCCAATCTCTTTCATCAAGTCCGCGCCATCTATTAGCGCCCCACAACTATCAGAGACCACTGCTTCGGCTCTGGAACAGAATAGAGAAAGGCAACACCAGTTGGAGGCACGAAACACTGGACGTGATGGTGGCTTACCGGCAAAGGACCAGCGAGAACTTGAGGCTTTGAAGCGAGAGGAACGTACTCTGGTCCGACGGGAAAGATTAGCTGCAGAGGCACGTGGTGACGGAAAGTCATTTATTGTCAGAGTTTGGACTAAGACGTGCGCCATTTTTCGACCTCTTAAGTTGATCGGAGGCATTCTTTTGTTGTTACTCGGCATCGTGATCTGGGCTTCGATGTTGATCACTGGTATCGACAAAGCTAAGAACTCAATCTGCAAAGAGGGATGTGGCTATATTCTTGGAAGGTAGGTGATTACCCCATTTTAAGTTTTCTTTACTAAATTCTCTAGCATCAACATCTTCCAACCAGTCAACTATATCTTCGTACAAGCATCCCGAGTATTCCCAATCGATTATGTTCTTATGGCATTATTGGTCCTACTCTTCTTCAGTAGCTCCGTCGCCGGAATTGCTACCATCGGTATCAGATTCCTCTGGCTCCGCATCTTCGATATCCGCAAGGGACACACCTCTCCACAGGCATTACTCATGGCCACAGTAATGTTGACCCTGATCATGCTCGCCATCAACTACTCACTCGTCATGATCGTCGCTCCCCAATACGGCATCTATGGCGCCCAAACATTCTGCAGCTTCCCAACCAAGCACCCAGACGATCAACCCGACTGCTCCAACCACCCCGAGAAGATCAAGCCTTGTACCGAGCTCTCAGAAGCCTATGGCTCCAAGAACGTTTGCACGCCAAGTGTCGTCTCAACCTTCCTCAACCGCGTAACAGTCAACTTCCCAGTCTTTGGTGCAATTGCGTTTTGGGCGCAATTCGCTTTCCTCGCCGTCTTTATGATCGTCTTCGTCACTTCGCTGTTCAGAACACCAAAACTCGATATCAACCAATTCGACGAGGACGCCGAAGCTGACGAGGAAGAGGGTCTCCTTGCTAGTACGGGTCGTAGATTCGGTGCTACATGGCAGGATATTCGGGGGAAGGCTAAGAACACTACTAGTGGTAGCGGTGTTAACAATGGTCAGAGTTCGGACTAAGGGGTTTCATAAGGAGGAATTCTACAACCAAAATTCATGAGGGGGTAGGGAGGATTTTCTACATTAAATTGAATAGGGTTTTCATTTTGAGGAGCGGGCGTTTTGTAACTGGGGACTAGGGATTGAGGAAGCGGTAAAAATTTGTGGTTGATTTGTATAGTAGCGTTTATTTTTAGGTCGGTTTTCGGTTTGTGTTAAGTTGAATATACGATTTTCATAATTTGCAATTATACCTCGTGTGCTATGTGATTATTTACTTCCATTTATACCAATCCACTTTATAGACAGTCTCAGTGTATCGAAGGCATAACCAAGCCACTCATTTAATAGACTGTACTTCGAAGTATAAACTCACTACCAGAATCCTACACGTCAAGCGTGTCGACCCCAAGGGCATATCTCTGTCTTTCTGGGCTACGGTCTTGAGATTTGCAAAGGTTGGAAAATATTCTTGGGGAGTCTGGGATTTGTCGTTGTCTGATGAAGTCACAGTCTTGAAATGTATTAATTCTTGATTGAGTAGTGACACACGGGTATTACTTTAGTGGGATAGTAGTGGGGGTGGGCTGGTTGTAGGAGGCTCGAGGTGCTGTGTATGATTTGATAGCAAAGTCCAGTCAGGAGATTAAATGAATTCCTCTTTAGAAGTCTCTTATAATTGCATCTTTCCACACAAAATCTAGTAAGAACCTCCACCCAGCCTCCACCCAGCCCTCACATCTCTCCACGATCTAATCACGAGGACCTATTTCCCCATCAAAGTACCCCGCATTGACCCCTCTTTACATCCAAAGAACACCAATATAACAATGTTAATATTTTGGGGAATAGTATATGCCAAATAACAAGCCCACTCAAAAAACAAATTCTTTCAAAACTCCCTACTACATGCCTCTCTTAATACGAACCCGCTACCACAGGCGCACTGATATTTCTTTCACAAGTGCTTTCGTGATAGATGGAATACATAGTTAAGCACATTCCATCACCATTCTCATCAGTTAGAGAAGTGTTTAAAAAGGGTATTCATCAAATTCCATACTACTTTTCCCACCCCCGCCAGTTTACTATATACAACGCTAAACATCAATGGTACGCTATGCAACAACACATCTCATTCTCACCCATTCATCTCCACTCCATCAAACATCTCTCACCATCGGCTTCCCCGCAAACAACCCCGCAACCTGATAAAACATCACTTCCAACGGCGGCAGCGCAAACGCCGGACCGATATCAAACACCTGTGCAAGCTGCTGCGCCGTAACAACTGGCGTGTCATTCTCATCCTCATCGTCATTTCCATCTTCCGTCGCCGCGGGCGTGAGTAGCTGGACATCTTCGTCTTCCATTTCCTCATCTTCGTCCGTGGGCACGACAACGCCGTTGACTTCGGCGGAGTCGTCAAGAAGGAGAGCAGATGTAGATTGCGCCATTGCTGTGAGGATCTGACTCCCCTTCTTATGAGCAGTGCGGATCTCGGCGGCGGTGTCGAGGAGGAGAAAACCATCTGAGTCGGCGGCGGGGAGGAGGGCGGTTATGAAAATGGGGAGGATGTCGTGGAGTTGTGGTTGTAGTTCGTCTTGGTGGAAGATGAAGAGTTCTGATTGCTGGTACGTCAAAGACTTCTCCTTTTTCACTGTAAGATCTTTGCAGCGTATTGGGAACGAGACGGCGAAGGTGCGGGATTTGAGATCGGCTGCTAGGTGGATCATTTCTTGCTTTTGAGCGATGGAGAGCTCGCGAAGGTGAATGTTGAGTTTGAAGTTCATGCGTATTTCGTTGGATACGAGGTCGTAGAGTGTGAGTTGGTCTGCGAGCACGATCAAGTCTTGGCCTAGGAAATCCATCTTGACGAGATGTCCTTGGAAAATACCAGTCTGAGATTGACGAATTGAGCCCGAGTTCGGTTCGATGAAGTGGACAATGCCATCTTGACTGCTAGTTGCAGCAGCCAGAACCGAGCCGTCTTCGGAAAATGCTAGAGCAGCACCGGCAACTGATGCATCTATATGACCAATGTCCTCGGCCATCTCTTGTTTTCCAAGAGATATGGCATGCTGGCAATACCAATTTCGAAGGACTTGACCCTTTGATCCACGTACAGGAACACCATCTCGCTTACGCGTTCTTGTCGACCAAGTACACACAATTTCATCCTCCCCTACAGTAACAAATTTCGATGAGTTGGGATCAACTGCAAGATCCAAGACTCGGCCTGGATGTGTCGAGTTCTGGCTTAATGTGTGCGGCGCGTCAATTCGTGAGACAAGCTGCCATGAATTATCCTCGTCACTCCATTCCCAAAACTTCAAGTATATCTCACGTCTACTCAGTCGTTCCTCTTCAGCATTATTCTTATCCAACGCCAAATGTGTCAGATCGCGGGCTGGTGGTGTCCACTCGTCGACCGTGGCCAACCATTTGCCGTCATGTGAAATTTTCATATGTGTGACTCTAGGTTCGGATATCTTATGAGCGCTTGGGGCCGAGTTGATGATGGTAACATTCGATCGACTTAGTGCTTGACGGGAAGCATTATGTCCAGTCCCAAGATCAAAAGTTTGGAGATATGGTGAACCGGTCACGAGCGGATTGACAGGATCAATTTCTTGCGTCTGTCCCACTGCAAGCAAGAGTTTAGAAGGAAAGTTTGGATTGATGAGCGCAGGGGTCCGCTGAATGAGGCGACTCGGCCATTGCTCTTCTCCTATTCGTTCAACTTCTGACTCCAGGCTTTGTGTCCCGGCTATAGTGCTTGCTTGAATACCAGCAATGTTGGTCGTTGGAGTCAATTCCGCGGTCGACAAAATCATTGCAGAATTGTCCGCTAGCTGAACAGCATAGGATGATCCGGTCGGTGAAACTACAATCTGCTGAATTGTGGATGATAGATGAGGTAGATATTGATGACTTCCGGTATCAAGTTGCCATATGACTAGAACAGTTTCATTTCCACCAGATATTATGTAATTACCTACACAGAGTTAGAAAGCGAAGACATAGTGATGAAGGATCATCATACCATCTCGAGACCATTTTACCGCGTTCACTGCCTGTCGATGCCAATGCATTTTCCGTGGCGTGAGGCTGATTCCTGGTTTGCCATCTTGGGCCAGCATAAGATTCGCTAACAAGTCGTTGTGCAAAAATATTGATCCACGAACATCTCCGACAACTAAATCCACAATTGGTGTTCTCTTGAGCGATTTCTTGACATCCTTACCATCAGGTCTAGGCGTAGCTTTGACATCTAACGATGATATGGTGTCGCTCGTTTCGAATATCCGAAACTCATACTTCATATTGCTAACCACACCATACTCTGTTGTCCGCAGACCTCCAACAATTATCTTATTTCCCGCTGCAGCTACAACCACAGAGCCCGCTGCTCCTGTCTTCAAGTATCGAATACGGTCCTTGGAGGTATAAATTGTCCTGGCAGCCGTTTTGATAGGGTCGTCGGGCGCAGTCAATTCGTTGGCAGTAACTCTCCAACCATCGCCTTTTGCTTCTGTAGTGAAGACAACGTCTCTTCTTCGCCCGAGAGATTCCATGGCTGCTACAGTCATGAAATTGCAGCCAGTTGAAGATGTTTTCCAAGAATAGCTTGCACCCTCACCCGTCATCCAATTCACACGGTACACATTTCCATCTGAACATGCCACCCACACAATTTCAGGTGCCGTTGGAGAGAGAGAAAATGAGACAATTCGAGTATTTGGCTCGCTTTCGGCAAGATGTAATTTGATCGATCGAGTTAAGAGGGAATTGGCAGCGGTGTAGACAAGGACAGCGGTTCGGGTGGTGACAAGAAGATGTCTGAAAGCGTTAGTTTGAAAACTATAATTATAGAGATTGCTGCACTTACTTCTCATCGGCAGTAAAAACTGGTTCCAGACTTGACATGCGACCTGCTATAGACTCTGATAGCTTCCATAATGAAGGTTTCTCTATAGACTTCCCCGCATCGGTTTCTGGCGCATCTAATCCTTTCGTATTTTTCTTCTTTTGCACATTTTTATTCTGAGGCTGTTCGGAAACAGCAGTAACAGCGTCTCCATTCGTCAAGTTCTCCCCATTAACCTTGACCAATTCCTTCATCTTCGACGTCTCCTCCGCAGCCTTCTCCCAATCAACCTTCCCATCCACCTTCAACGTCGAATTCCCATTCTCTTTCTTCACCGATTTCGCACGTTTCGGGGTATCCAAGACCTCCACTCCCCCTCTCTTGCGCTTCAAGATCGAAGCCATGGTGTTGTCGGAGGGTTGGTGTTGTTGTTGGGTGTCTGGTGGTTGGGGGCACTTTTTTTCGTTATCGGGCGAGACCCTCGCGAAAAAAAAGTTCGAGATAAATTTTAGCGCGATCCGCCGCGAACATCTTGCAGAGCTCCGAAGGTTTCTTTGACGCTTCTACACGCGACAACTACACAAAGCTCGAGTTTCAACAACCACGATCAACTGACATTCTTGGGATTGTGCTGGATAGGGATATACACGTCTGAGATCTCACGATGATTATTCCAGTTCGCTGCTTTTCCTGCGGGAAGGTAAGGCTCTGTGGCGGATGCGCCCCTCCATGGCTGGACTGACGGTTGCGACTAGGTTGTTGGGGATTTATGGGAACGGTACTTGAAGTTGATTGATGAGGGTATTCCAGATGGGTATGCTAGGAGAATCACTACAGCTTCTTGGCTTGGGCTTGTGCTGATTCCTTTACAGAGATGCTATGGACCAACTTGGATGCAAACGATACTGTTGTCGCCGCATGATCATGACCCACGTCGACCTCATTGAGAAACTCCTCAAGTCAGTAATTCTCGAATCAATATTCGAAGAACCCTACGCCTCTGCTCAGACTTCTCCCTCGTCTTCCTCATCCAGACTAACCATGTCAATAGATACAATCCCGCGGAACGAGACATGAAGAAGCAAGCTCTCAACTAGAAAAACGGCCATAGCATGTGGCACAAGGCGTTCGTTGGACAGTGTCAGGGACACGGCGGTTAACTGGGAGGCGTAATAAAAGGCGTTACACGAAAAAGCCTATATCTCACGGAATTTAATTTCAAATTCAAACTTCTCATCTTCCTTCTGACCCAACATGGCGGGATTCCAGACCGCCATTATCGCGCGAAGCGACCCTCACAAGCCACCGTCTGACTATGCATATTGGAATGTTTGTTATCGTTTGATGGTCTCGCCGTCGGAACGCATGCCAACGCATTCGAATTTCGGTCATGTTATTCCAACAGGCTGGGTTTCTTGTTCTTGTGTCAACCTATTCCCGACCGCCACGCGGGTAAAATGATCCTTGAATTGTTGGTTTTCTGTGAACTAAGCTCTTCCTTACCTTAGTTTCCTCGATAGACGGGGAAGCATGATGGTTCCACCGAGGCGCTTAGGCAAGCGCGGAATTAGGCTTGAGCTTGAGAGCTTCTGGAAGTTAGGAGCGGCGTCGGTGGATGCAATGCATGTACAGTAGAATGTTGGTGGAGAATATGGGTCTCGCAAACCTTGGTTGGACCTCATCTCGTGTGTTGTTGTTTTTGTTTCGAAGTTTAAATCTATACTAGGACATGTTTCCGTCTCGTTTCCCATGTTCACACGAATAGGGCTGAATGTAAAGATGGGGGCTGCAAGTAGATGTTTTGTGACTTTTTAGTCCCTCTCACCGAGTACAAAACTACGTACTCCACCGCTCTGAAGGATATCCAGTTGGCTCCGGCGTCGTGGCTTAATGGACCCCGAGCGTGAGGATGAGGGGATTCGTGGATTGAAATAGGTCTAGTGTTGGTATGTGGATGGATAGCATGAAGTCAAGCACTCAAGATGATATCTTTCGTGTCACAAGCGGTGATCCTTTATCCGTTGCCTTGGGACTGGCGGGGAGGGATCGACGAGTGTGATCTTGGCTTGGACGCACCTGTTATTCGATAATTCAAGGAGGATCAGATTCTGATGTATCTCGTCCCGAAGAGCCGTACAAGTGTACACCTGGTTCAGTTTACAATACACCATTACCAAAAACGGCTCATCCCGCCAAAGTAACCACACTCTCTTTGCTTTGTCCCAAACATCCCATCCACATATCGTCTTCCCAACCATCCCATCCGTACCCTCCCCCTCACAATTGGCTCCCCCCATAACTCACAAACCTCCAAGCTTCAATACTAAAAATCCCGACGGCTCAGTCCCGCGTGGAAAACACAACCACAACTCTATCCCAATGGCGGCGGCGTAGTCAAATGGCCATGACATTGATTTTCTAAGCGCCAGCTCTCCTGCAGCCCGCGATCAAGAGACGCGCATCTGCGGTGCTGGTTGGTCGAGGGCGAGGCCAGCATGCACACCACATCCTGGCGAGCGTATGCATCGCTTGCGGTGGCCATCGCGTCCCGGGCGCGAGAGGGGTGGGCGTGCGATTGGATGCGGTTTAAGTGCTTACTTTTTTGGTACGAGAGAAAGGGCTTTTAGTCACTCACCGAGATCTGGAGATGGAAGAGGGAGGGAGGGAGATGGCAGTGGGTTTAGTCTGGTTTCCCCGCGAGTCTTGGGTGCGTGGGCACGGCGCAGTTGAGAGTCTTTTCTCTGCTCTGCCTAGAAGGTACTGAGACTCGCACCAACTCCCACCAGTGAGCACAGTGAGAATCAGAGCAAACTGCAAACATCGCTCCCGCATGCGCCTGGGTCCTGGTGCAGGCCACTCTCTTACTCTCCTCCAATCTCTGGATCGGTACATGTTTACTGAAGGATATTGTGGTTGTACTCCGTACCGCTACCTTCCCTTCCCGTTGGTGATACAGTAGCTTCATCGCGTCAATCCTGCGTGCATTGCAGTCGCTGGCCATACAAACAAATCCAGCTCCATACAAGCTACCTAGGTAGTTCATCGCGAGTCGAGACCGCGGTGCGTCTTCCTGTTGTCTTTCCACCCTCATTCAGCCTTCAAACCGACGCCGACCCACCCCAACAACCAACCTCAAAAACACCCACCCTGCTCCGCGCCGTAACGCTGTAAGCAGGGCGTGTCCAGGGAGAGCCAAAGGAACCGTCATAATCTGCCAAATCTCATAAAACCGTTCCGTCTGCCACTCACACCTCCCGTCGTGCCACTGCCATCACTCCTTCGAGCTGCCAGCCTGGTCGACAATGGCATTGGAGAGTCCCCTTGTAGCGTCGCCGGCAAATATGATGTCTGCCTTTTCTCCCTACACAGACTTCTCCTTGTCACCAAATTCACAGGGCCAACCCTCGCCACGTTTCCAGTCGCTGTGAGTGTGGTTGCCAGATGAGGGCGTGTGTGTTTGAAGCTGATGATGTTTGTTTAGGTCGGCGCGTAGTTCGGGCGAGATTAATAGGCTGCGTCCACATTCAAACGATTACGGGCTTTCCCCCAGCAGTGCAAACATGGCGAGTCCAAGTGACATGGTGGGACCTTCACCGGTCACCTCAAATGGAACAGAGACTACAGAGATTGAAGATGAAGTGGCAGAAGAGGCAGAGGATGAGGAATATTCTGCCTCGAGCTTAGAGAGCTCGCCAGAGATACAGCAAGCTGCAGTAAGTTGCGCCGAACGATAAAGCGTCCGCCACTAATTGAGTGCATTGCAGAGACTTGAGAGACTTAGTACGGCATTACCAGATCGGTTTCGAACGACGGCCGAGGAAGAATCGGTGTCAGTGATACATGCGCCTGAAGGCTATGGCAATTTTGTGAGTCAATTCTGGCTACGGTCAGGGGCAATGCTGACAGGATAAGGCTACACCTAAAGCAAGCATACCAATGATGCCTCCAGTGTCAGATAGAGCGACTCCAGTACCATATCGATACGACGAATCAGTTCCAAATCAGATGCGGATGGATTTACTTGCACCGGGTGAAAAGGTAAGTCGGTCATGATGATAGTGATCATTGCTAATACTTATCCAGACCGCAACGCAAACGAGTCCCGTATCTCCTCCCCCGATATCTACAGATGTTGCGCCCATCAAATTTGGCCTCGATACTGCAACCCCTCGTGCACAGACTCGCTCTGAAATAGAAGCTTTGACTGGAAAACGAGGCGGTCGGTCCAGCAGCGCAAATAGTCTCGAAGGTTCGTCTACTACTTCCAGGGGTCCATCGCGTTTCTCATGGTTTGCAGGTATTCCAGAGGATCAGCAGGAGACTGAAGACGAATTTGATGCCAATACCGTACATACTTCGGACGAGGAAATCAACGCCCTCAAAACTGCACTACATGAGTGTTGGACGCTATGTAACACACTTGCAAGTCTAAGCTCAATACATCGAGAACGAATTTTTAGCTATTCTGGAACGGGTGATGCGCATGAGAAAGCGTGGAAGGCATGTTGGAAATTGTGTCAGAAATTATACGACAGCCGAGATGAAGATCATGAGACGCATGTTCGGCCCACGCTGGATCTTTGTCGAGACTTTTGTCAAGCATTGTTTGACGTTCGACAGCGAAAAGACGAAATTGCGGATTCAGTCCTACGAGTGAGTTTTGAATTATGTAATCATCTCTACAATACCCACGACAGATCTCTTCCGGAAGCATTCCGAGAGAGGACACTGGACTTTTATATTACGTTGTGTCATCGATTGATGAAGCAGCGGAATGAGTTGGCTGAAGAGACGGATGCTCTGTTACGAGCGTGCTGGTCACTAGCTGAGATGCTATTCAGTCTTCGTCAGAATAAACGAGATGGAAAAGCAGCGGATGAGGAGCTGCTTGGATCTGCAGTCCAGGCATGTTGGGAATTGTGTGATTTATTCCGAGAAGGATGGACCCAAGTCCGACCAGAAAGAGGTACACCGCGGCCTTCACAAACCACATTTGCCCAGATTTCCGACCAGATGAGTCGATCATCTAACAGTCGGTCATCACATACGAAAAGTCACAGTATGGCGAGTTTGAATGGACGAAGCCCAGAATCGTCAAAACACAGTTTCCCGAAATATCAGGAACCGGAAACACCGACTACACAGTTTGAAGTTGAAGAGGATCCGCTTTCACCAGAAGAGGATGATTCTCCCAACGTTCCAAACATTCTAGTACTAGGCACCGAAGGTAGTCGAGGATCCAACGCCCGATGGTCGAGTGCTCAATCCTCCCTCTCAGGCTACTCCCAAGGAAGTCAAAAATCATCTAGCACCATCACCTCGACCAACACCGAAGACGTCAACCTCACGCGTCTCAAAATCCTCATCCTCAAAGCCGCCATGAACGTCGGATTCGCACGGCCCACACCGACCTCTAATCCATCGAAAAACGACCCACCAGCCCTCCAAAATTTCGTAAAAGCGCTGCAACCCGGCTCCTTTGGTTCGCTGCCCGCCCACACGCAACTCCTCACCGCGTATCGTAACCTCGTGCTCGGCGACCCGACGTTCAGGAATGCGAATACGTTGCCGGCGATGGGCCGTAAGGCGAATGCGGTGGATGTGGCGAAGAGTGTTGGGTGGATGATTAATAGTGGACGGTATGAGTTTCTTAAGGATTTGTACAGGTTGGTTTTTGGCTTTCATATTGAGGAGGCGGGGGCGAGGAAGAATGTTAGTATTACTGTTTGAGGGGGTTTGGTGACAAGACCTCCATTCTCAGCGCCTGAGTCACACTCGATTTGAAGAGGTTATCTGGGCAATATACCCGGTGGTGCGAGACTACATCAGCAAAACGACTTGCAAGGTGGCGCGGAAGAAGGCTCGTAAGATGAGTCGCCATCTTATAACGACATTTACAACACATTTACAACACTTCTACAACGCACATTACGAGATTACAAACCTACACACAACACACACATGTACGCAGTCGCAACATTTCCAATCTACATTCAACATTTCAAGCGAAGCGGGAAGTCGGGAGTTAGAATATCTTTCTTGTTCTGTAACGGCGTCTCGAATATGGGCGTTTGGACTTGGACTTATTGGGGATTTATTTGAGAGAGGTTTGGAGATTTCAAGATTGGGCTCTGAGATTGAATATCGGGGACGGTTCTTTGAGATTGAATTTGGATGTGGACTTATGGATAGATGGCCGATTCCGGTTTGAACGGGGAACTTGGCTTGGTCTCGAGAATGGATTGGCTTGGCTTGGATTTGGCAGGATTACTCTTTTGATGTTATGTTACAGATACCCCCTCTTTTCTTGGAAATCTCTTTTGTTACTAGTTGGGCAATCGGGGATAGGAGTGCTGGGAGTTGTATATATGTCCGAAAGGAAGGAATTTAGTGGCGTTTTTATGAAATGGGAACTATCACATCACCAAACCACATCCTCTCAATCTCCTTCCTCTTCTCCTTTCCATCTCATATTCGAATCAAACTCATCCGGTTTCCCCTTCGACCTTCCAACACCCACACTGACCGCCTATACATCCCTTCTTTTCAGAGCACCAGGCGGCACACAGGAGAAAGCAGACGACCTGTACCAATCCCTCCCTTTCCCCTCTGTTCGGCGCGTGTGGAGATATACAACGATAGGAAAGATAAAAAGAGACCGATTTCCCATGGAGGATAAGGCTGCTTTATTTCAGTCAGCGTACCTACGGAGGGGAAAAGGAACAGATTAGACGCGAAAGCGTGGTATCCCGGATCCTCATATCTTAGCGTACTACTTCCCGTCTAGATCTTCTTACTTCTCATCTCAATACGTCTTCATCGGGGCATTAAAGTTACGAAACAGGTTTATTGAAATGGTTTTCGTGGTGTCTAATTATCCGTTTGCCATTATCTACATAATCTCTAACTGCATATATTGCTAGGTCAGGAGAACGGCTTTCTCTGACTGAATTTGCTTGGAAGCGTTCGTTTTGTTTGAGCGTCTAGGTTATTAGGAATCTTACGTGGATTTGGAAGGAATGGTGGTGTTGAGGTTGGTGTTTCGGGGTTACGGACTTTACTGTTCGCCTTGCTACACTTGGTCTTCTTTATTTGACCACTTATATCTCACGCCAAGCTCACTATCCTTTGGCAAACCAAAAACTCGTGACGTTTAGGAATGTACCTACTGATTATAGTCCGATCGTTTTCATAAGGGGACGTTTGTATGTCTATATCCTTTTCATTTGCAAAAGTGTCCTAAATAACGCCATTCGCTGTACCAGCAATCCTCCCAATTCTATCTGCAATTCTCCCGCCCCGACATCCGCAGTTTGCATCTCTTGTATGTCTCATGTTTCATCGCTTTGTCCCATTTACTCCCTTCAGTGCAACGATTTGCCACCATCCGGCATCCGTGTCGTGTCTCCATTCATTCGTCAAGCCCTCGGTTCCGAGTCTATTTTCCGAAATTTGGAAAACAGTCTTCCATTGTTTTGCTGTGCTTGTTTTGTGCGTGTTCGAGAAGTCTGTTGAGGTATCATGTCAGCAGTGCATTCCTTATGAAATGGCCCTCTAAATGAAATCTTGTGCTCCTCTTCCACCTCCACATTTCTTCATGCGTTCTTTGTCTTTCGTCTTGCCTCTCTCGCCTCTCCATTCATCCCTCCTCTCCTCCTCTCCTCCTCTCCTACCCTCTCCTCCTTTCCCCATCCCCCCACTTCATCCTGATCCATTCCCAAAAAAGAGATATACACACGCAGGCCCCCTCGTCGTCTTCAAAAAAGTACTCTTGCAAGTAACACACTGGATATCCTTCGCTTGCTCGTTGACTTTTAGTTGTGATTTGGCTACTCCGCTACCTTCTTTTGCGGCTTTCTTCTCACGATCACGCTTGGATTTTGCGCCCTATGGAGTACGAGATTAGTTGGGCTGATCATAAGATTTTGGGGTAAAAGAGTAAGGGAGGGGTGAGATTGAACGAGAAGGCGGGAATTAGCAGAATCTGCAATATGTGTATTCCCTCTTCCAAACAACAAAACCCGAAAACGAGGCAGCAGAAACAATACGACAAACGACGAAGGCCCTCATAGTGGGGTTGTCGCATCCCACAACAAAGAGAATGTACTCACATTTCCGCCTCCCATGATGTCTGATTTCAAGTCCCGTCGTTCTATAGAGTCCAAAGTCTTGTGCTAGTGCGCTGTATAAGCAGAACGTATGTGTCGGCGTGAGTGGAAAAAGGACGTTGTCAGATGTTGGCGCCGATGAAGCCTGAGGGAAATAAATGTTTTGCGATAAAAATAAAAGCGGGACGCAACGCTAGTATAGATCGGGGTCGTGGGGCGAGGGGCTAGATTTGTGGCTGGTGGAAGACAGGTGTGGCTGGTAGGGTGGTCTGAGCACACGTGATATGGATTTTGATGGGGATCAGAAAGTGGAAGGCTTGGATTTTGGAGAGGAAGACGAATAAAACAGGAAAAGAAAGTCTAATCGACAGTTTTATATTTCAACATTTTTCAATTTGATGCACGATTCAAATCCTCTCTACATAAAGTACGATAAGTGATCTACTAACCCAATTCCCTCATCCCGTTCGGTTAGACCCCAGTAACCCCAGTCGCATCTCTCACCTCGCGTCGACCTCCAAACAAACTTCCTCTTCCTTTAAAAAATCCAACAAAAATAACATTCCCATCTGAATGTTCCGCAGCATACTAGGAAAACTAAGTCAGGAAGATAGCGATTCAAAAATGGCGGATTCAATTAGTATTGAGGAGTTTGAGGCCGCGTTGGACAGGTATGAGGATGTTTTGGAGGTGAAGGCGAGGAGTGGTATGTATTTGATCCAATGCGTGGATTGATGGGATGCTGATTCTTTTAGTCAAGGGAGAGACTTCGTTGGAGGAGCTAGATCAGTTTAGATATGTTGAGGCGCCGGCTCAGTTTTCGAAGAAAACGGGGAGGTTAATGGATTTGAAGGATATTCAGAAGCTGTTGGAGTGGAAGCTGTAAGTTCAACGTCTCGTTCAATCTTTCATCACAGCCACAAACCAAGACCTTGCGATTGATCTACCTTTGCTAATGTAACCTAGTCGACATGGTAAATTCAGACCAAGTCTCCCAAAACAAGTCGCCTCAAACTCGGATGAAAAAGTCCACGAAGCTTGTAAAGATGGATTTGATCATTACGCTGCGCATCCTGATGATATCCAAGCTGTCATTAAGAAGTTGACAGCCCCATTGAAAGGTATTGGACCAGCAACAGCTTCGCTTTTACTAGCCGTCCACGACCCCGCAAATGTAATCTTCTTCAGCGACGAGGTCTACGCATGGCTTGTCGGCAAGGGTAAATCTAGTGGAATTAGCTACACTGCCAAAGAGTTTGAACAGATCTTTACTGCTTCAACCGCCTTGGCCAAGAGACTTGATGTATCACCAATCGACATTGAAAAAGTCGCCTACGCTATCATCAGAGAGAACGAACCTGTCCACACACCAAAACCCAAGAAAGAACCCAGTGGACTCCCAAGAGGACGACCAAAGATGGCTGAGCACGAGAAGAAGCCAAAGAAAGAATCTAGTGGACTTCCCAGAGGCCGCCCAAAGCTTCCTGAGAGTCAGAAGAAAGCAAAGCCAGAGCCAAAACCTAAGAAGGAGAAAGCAGAACCTACTGGATTGCCGAGAGGAAGACCGCGCAAATCGGATGCGGAGAGTGTTGTCGCGACGCCTAAACGTGGACGTCCTTCTGTTAATAAGGCTGGGGTTGCACCACCTGCTTCTGCATCAAAGGCTACCCCAGGCTCTACTGGAAAGGGAAGGGGACGCCCGAAGAAGGTTGTGGATGAGGTTGCCACGCCGGCTTCGGCGAAGAGGAAGGCGGATGATGAGAAGCCAGGTAGGGGAAGACCGAAGAAGGTGAAGACTTGATTACTTTCTTTGGGTTTCGGGC